TAATTTTATGCATAAACGCCTTTGGCGTTTATGCAAATTATCACACAACCCAATCGATTGATCACATCATGAAATCGAAAAATAAGACAGTTATTCCTTTAGTTGTACAATCAAAACTGTTGTTTTTTTTTATTTATTTATTTATTTTTCTTGCAGCAAACTTTTTTTTTAAGTATAAATTGATACAAAAGATATACACATACAATGCCTGATATATGGTGAAAAAAATTCATCCAGGAAACAAAAAGGTTTTTAGGTCACCTGAGTAAACTCAGGTGACCTATTGCTATCCGTTTTCGTCCGTCATCGTGCGTCGTGCGTTGTGCGTTAACATTTGAACATTTTCAGCTTCTTCTCTGCAACCACTGAACCAATTTCAACCAAATTTGGCATAAAGCATCTATGGGTGAAGGGGAACAAAAATTGTGAATTTCATGATCCCTGCCCCCCTGGGGCCTGAGGGGTGGGGCCAAAACCACTAAAATTAATGCAATCTTTAAAAATCTTCTTCTTTACTCCTGGACATCAAGCAGTCAAACTGTTTGCATGATTGTAATCAGCAATGAGTCCTCTACCAAAATTGTGAAATTCATGGCCCTGGGGTCAGGGGTTCTAGTGCTAGGGCGGGGCTAAATAATTAGGTAGTGAAAATGCATTATTTCTTTGAAAATCTTCTTCTCTGCTCCTGGGTATTAAATAAATCAACTAAGTACATAGTTATGATGAGCAAGAGTGTCTCTACCAAAATTGTGAATTTTATGGCCCCAGGGTCAGGGGTTCTGGTGTTAGGGCAGGGCTCTATTGATTATATAGTAAAAATACATGAATTCTTTGAAAATCTTCTTCTCTGCCCCTGGGTATCAAATAAACTAACTAAGTAAATAGTTATGATGAGCAAGAGTGCCTCTACCAAACTTGTGAATTTTATGGCCCCAGGGTCAGGGGTTCTGGTGTTAGGGCGGGGCTCTATAGATTATATAGTGAAAATACGTGAATTCTCTGAAAATCTTCTTCTCTGCTCCTGGGTATTTAATAAACTAACTAAGTACATAGTTATGATGAGCAAGAATGCGTCTTCCATAATTGTGTATTTTTTGGCCCCAGGGTCAGGGGTTCTGGTGTTGGGGGGGGGGGCTCTATAGATTATATAGTGAAAATACATGAATTCTCTGAAAATCTTCTTCTCTGATCCTGGGTATTTAATAAACTAACTAAGTACATAGTTATGATGAGCAAGAATGCCTCTTCCATAATTGTGAATTTTATAGCCCCAGGGTCAGGGGTTCTGGTGTTATGGTGGGGCTCTATTGATTATATAGTGAAAATACATTAAATCTTTAAAAATTTTCTTCTCTGCTCCAGGGTATTAAGCAGATGAACTACAAATAAAGTTATGATGAATATAGTTATAATAGACAAGGGCCCATATCTTACAGAATTGTGAATTTCAAGGCCCCAGGGTCAGGGGTACCATAGAGGGGGGGGGGGGGCTGTACTTATATACTGAAAATGAATGAATGGTTTGAAATCTGCTCCTTGGTATTAATCAGATAACAAGGCCAAAGGGTCAGGGGTTCATGTATGGTAGGGGCACTACTGATTATTGCTGAATATTACTGATTAGTTGAAATGCATTTTTTTCCCTTACCCTGCATATGGGTATTAAGTAAACAAACTAAGCAACTGCTAAGTGTATTGTTATGATGATCAATGGTGCCTCTTTCAAAATTGTGAATGCCATAACATCTGGCTTAAAACATGAATCAAGTTTAATCACTGGAAAGTTGTTGCATAATGCTCAGGTGACCTATAAGGCCCATGGGCCTCTTGTTTGAATATTCTGATCAGTAATATGTGTAAAGCACATGATCTACCAGTCTTTGTTTTATTAAAATATTCTGTGTATGAAATTGTGAAAAGTTGTGCCTTTAATCTTTAAGTGTTGACTGCCTTTGCCACAACCGACTTTTCAAACCCAATATTAGTTTCTGGGTGTATGCAGTAGCAGCTTAATTAGATTTAGCTATTGCTTCCAGAAGAAAATTGGCAGGAAAAAAATGTGATCTTATTTCTCTGTCACCACGGGTTTATGAGTTTAATCTGTGATCTTATTTGACCAGAGAATTTATCTTTTTTTTTCTCCCCTAGATAGAATGTTATGATCAATGTCATGTGAAGCCTCATCTGTGCAGGACCAATACCCCTTGATGAGATCTAGTCATATCTTTTGTCCAATAAGAAACGGTTCCACAGGAGTGAGATTTACGGCACATGGGACTTTGTCAGAGATATGTAATTTCCATCACTTGGACTTATGCCATATTCATTTCCTTTTTATCAAACCTTGATATGATCCCAAGCTTAATTCACTTCATTGAAATGTCAGGATTGGACAGATTTGAAATTGACTGCAGTTTTCTTTTTCTTACTTTCACTATATGGTTTTTTGTCCCCACGCTTTCATGAAAGCAAGGGGACATTAAATCTAATTCGTCTGTATGTCCGTCTAGCTGTCCGTCCTTCACAAAAACTTTAACCTTGCCCATAACTTTTGATTTAGTGGAGCTATGACTTTCATATTTCACATATATATTTCTTGTGACAAGACCATTCTGTGGGTACTACCAAATTTGACCTTGACCTTGGATTTTGACCTACTTTTACACAAAAATTTTAAACTTTTCCTTTGGCCATAACTTTTGAACGGTAGATGCTAGGACTTTTCACTTATTTCACTTATGTGTTCTTTGTGGCAAGATCTTTCATTGGATACCAACAACTTTGACCTTTTGACCTTGACCTTGGAGATTTCTGTACTTATGAAAAACTTTAACCTTGGCCATAACGTTTGAAGGGTAAGGGCTAGGGCTTTCATACTTCACATATGTAATACTTGAGACAATACCTTTCTTAAGAAACCAACAACTTAGACCGTTTTACCTTGGAGTTTGACCTACCTTTCAAAAACTTATCCTTGGCCATAACTTTTGAACATTGGTGCTAGGGCTATCATATTTCACAATCGTATTTCTTGTGAGAAGACCCTACTTTGGGTACCAATATATTTAATTTGTTAATCTTCATCATGTTGCCATACAGGACCATCAGTGTTTCACAAACACATCTTGTTCCTGATAAATTTTGATTGAGAAGAGATATGGCTTTCATATTTGACATGTGCATTACCTGTGAAAAGATATTTCCGAGCATGCTATGATTTCCGACTCCTTGGCCTTGACCTTCACAATTGACCTTATTTTTTTTTTTAAATCAACTTCTCTGATAATTTCTAAATGATATATGATAGGGTGTTCATATTTGACACAATATGTCATAAAAAATGACATCTCACCCACAAAGACATCGAAAGCGGGGGACCACAATTCTTTGAATTTGCTTGTTTTATACACTGATTACTCCATACTGAAGTGTTCTAATTAGCTCTAGTAATATAAAAGGGTTAAAAATCCAAACACACAAATATCTGTGTATAAACCAACATTTCTGTTGTTTAATTTATTTGCTCATCAAGTTCTTTTAATTTGTTTGGTAAAGTGAGTAGATAATCCAGTGATTTCTCAGACCTCTTTGTTGAATTTTGCCTGCCCATTACCTTATCTTTCATCAAATGTTTTGATTCTAACAGATGAAAATGATGTAAGCTGAATATATATATATTTCCAATCTTGCCAGTTAATGTTCCGTGGTCTTACTTATTTTATAATAGACAAATTTCACATTCCTAAGAGTTAACTCCCATTGTTGGCATTATGCTCATTTTTCCCACTTTGTCCTTTGTAACTTAAATTACCTGGTAATACTTTTAATCTTTGAACGTTATCGGACAATTTCGATCTGTACCTGTATTGCTAGGGTATGGGGCAACATGAAAAACATAATGAACATATTCATACAGATTTTATTTCTAAGATACTGACCCAAAGTTGGTAAGGTTATAGAGGGAAAACATTGCCTTTTGCCGGTTGACCCCAGATTGACCCCGCAAAGGGGAATAAATTTTGTAAATGTGAAAGTTGTCTATAGAATATGACATCATATCAGACACATTGTGACATCACAGCAACCAATCACTTGCTAGAATTTCTCTTTCATGTTTATAAGAAAGAAAAAAAGAATCACTATGTTGGGATGATGAAAAATAGATTGATAATTATAGAAAATTAATAGTTGTGTTATAGAAACTGTGTGTAAATTATTTGGATTGAGTTCATAAAACAGATATTATTTTTAAAAGTCTGATATTAACTTGATTAATGACACCTGCTGCATATGCTGAAATTATCTTACCCAGTTATCTACTGTCACCATGTAAAGGAGTGTGTTCATTGTTCTTGACAGTATAAATTCGAAATTCAGAAGGAAATTCAAAGGACATACAGTAATAGTACAATTTTTTAGCAAGATGCAAATTGATCCCAAAAAAGTATGTTTAGCGGAAAGAATTTTAGTGATCTTATAATGTCAAGAAAAAGAATTAAGCTGTAATAACCATCGAACCAAAGCAGGATAGATAATATAAGCATCGTTCAATTTAATTGGTCTCAAAACCATCATTTTTAATGCCAAAACTGTATTCAAGGTAAAAATTCTAGCAAGTATATTGTATTTAAACTTCAGTTCTAAAATGTAGAGCTACAGTTTCAGAAGAGACCTCTGGTCAATAGATTTGTTTTAAGGTGCCCTTAATTATTTTAATATCAATCAGAAATAGTAGTTGTTTTAATCCTTCAATTATTTTTGCAAGAATTTGAAAAATTATTTGCTTGAGATTTTATAAGAATTTCAGGATTAAGGTATAAAGAAAGTAAATTGAAACCACCAGCCATATATCCATGATGAATGAACACTCTTATGAAAATTACACTGTCTATCAAAAAGAAAGAAAAAAATTATAATGCTGAATTCGAATGATTGTTTTTCTTTAATTTTGAGAAAAATATGCTAAAAATGCAAGGAGCTCTTTGATTTAATTATCTTACCTGTTTAGCTGAGTGTTAATTCATTCAGTACACAAAGTCCTAGAATCAGTCAGCTAGAATCTTATTGCTGAATTGAAGAGGTCACTGAATGAAGACCAATATTTTGGCGCTAGAAGGTCTGTAGACAGATAATTCCTCAGAACACCATGTAACAACAGCTGATTTGATTACCAACGAGCCCCTCAATAACAAGATATGGCTTAATGTAATACTGACCGATTACTTAGCTCAGTAAGAAAAGGCCACCACCGAAGCTCTCTACATTGAAAAGTAAAGCTAGCTGCTGAGTGAAGCTCTCTACATAGAGAAGTAATGTTAGTCAGTGTGGATTAGCTCTCTCTACATTAAATTTTGATGACACTAAAACATAGGAGGAGTGTATTGGGTCCCTAAGCCTGCATCTTAACGTGCAGGCTTTTTATTACAAACAGAATAAACCACTAATGGATCCATTGTCATATTTTTCTATGAGAGAATTTTATGAGGTTTTTTTTTACATTGCATTTGTTTATTAAGATGAAGAGTTTTGTTTGAGAAAAAGGTGTGTGTTGATGTTCTGGAACTTCTCATAACAGGAATTTATATCAAGGTTCTACCGTACTTCATTGTTTTCAAGATCAATAAATGAGCAGAGCAGGTTTCTTAAGTAAGTTGATTGTCCTTCAACATTAGTAATTTCCTCACAGAAAATATAGATTCGCTCTTGCTAATGGTATATGAAAACTTTGAAGTTCTAAAGAACAATTCATAATACAAAATGGATGAATTAGTATGTTGCTTTGACTATTGGTTGAATACATTTTAATTAAAAATGGCCCCTTAAAGTTTCTGATTCACAATGTTCTTTTATGTTTACTATTAGAGATAAATAAACATCCAGAGGACAATGACATTGGAAGTTTAATATGGAAATGTCGTTCAGGGAATAAACGTTAGTAAATGGATTTCATGTATTATGTATCGTATTTGTTTCATAGTCATTGTAAACTAAAGGTTTTCAATAAAGAGCATTTTCCTAACATGAGACATCTGATTTTAATTGATTTTTTTTTTTATTTCAGTGATTCTGCCGCGGCTGGCTTTTGTGGCACTCAATAACAACCACCAGCAGGATGATGGGAAGAGGACAGAGGTGGCGCGGCAGCTCTTTGAGGCTTATAGTGCTCTGTCCTGCTGCTGTATCCTCTTTATTGTCGCAACATAATACTTGTAGTCTGTCTCACATGAGCACTTAATATACCGGTGCCACATTTAAATGTCAAATAAATTTTAACTTTTTTTAAAGAAAGTGCTATGAAACATTTAAGTTTCATTAAAAAATCAGTTTTGTAGACAGACTGGTACATACAATTTGAAACAAACTCTTACAACTCAATGTTGGCCATTGCTGTCAAGTACAATAGGGAGTGGTCATTATTTCTAGAGATAATCTAATTGCAACATATAATTCTTTCATTTCATATGATCGAGCACTACTTTGAGGGCAATGAAAGGAAAGTTACCAATAATGATAGATCCTTTTCTGAAGTCCAGCTTTTCTATCATTTTGAATCCCCATAGACTTTGAACTTGCTGCCTTGTCAATATGTTTGTTGAACTTGAGGGTTCTTTGAAAACAAGATGTTGGAAAATGATGATTTATTGATCAAATGTAATTTATAAACCTAGATATTTATGTAACTTGTGTATGTTATTCCAAAAAATTAATGTGCACTGGTGGTAGCATTCAGAACAGACTATACATAATTTTAAAACAAAATATTCAGGCTTCTTATTGTAAGGAACAATTGATTACTATATTCATTTACTTTAAGGTTATTTATCAATACACTGTACTAGGAGTTTATTTTGGCCTTGACATTTAGTCATCAATGATCAATTGGTTCAGGAAGCCATGTTGCCAGGGTTACGGTGCTTGAAACAAGACATGGCCGCTGTGGCACCTGAAAGAGAGGAAGTGGTGAATTCCATCATAAAAGACTACGAAACTAAAGTAGAAGGGCTTAGGTAAGGAAGGTTTTATGTCAAAATGTGAAAATACTGGTGGGAAACAGTAGGTAGAAAAGAATATAGTTAGGTAAAAATAGGGATGCAATATTATGCATGCATGATGAAAACTTGAGTATGTCATTGCCAGTGAACTAATGGAGTGACAATGCTTCAAGGACATATTTTAAGGGTCATAGTCAAAATTAACTTGGAATTGTCTTTTTCAATGCATAAGCTAGACATAGTGCAGAGCTACTTTAGATATCGGATAAATTTACACTTGTTTCAGAATTACAGATCACATGTCTTCAGGATCATATAGATTAGGATGAGGATAATCTAGTAACTGAAAAGGGGGGAGAAATATTCTTAATTTAAAAAATAACTAGCAAAGACTAAAACAATAAGTTTATCCTTTTTTTTACAGATCTGGAAATTTTTCTTCTGGTCATGGAGGATCAACCCCAAACTCAGAGGATGTAAAATCTCGAGTCATGAACCGAATTAAAGACACCACATCAAAGGCCAATCTCTCTAATATATTCACAAGGAAGAAATGAAACAGAGTCTAGAGAGTTCAGAACCAAATCAAACACACCATGTCAATCTTGTATTTACAAGGAAGAGATGAAATTGGGTCTATGGATTTTTTGCCATAAATGTTACCATTGTTATTAGCAGCCTGTGTTCAAAACCACAACCTATAGCATTGTCTGTTACCACTCAGCAATGTGCTAGAAATTTAATCACCGTTTTTCACTGTGATGTAAACTTGGAATAGTTCCATACAAAGCACAATATTTGTATTAGTATGTATGAATTTTTAATTGTTATTAATCAATAAATCATGATTTAATGGACTGTCAGTCATGGGGTTGCAGCTCTGCGAGACAGAGGATGGTAGAATCTATTCTCTGCCAAGTCGTCTCTGACTGAAAATGTTATCTTTTGGAACATAAATAATCTAAATTATGAATGAAAACATTTGTTGATTGCATTTTATGCCTTTAACAGTTGTAATATAGAAACCAGAGTCATAAGGAGTGAATTCTCTTCACAGTAGCCATATTGATTGATATGTGTGAGGGCATTTGTCAGTTGTAGATGAATAAGATACCTAAATGAATTTGCTGAGGAAATGAGTTCTAGTTTTCAAAGCATTTCTTTTTTTTTATTCCCTAGATTTACATTTCCCTGTCATGTACATTGTGATATGCTGATCCTATGAGGTTCAAAATAGTTGGTTTGGGCGCCCAAAATCTGAATTATGATATCTAAATTGTGTAAATTTTTTTAAAACAAATTTATATCACAAAAATTACATTTTTCGTTAGTTAGAACTCGGACCAAATAAGAAGTGATGGGAGAGACCAGTTGAATATATATATTTTTGCATAGTTTAAAAATATTTATATGCTGGTATATTTACTGATATTACAAAATGCTTACTTAAAATTACCATTTAAAAAAAAAAGAAAACATACTTACTTTCAAATATATATTATTTTATGTATCCACTTCATACTATTATTTGCTATATTAATGCAGTTAATTCAGATGCAAAGAAAACACAACTGATTTGTGCTCATAGTGGTAGAATATTTTGAAGAGTTTTACAAATATTTTTGGAAGTGAGTAGATGATTGCATGGCTGATGTACTTATATACCCTCTCTCCAATATTCATGTATTTTCAATTGTAATAATATTTGTGAATAAGCATAATGTGTATACACTAATGCTTTACAATATTTTAATATATACATATCACTTGAACTGTTATTGTGATGGACATATATAATTATATACTTTTACAATCTTAAGTTATTATCAATAATTTATTGTTTTGTTTGTGAATTGATAGGAAAATAAATTTTACAATAAATTATATTTTCATTTTCTTAAAATGTAATTGACGCTGATTTTATCTGCTATTTTTAGCTTACATGAAATTTAACCAAAGTTGGTTAAAAAAACAAACAAACACCCATGGTTAAAGGCCTGGAATTCTAATTTTTTTTACAATGAAAGGGACAAGCCCATGTATTTCTGTTCATCTGTAACACTTTCATTTCTGGGCAATATCATGAGAAGCTTTTGAAATGAAATTTTTCAGAACTCCCTATAGCCTAAGGAAGACCCCTTTTTATTTTGGGTCAAAAGGTCAAGGTTGTACATTTCTACATTCTGGATGTGTATGTGTAAAACTTTCATTTTCGGGTGATATCTCAATTTTTAGCTCTACTGGTCAGAGACCAGAAGAGCTTATGCGATAGTAATGCGTCCGTTGTCCGTCCATCTGTCTGTCCGTCTGTCTGTCTGTAAACAATTTTTCAAAATGCTGCTCCTCCTACAGTTTTGGTCTGATTTCGATATAAGTTGGCACACAAGTAGACTACACTAAGATACATAATTCTATATATCGGTTTTTGATTTCGATGAACGGTATGGCCGTGGTTACTAAAAATATAAATTTCTGTGAAATTCTTTCAAAATGCTACTCCTCCAACAGTTTTGGTTTGATTTCAATATAACTTAGCACACAAGTAGACTACACTAAGATACATAATTCTGTGTATTGGTTTTTGATTTCGATGAACGGTGTTGCCGTGCTTCTACAAATAGAAATTTATTTGAAATTCTTTCAAAATGCTACTCCTCCTATAGTTTTGGTATGATTTCAATATAACTTGGCACACAAGTAGACTAAACTAAGATATATAATTCTTTATATCGGTTTTTGATTTCGATGAACGATGTTGCCGTGGTTACTAAAAATATAAATTTCTGTGAAATTCTTTCAAAATGCTACTCCTCCTTCAGTTTTGGTCTGATTTCAGTATAACTTGGCACACAAGTAGACTACACTAAGATACAATATTCTATATATCGGTTTTTGATTTCAATGAACGATGTTGCCGTGGTTACTAAAAATATAAATTTCTGTGAAATTCTTTCAAAATGCTACACCTCCTACAGTTTTGGTCTTATTTCAGTATAACTTGGCGCACAAGTAGACTAAACTAAGGTACATAATTCTGTGTATCAGTTTTTCACTTTAATGAAAGGTGTTGCCACGGTTACTAAAATTAGAATTTTCTGTTAAATACTCTCAAAATGCTACTCCAAATACAGTTTTAGTCTGATTATAATATAATGTGGCATGCAAGTAGACTACACTAAGAACATAAAGAGACTTCATCAAGGATCATTATTCTATTTATTGCTGTTGAAAAGTTTCAATTCCCAACTGCTTAAGTACTTTTCTCTTCCTTTGCTATAAGTACAAACCAGTAGAGCTTCAGTCTCGACAGAGACTTCTGGTTTAATATCTTTATGCCTGGCCATGAATATAGTGTTTGTCATGTCCGTCTTCTGTCCTTCTGTCACATTTTGCGTTTAGCTCTGTTCAAAGCTCAGTTTCAAAGAAACTATCCAAGATATTTTCATCAAACTTCATATGCTGATAGATATTGATAAGGCTATGTAACTGCTTAAATAACTTGACCTTTCCTTTGACATTGAACTCACTTTTCTTTAATTAGTGTTTAGCTCAGTTTTAAAGATACCATTCAAGATGGTGTTATCAAACATCACATGTTGATACATACTGATGAGACTATTCAACTGCATTACCATTTTTGACCTTGACCTTTCTTTTGACCTTGACCTCACTTATCTTTAGTGTTTAGCTCAGTTTTAAAGATACCATTCAAGATATTTTTATCAAACTTCATATGCTGTTGCATACTGATGAGAGCAATTCAACTGCATCAACACTTTTAACGTTGACCTTTCCTTTGACCAATCCCTAAATCAGTGTCAAACTTTATATGCTGATACATACTGATGTAAGCAATTCAACTGCGTCAACATTTTTGACCTTGACCTCACTTTTATCAATTTGTGTTTAAGTCAGTTTTAAAGAAACCATTTATAATATTTTTCAACTTCATATGCTGATACATACTGATGAGAGCTTTTCAACTGCATCAACAGTTTTTGACCTTGGCATTTCCTTTGACCTTGACCTCACTTTCATGAAATTAGTGTCAAACTTCTTATGCTGATACATACTGATATAAGCAATTCAACAATTCAAGATATTCTGATCAAATTTCTTACACTAATACAAATTTTCATGTTGCATTACTAATATACCCTCTGTGGGGCATTCATGTCCTATGGACATATTTCCAGTTTAATGGTTTTTGTTTAACTGCCTATGGCTCCACCCACCCCTCTTAAAAGGCCCCCAAATCTAGATCGGAGCATTAAGATTCCCTATTGTGGCCCCATCTTACCCTGGTGATGATGATCGATATGAACAATTTAGATTCCAGTACAATATGTTACTTAGCTTCCACATAAGTTTCAGTTTTTCTGGTCTAGTGGTTGTAAGGGAAAAAAAATTTCAATAACCCAACCCTATTTTTAGGTCTACTGGTCATAGACCAGAGCTTATGCCAAAGTAAGGTTTCCGTTGTCTGTCCATCTATCCGTAAAAAAATTTCAAAATATGCTACTCCTATAGTTTTGGTCCAACTTCAATATGACTTGGCACACAAGTAGACTACACTAAGTTACATGAAATATTGCATCGATTTTTGATTTCGATAAATAGTGTTGCCATGGTTACTGAAGGTATAGAAATTTCTGTGAAATTCATTAAAAACACTCCTCCTCCTACAGTTTTGGTCCAATTTCAGTATAACTTGGCACAAAAGTAGACTGTACTAAGATACATAAAATAGTGTATAGATTTTTGATTTTAATGAATGGTGTTACCATGGTTACTAAAATAGAAATTTATATGGAAAAACTTTCAAATTATGCTAGTGCTCCTACAGTTTTAGTCTTTTTAATATGACTTGACACACAGGTAGACTCTACTACTAGATACATAAAATAGTGCATAGATTTTTTTATTTTCAATGAACAATGTTGCCATGGTTACTAAAAATAGAAATTTCTGTGGAAAAACTGGTTACTAAGAATAGAATTTTTTGTGAAAAACTTTCAAATAAATGCTACTCCGACAGTTTTGGTCTGATTTCAGTATTACTTGGCACACAAGTAGATTACACATTTATTTATTGGTTTTTGATTTTGACGAATTTGCTGTGGTTACTAAAAAAAGAAATTTCTGTGAAAACTTTAAAAATGCTACTCCTATGTATCCATTATTGATTAAAATTGATGAAAGGTGTTGCCATGGCTACTATAAATAGAAATCTCTTTGAAATATACTTTAAAAATGCTAACCATAATACAGTATTAGTCGGATAATAATACAAGAGGCCCAGGGGCCATATCGCTCACCTGAGCAATTGGCTAGGAAAAAGCACAGATCAGATCAGAACTGTAAGTTTACAGAGGGGGGAAGGGGGCTTGAATTTTAACCCCCCAGGGGGTCATGATTTGAACAAACTAGAATCTACCTGACGATGATTCCCTATAGATATCACTATAAGCATGGCTTTGAAGTACCTGAAAAGAAGATTTTAAAAGGTTTCCCTATATATTCCTATGTAAAACTTTGATCGGCCATTGGGCCCCACCCTATCCCCGGGGGTCATGATTTGAACAAACTTGAATCTACACTACCTGGGGATGATTCCACAGGAGTTTCATCTTTCCTGTCTCAATGGTTCTTGAGAAGAAGATTTTTCCTATATATTCCTATGTAAAACTTTGATCGGTCATTTTGGCCCCACCCTACCCCCAGGGGTCATGTTTTGAACAAACTTGAATCTACACTACCTGAGGATGATTCCACATGAGCTTCATCTTTCCTGGCCCAGTGGTTAATTCTTGAGAAGAAGATTTTTAAAATTTTTCCTATATATTCCTATGTAAAACTTTGATCGACCATTTTTGCCCCACCCTACCCCCGGGGGTCATGATTTGACAAACTTGAATCTACATTACCTGAGGATGATTCCACATGAGTTTCATCTTTCCTAGCCCAGTGGTTCTTGAGAAGAAGATTTTTAAAGATTTTTCCTATATATTTCTACGTAAAGATTTGATTGGCCATTTTGGCCCCACCCTACCCCCTGGGGTCATGATTTGAACAAACTTGAATCTACACTACCTGAGGATGATTCCACATGAGTTTCATCTTTCCTGGCCCAGTGGTTCTTGAGAAGAAGATTTTTAAAGATTTTTCCTCTATATTCCTGAGTAAAGATTTGATTGGCCATTTTGGCCCCACCCTACCCCCTGGGGTCATGATTTGAACAAACTTGAATCTACACTACCTGAGGATGATTCCACATGAGTTTCATCTTTCCTGGCCCAGTGGTTCTTGAGAAGAAGATTTTTAAAGATTTTTCCTATATATTCCTATGTAAAACTTTGATCAGCCATTTTGGCCCCACCCTACCCCAGGGGGTCATGATTTGAACAAACTTAAATCTACACTACCTGAGGATGACTCCACATGAGTTTCATCTTTCCTGGCCCAGTGGTTCTTGAGAAGAAGATTTTTTAAGAATGCCATTAATTTTTCTTTAATTCATAATTATCTCCCCTTGGAAAACTTGAATCCCCTTTACGCAAGGATACTTTGTAGCAAGTTTGGTTGAAATTGGCCCAGTGGTTCTTGAGAAGAAGATGAAAATGTGAAAAGTTTACAACAACGACAAACAACGAACAAATTTTGATCAGAAAAGCTCACTTGAGCCTTTGGCTCAGGTGAGCTAATAATGTGACATGCAAGTAAACTACACTAAGATAGATAATTGCCTTTATTGCTTTTTGATGAATGATGTTGGCATGGTAACTAGAAAATTATGTATTTAATATTAAAATCTATTCCTACAGTTTTAGTCTTATTGCAATCTAGCCCCCAAAAGAAATTGAATCAAGAATTTTTATTCTATTAATTGGTGTTGTAAAGTTTCAAGTCCCAACTACTACCAATCTGATTAAAATCAGATCCTTTGATTTGCTCACATAGATTGCTACAACTACTGTCGCGATCTATGTGAGCTAGTGGATCAAAGGATCTGATTTTAATCAGATTGCAACTACTACTTTTCTCTTCCTTTGTTATAAGTACAAACCAGTTGAACTACAGTCTCAACAGAGATTTCTGGTGAAAATTTTAACTTTCCCTTCACCAAAGGTACAATTCAGACAGACAGACAACAGGTGATCAGAAAAGCTCACTCAAGTTTTCAGCTAAGGTGAGCTAAAAAACAGCTAAGCTTACACAACTTTAAATAAGAATATCAGATAAAGTTTATTTGGCATATATAAATCTGCAAAAATAATAAGTACTTATTATCCATACTTTAGATGTCCAAGGTAAAGCAGGGAATTTAATTTAAGCTTACCCGAGCTAAAGGCCTAAGTAAGTTTTTTTTTCTGATCTAATGAACGAGGGTGCTTTTGATTGGCATAGACATCTGGGTGCAAACGAAAAGTTATCTTGACCTTGTCCAAAATACCTTGGGTTAAGGTCATTAACAATCAAGTAACCATTTACATTTGACTAATCAATCTAGAAAACATACTCCTGCAAGTAAGAACCTTGGTTATAATGCTCCTTGAATGTCTAAGTGGGGCCAAGTCATTTTAAAAGTATTACTCACCATGAACCTCTAAGGGCCTTGAATCACTCTTCTGATAAATTGTACAACCTATCACTTCTATTTGAAGCCTCTAACTCTAAGTATCCTGAGACCCATTTAGTTGCATCAACAGACAAACTTTGATAATTCGTAGCCATTTAGGACTGAAGATATTTTAATAAAGCTATAAAAAACAATAAGTTGGTCATGCATGGTTACCTACTTTACGAATGAAGTTTTCTGAGGACTCAAGATGCATTGACAAAAACAAAGATTGAAGATTCTAAGCCAATAAGTACTTGAGAATTTCAAAATTAGATCACGGTGACCTACTTTTCAGTCTACATTCTCCGAAAACCCAAGATGCATCAACTGACAAAGTTTGATGATTCTAAGCCAATAAGTACCTGATATACTTAAATATAGCCATAAAATGTCAAAAGTAGGTCACCGTGACCTACTTTTTGGTCAACATTCTTCGAAAACCCCAGAGGCATCGACTGACAAAGTTTGATGATTCTAAGCCGATAAGTATTCAAGACAGCCATGAAATGTCAAAAGTAGGTCACCGTCCTACTTCTTAGTTGACAATCTTCAAAAACCCAAGATACATCAACTGACAAAGTTTTGATGATTCTAAGTCTATACTTGAGATATTCAAAAGTAGGTCTGACACTGTGACCTACTTTTTTGTATACATTCTCAGAAAACCCAAGATGCATCAACTGACAAAGTTTAATAATTCTACGATAATAAGTACCTAAGATGCTTAAATTTAGCCATAAAATGTCAAAAGTAGGTCACAGTGACCTACACTTTGGTCGACATTTTCCGAAGTTCTAAGATGCATCTACTGAGAAAGTTTGATGATCATAAAGTATTCAAAATATGCCTTTTAATCAATTTGAAACACAAATGCCTGCAAAATTCAAAAAGTAGGTCACAGTGACCTACTTCTAAGTTAACGTTCGAGGACCCAAGATGCATCAACTGATAAAGTTTGAAGATCATAAGCTTTAAAGTGTCCAAAATATGCCTCCAAATCAATGTGAAAACAAATGCCTGCAAAATTGAAAAAGTACGTCACTGTGACCTTCTTTTGAGTTAACGTGATGTGAAGTCCTAAGATGCATCAACTTACAAGATTTGATGATCCTAGTCTTTACAGTAAGCAAAATATAAACGTTTTTATTAAGTGTAAATTTAGGTCAACTTTGAAGTGACCTTGAGACCACGTCCTTTGCCCCAGGATAATTCCCCATGAAAATTTTAATCTTCAACATATCCTAATCCTTGTATGTAAGTTTTGTGAAAATCTGCCTGGTGGTTCTGAAGAATATTTTTTAGCAACCAGTACTTTTGGTTTTATTTTCCTGATTATCTCCCCTTGTTTAAGGGTCCTAACCCTAATTTTAGTATAAGTGGTAGCCCTTGGGCCAAGGATACCCTGTGACAAATTTGACACAGATTGGCCAAGGGGTTCTTGAGTTATGGCCCATATTCTAAAAAGTTTATGCAAAAATGGCCCTAACATTAGCTCTTCGAGTCTTTGGCTCAGAAGAGCTAAAAATACTGGTGCATAAATTGAAATGCTTTTGGTAGTAATATCTATTCTATTTATTTATTATACCCCCCACTTGAAAAGTGGGAGGGTATATAGTAATCGGTATTTCCGTCTGTACATCCGTCTGTTACACTTTGGGGTACCCATCTCTTATCCACAACTCCTCTTATAATACTGAATGACATTTAATGAGACTTTCACAGAATTTTGTTACATAATGCCATTGAGCACCTCCTATTTTACTTTTTTATTTGACACGTATTTTAGGTTTCCCATAGGAAAACATGGATATTGCCATTATATCCTTACCTATGACGTCACATATAGAAGCTTCTGGATAACATTTGATAAGACGAGTTATTCCTCTTTACACATTACTGTAAAACAATATATAGCAAAACATGGACATTATGGGAGGCGGGGGGTATCATTTAGTGAGCTCATTGCTCACAGTACCTCTAGTTTTTAAATATTATTTTTATTTATTTTCAAAAAAATTCAAAAAGTTTCCAAGGTAAAAACTCTGGGCAAAATATGTCTTCAATCAGACACACATGGTGATTCTGATTTGCCCCCAAACTTCCATTATGGACGTTCAATGTAGAACAATTTTGGATTTTAGCAAGTTGAAAAATTTTAATGATTAATATTTCCAACTCTTCAAACACACTTCCAAGCATGAACAATAAAATTTTGAACAAGAACCTCTGAACATAAATTATGTAAATTTCAACGTAAACAATCTGATCATGAGCAAATCTGAAAATTATATCACTTCAACTTTAAAATAATATACATTGTATGTAACAATTTCTTGACATTTTTCATAAATACATCACAAACATGTACCTTTTTATAAAATTTGATACACTTCTGCGTTTTCTTTGTTTTTGTGAGTAATGTTTAAAATTGACTGCAAGTATTTGTGATAAAAGCCTGACATTGATGAAATGTAAGGTAACCTTTTACTTATACATGTAATACAATTTTCAACACTTTTAAATTATTTAACATTACAATAACATGACAAAATGCATTGAATATTGTTGAACGATTAATTTTTTAAGTCATTAAAATGTGATATAACTTACTTTAAAAATTTCTAATTATTCCCAATATTGTAAATAAATAATGTGCATATATATGACAAAGTAAATTAAAATAGCAGTTGTATTTTCTGGATATTCCCTTGATTGTCGATCTGTATGTATACATTTGCTATTATTCAGTGTATGTTTCTATTTCGTGACTCGTTGCCTCGGTGATGACCTCTTCTCCGTCCTCCAGGATGATGCTCTGGATGTCTGCTGTCTGGGAGTCTTCCTCCTCCACAAACTCGTTAGATAGAGCCTCCATGTGTTCAATGACGTCTGCTTCCATGATTTTCAGTTCTCCCTTGACCGGTCGTACCTCCGTCCTCTCCACCGAGAATTCCTCATCCTCCATGTGGGTCTTCATGTGCTGCTGCAGAATCGTCTTCCTGCTGAACCCTAGTCCACAAAAGTCACACCTGAATGCCTTCTGACCTGTATGTGTTCGTTGATGTGTGACCAAGTTAACCTTCTGACAGAACGTCTTCCCACACAAATCACATTTGTAAGGTCGGTCTCCACTGTGGATTTTGATATGGCGATACAAGTCAGATATCTTTCCAAACTTTTTTCCACAAACATCACACACTATTTCTCCAGTATGAACCTTCATGTGAGCATTCAATCTTAGAGTATCATTGAATCCTTTGAAGCAGACGCCACACTTGAATGGAGAGTTATCTCCCTCGTGGATTTTCATGTGACGCCTTAGATTTCCACTTTCATTGAATCCACGAGTGCAGATAGGGCACTTGTACGGCCTCTCACCTGTATGTGTCCTACAGTGCATGCGGACCTCGTACCTGTGTGTGAATGCCTTCCCACAGTAGCCACATTTAAATCCCTTGGTGTCTGTGTGAGACTTCAGATGTCTGTGACAGTTACTCTTGTTGTTGTATTCTTTTCCACACACATTACACTTATATATAAATTTGGTTTTAGTACCCTCCTGAATTTCTGCTTCGGCCTCTACTTCCATGTGCATCTTGGCAGGAATTTCATTTTCTGTAAAAACTTCCGACTCTGCTGCAGGTTCGGGTAGTGAGGCATCATTTGCGGCTATGATGTTTGCGGGGGCAGTCACAACTTCAGCAGCTGGTGGAGGGAACAATTCGGGATCTATTTCTGTGGCTACATCTGCAATACTCAGCTCAATAATGGAAGCTTCTTCATTCGGAAAGACCATTCCCGGAGCTTGCTTGTAGTTCTTCCTCTTCAAGTGATCTGGCAGGTTCTCAAACACAGCAATCTGTCTGAGCTCGGAATGTGTGCGAAGATGAGTCGAGAGGCTACTTCTGGGGTAAATTTTTCCGCAGTAGCCACACATGTACACTTTTTCCTGAGCATGAATTTTAATATGTCCCTGCCAGTTCAGTTTATTTTTATAAACTTTTCCACATATGGTACATTTATGGAGAATCATTTCATTCTCGCTACCTGAATTAAGAATGATAGTGCTTTCACTCTGAGAGACAATACTGTTCTGAATAACTGTTGTGCCATTCGGTAAGCTACGAAGTTTGGGGTCTCTTACAATGTCTTTGGGGGTAACTTGAGTTGAGACATCAAACAATCCCTGCCTCGAAAACTTTGGAAACACAGTTATTTGAGTAGCTACATCTCTGTATTTCTTGGCTTGAATTGTCATAAGGGAACTGGTAGATGGACTTGGGGCATCAGGTTTTGTTGGGGATATTACGTTCATCAAAGTTTTATTCATTCCTTTCTTTTCTGCATTTTTATCTTCTAGCATGTAAATCTGCACTGTTCCATCCTCCAAAACCTCACTTTTGTAATTTGCCATTTCTTGTACATTCTCTACTGTAACCTCCTCATTTGCTATATTTTCTTGACTCAGTATCTCAGGCTCGAGTTGGTCTTCTGAGATCATGATCTCGTGGATCTCGGTCTGAGTTTCGACAGGTTGAGAGTCTGGCTTTGAGGAGCTGAGAACTTGGATGTACACCTGATTTCCATCCTCTGTCGATACCGGCAGTAATTGAACCAACTACAGAATGGAGGCAAAATGAAAGAAGATTCCAAAAATAATTTTACAGCTAAAATTTTGGCCATTCAATTTTTTATCCTCATTTATTCAGAATTGATAACTGACATTTATGAATCCACTATATAAACATTGATACAACTGTTGATTGATAAATGCCTTGAAAACAAACATGTATAAACAGTGCTGTTGTGTCAAAGCTATTGATATTAGTGTTGGCAACGACAGGCAATTAGCAGTGCGAGTATCGGGGGGGGGATAAAATAAATTCTACATAGTAAAGGCATTGAAAATGAATGTTTTATAATTTATAAATGTATACTAACTTACACATTTTCCTAATTTTAAATGACTGATCTAGTGCATGGTTGTAGTGAATCAAATTGTTTTATTAGTTTTCAAGTTTATATAAATTTTGGCCATTCAATTTTTTAATTACCTCATTTATTCACATAATAAGCTTGATAACAAAAGACATTTCAAAATCTGTTAAATCCACTATATAAACATTTTGACACTCCACAACTGTTAATTATGGATTGAATAATTATGTTACTCTGAAAAAGAAAGTGTAAAATGGTGATTGACACTATTTGTCTTTGTGTGTCAATTCCCTATTAACCTGTTATTAAAGTGATGTGTGTATTGTAAATATAATGTCCCTTTAAAGTATATATGTGCAGTACTACTACCGATAAGTATCGAATAAGATAAATAATAGATATTGATACTTTTACCAAAAATCATCCGAGTAACCGGGTACTCGATCGGAAGATGAAGCGAGTAACCGGTTACTAAAAATCGTCCGATTTGCCAACACTAATTGATATACTTTTAAAGTATGCATATCTATAGCTTCCAGCTTATTTATGTAAATTTACTGTATTTTTTCATAGGTTGGTTTTCAAATAAAACTAATTTACCGATTCATTTAATTGTGTTGATGCATGTTACACCCATTGTGTTATTATGTTTGCTGTTGTGCTGTGTTAAAGGACAGCTTTGGTATTTAACATTATTTTGACAGAAAATTAACCAAGTCAAGTTTGAATTATGCTTGGTGAATGTACAAACCCGGGTTTACTTCAAAATATGAATGCTGCATTTGAAACAAAGCAAAAAGAGTTCCAAAGCATGAAGAAATATGCAAGATTAATTCGAGATAAGTGTTAAACTAAGATACTGTAGACATACTTTTTTCCATGGGGTCATAATTCCGCGGAATCTCTATTTCTGTTGAATCCGCTGGTAGAAAATTACGCTGATATCTTAAGACTCTCCTTATATGCCTTATATTTGCATCAAGTTCAACGGGACAAATTTCCGCGGAAATTTGTGACCGCGTACATAACATAAATTAATATCACGCAGAAAAAAGTACTTCTACAGTATTTAGAGTAGAACACAGGAAAAATACACCTCCATATATGGATATTGTATCTTTCCAAACATTTTTCTAATGAATTTTATTGGGAACTTTTATTATGTTGCCCTTGGTAATGTGATATTTTACCATGATAAAATGAACATCATAATAATGAGACCCCACTGTAATGTGGAATGGATACAAAGATAAATATACTGAAACATTTTTGAATATCATAACATTGAATATCATAAAGAAATCTTAATTTTCTAAAAATAAATGTGAAAATTGTTGTTTCAGTGATTAAATATTGTATGTACCTGGTTATTTTTGTCCAGCTTGACTGGGACCTGGTGAACAGCTCCTTCTTCATCTGTATATTCTGCCATTGTTTGTAGGTTCTCCATATCCTAAACAAGATTGCTAATATTAATGAAGTTTCCAAATGACATCAAATTCAGCTTATGCTTTCTTTATTTTATCAGGTTCAAAGAAAAAATTTCAATATATCTATATCTTAATCCAACAACTTTTTTCAACAAGAGGAATTACTACAGCTTTAGTGTGAAAATGTGGAAAACTTTCTCCTACAAGCAAAAGCCTCGATCGTGATCACTAAATGTCCCTGTGCTCTAAATATACCTCAGAATACATGAATCAAGTTTTACCTCCACTTGGCTGTCATTTTGAACAATCTGCATTTCACTAACAATGGCACCATTCTCATCAACTGTCTGTATGATTTCCTGAGGATTCTCCACCCCCTCTACCTGCTCCTGCTCCATCACAATAGCATTGGCCATCTGTAAAAGCTGTTCCCCTGCCAGGGCCTCAGTAAAGTTGTCACTCTCCATACTCTCTGTCTCCTGATTGGTTGATTCTGTAGAGGGGCGGTCCTGGGTCTCATCTGTCTTTTTAGTGATTGGTTCCTTCTCCTGGATCTGAATGGCATCTTCAGTACTTTCAGCTGTATAAGTGATCACCACTGGTTCTCCAGACATGGACGGCATTCCAAAGGACAGGTTCCCTCTGCCTCCCCCAGGTTCCTCCATCCTTACTGTGGAAATTGACTTCTCCATCGATCACTTTCTCCTATCACTAAATGCAAATTAAATGTAAATTTTATTCGAAGAAAGAAATTTTGGGCTTGTTAACTATAAAATAGCATCCACTCTATACAGTCAACCACTTTAAAACCTTCATAATACATATCTAATAAACAACAATTTTACATAGATCAGCATTTTTGAGGTAGGGGTCATGGTTTTGGGGAAGGGGGGGTCCATGATTACTTTTACTTGGTTTAGTATAAACATTAAACAATTAACTCTGCAAATTCCAGGAGGGTCCCTACCCCCCATGCCCTTTAAATATGCGCATGAAAAATTAGAGCAGACAATTATACTTTTTTTTTATTCGTAGAATAAAGCAGATAAAAAATACAAAAAATAAAGCAGAAACAGAATAGAGAGTAGACCTAGCACATAATTTCCTGTGAGGGAAAATTTTATTTGATTTTTAAAGTTTTGTAAATATTACATGCATGTGAATCCAATAAGCAAATATTAATTTAGAGTGGCCTTGAAAACTTCATCCAAAGTAACAATTAAGGATATCCATTTCTGTTGGGGAGATTAAAAAGGGTGTGTAAAAAGAATATCAGTTTAAATATATGCTCATCCTCATATATATTTTAATTTCTCTTGTAAAAAAAAAATTAAACGCTATTTTTTTCTTACATACTACAGTCCTAGGCCTATCCTTTAACTTTTTTTGGAGTTTGCTTACATTTCGGAAAATACTAAAACTGTCTGAACAAAACGCACATCCCCAACAAAGCATTTTTTCGTCAAAATAACAATTTGTCAAATATGAAAGTAGACTTCATTCCGAAGTCGAAAGACTCAAACGCATTTAAAACCTTTGAATTCCCGTTGATGCTTGCATGCCATCCAAAATCAACGCTGCAAAGCTTCCGAGTGAAAATAGTAAAGTTGTGATCTCATTTCACTATACAAGCGCGAGTATATTGAATTCCAACAGAAATCAACACTGTAATACAATTGAGCCTCACCTTTCCGTAAAAGAAATGTTGATTAAACAGTATTAATCAAAAATGACCTTTACAATTCTTCCAACGAAGACAAAATGGCGTTGGAGGCGCAAAATATTCATGCACACTAAGAACGATAACTCTGTTTTTCTCACTTCAAAAAATAAATATTCTTTCATCGCAAATGGCCGGGATTACTCTTAGATATGTTTTTTGTTAATTCATTAAATGATAATAAAAAAAAATTAAAAATTTAATCAAAATCTTTGGACTTTTTTATTTGAAAGTTTGGGTAGATATATAGGCCTAAAGATGTAGTTATCATTAATTTTATTTTATCTTTTCCCAAGTTACCTCCCTCTAATACACCTAATACACCGCCATTTTGACTTTTCTGTTGGTACTGGAAGGAAGTGGTGGAATGTAATTGGTAATAGACTAGAATTTAACCGGTAGAAAAGCTAGGTGAGTCATGTTTGAGTATTATTTAAGCCCATTTTCTTTCTATCTCTCTGAAGCTTGCTCCTATCCAAAATCGACAGCATGCAAGCATCAAATTGAGTTCATAGGTTCTGAGTGCGTTTGAAAATGGTTACTTTCACTTTATTGAAATTTTTAGCGGACGAAACTGTTCTGAATACGTTTTATAAGGGGGTTGACGAAAAGATATTTTAGCCACGTGTCTATTGACAAATATTTGGTTAAAATTCACTTGCTTTGCCTGAATATTTGCTTGACCCACCTAAACTGATATTGTATAATTTATTGTAGGATTGCCCCTGTGCCTACCTTTAAATTAATGTATGGCTTACATGTGGATTTTAAAAAAAGTTTTATTGTTACTTACCCACAGGCAAGTGGTTGATACAATTTCCCTTGTCCACCTTAAAAAAATCACCCCCAGTGTTGATTCTAAAAGGTTTAGCCATACCATACTCCATAGATCATGATCTAGATATCACCCACAGTTATACTGATAGAGTTGCTTCCATTTATGGGGTCAACTTGAAGTCCTATGTAGATTTAGCATCCTTATGTGTAAGAATACCTAAGCAATACTGTGATTTAAAGGAAAGTGTGTTTATTAATAATGACTTTCATCAAATGTATACAAAAAGAAAATTTTCAGAGGGAAACCACCAACCCCCCACCACCCCCTGGGCTGAGTGACTGATTATTGCTAAGTATTCATATTTTATTCTTTTGTATGAATGCACACAAGCATTTTTCATTTTATAATATGACTGCTTTTGATTTAGGTGAAAGGTATGTCTGCCGATTACCTGACAATAGCTCCTACTGAGGAGGGTCAGAATCAGGCAATAGCAGCTGCCAGTGTACATCAATCAGATGTACCCCAGGGAAGTCAGGAGATCGTCATTGACGGCACGCCCCTCCAGATCCCCGCAGGGAATTACAGAACCGAGGTCTTGGAGGATGGGACTGTGCAAGTCATTGTATACCAGGAACCGGGGAATCAGACACTTAGTATGTAATTCTTTAGTTCAATTTGATATGGTCACATTATTGAGTACAGATAAAAGTTTAAGCACAGGTTAAAAGTTAAAATATTTGCACATTAATTGCAATATTGGAAAGTTTCTTACAGTTAATCAAAATTCTGATGCTTGAAAAATTAACAAAGCATTTATCTGAAGGACAATGGCAAACTGCCAAAGACTTTAAAGTATTTATCAAATTTTGAAACTATCATATGTTTAGCCAATCCCAATGAACTTTCAAGTATCTTTCACCAAATTCTTAATGATCAAAATACTGTTACTATATGATGGAAAATTCTTCAGTACAAGATCCAGTTTGAAAATGTCAGAATCAATGTAAATGCATTTCAAGTAAAGTACACTAGAGAGCTTATATATGCTAGTTGTAACTATGCACATATGTATATTGATCACAAACAAGCTTTTGATGGTCCCTGTTGCAAATGTAATGAAAGATATAAACAATACATGTATAAAAATTTGATCTAATGAATTTTAGCAGCTCAGTTCTCTTTACTTTTAATCTTGCAGATAATACTGTAACTCAGCCAGCAGCACAACCAAATCCGGTTATCCTTCCAATGGAATCAGAGTTCAAGGGTCGTCGTAGTCATGACATTGGCATACAGAACACAACAGTGCCTCACTTTAATACATACAGCTTCACAGAGCAGGGTACCCAGACAATTCCTACACCAGATATAGACCTAGAGCAGGAATTGATTCAGCCAGAGTTAGAGGATGAAGATGTGGAAGAAGAAATACTTACTCCTCTCCCTGGCAAAAGGAAGAGGGGCAGGCCTCCAAAAGCTCAAGTCATCCATAACCTCACCGTGCCCAATGAAAGCAATAAGTTTAACAAAGGCACCAAGGTTATGTCCTATCATAAGTGCACCATCTGTGGGAAATGCTACAAAAACAAAGCCAACTGGACAGCTCATCTGAAGTTGCATGACAAAGAAGAGGTGTTTATGTGTGGATTTTGTGGACAGATATTTCAGAAAACTGCATTTCCTCAACATTTGAAAACTCATAAGAAAGAGAAAGAAAGTTCAAACAACGAAAATACTGCACAATCCAGTGTGGAGGCTAACACTGCCAGTTCATCAAGGAATCTGACAAACACTCCCCTTTATCATGAGCCCAAACAAGCAAGTCCCAGCAAGCAGACAGGAGTGATGAAACCTGCTCCAAACATTCCTGCCAAGCTGGACATTAAAACTGGAAATCTTGACCGACAGAAGGATGTGATTCTTCAAAGCCATCAGGTGACCCTTCCCAATCAGCAGGTTGCTACGGTGATAGACCTGGGGAGCCTTGGAAACCTGTTGACATCTGGCAACAATCAGAACCAGCTGGATTTGATGAACAGAGATGGGGATCCTGAGAACTCCTTGGAAGGCATGGAGGGAGAGAACGACGATACTAAGACCAAGTACATCTATAAATGTAATGTCTGTGGCAAGGAGTACAACAACAAGAGTAACTGTCACCGCCATCTCAAAACCCACACCCATGAGAAAACTTACAAATGCCCTGCTGATGGATGCGACAAGATTTACATGCACAGGTATGAGCTCCGCATGCACATGAGAATCCATACTGGGGAAAAGCCATTTAAGTGTGCTGTCTGCAAGAGAGGCTTTAATGAGGGAGGAAATCTTAGACGTCACATGAAAATCCATGCAGGGGATGACACTCCTTTTAAATGTGGGGTCTGTTTCAAAGGTTTCAGTGAGATGTTCCGCCTTCAAGTTCATCTAAAGGTACACAGTGGTAACATTGTGTGTGATACTTGTGGCAAGAAGTTTGGAAAGATCTCCGATTTGTACAGACATATTCGCATCCACACAGGGGATAAGCCCTACAAATGTGATATTTGTGGGAAAGCCTTCTGTCAGAAAGTCAATCTCCAGACCCACTACAGAACTCACTCAGGAAAAACACCCTTCAGGTGCACCCTCTGTAACTTCGGCTTCAGCAAGAAAGCCATCCTGGATAATCACATGAGCGGCCATGAACCAGAGGAGATCGAAGAGCATGAGATGAACCTAAGGATGATGGGAGTGACGGAAGCTGTCACCATCAAACAAGAACCCCGTACCCCGGCTCCCCCTCCGGTGGAGGACTCAGAGGAGGAACCCCAGCAGATGGAGGTCGTGACCTTGGATGCCAAAACTGGCTTGGTGGAGGTCACCCTGGAGAATCAGGAATCGGAGACTGGACTCAGTCAGGAGGAGCTGGCTCAGCTGGTGGCTGCCACTGTAGAGGAGACCGAGGAGACATGACAACAGGTCACATAGATAGAACTGTGTAATGGGGTATTTATTTCTGTAAATATGGGAATTGTATTGAGATTTATGTGTGAGTTGAAGTAAATAGAACCACTTCTTATGGGATTCTGGTAACAAGACTTCTCTAAGAGTTTACATTCATTTTTAAACTTGTAGATTGTTAAAATGCATGATATAAATTACTATATTTTATGAGCATTAATAAAACATGAATGTTATTTTCAATATTTTTGCTTCATAAATGTTTGTTAAATCAAAAAGTTTAAGACTCTGCAGATTTTTGGTTTTAGAATAGTCTCAGATTCTGAAGTATGATAAAAATCCATAACTCTTCTCAGTTCTCACTAAGGATATTTACTTCACTGTATATGACCAAGCTTGCCTTCAGAATGGCTTGGACCTGAGCCCATATCTTAACCTTGTAATCAGGAGAATGATGCCATGCATAAAGACTGACACATGTTGAGTTTACAGCAAGTTACAAGCCTGACGGAAAATAATTTGGACCAGGATATGGACAAAAATAATGTGGAAATCAAAACATTAGAAAACAAGCTCGTATTTGATGCATAATTTCATATTACTTTAGGATGTGTAACAACCAAAGCATGAGATATTTAGATACATTGAATATGTCCTCAGGCTTCTTTACAAGGCATGTAAGTTGAATTTTAATCCTGGCCCACAATTGTCATTAAACAAACAGTTGAATCTCTTAGCTGTCCTAAAGAGTTGTGTTCCTTGTGACTTGATTTCAAGTCAAGGCCATTTTAACATGGAAAGATATTGCATACATCATGAAATATATGGAGATAATGTACAGTATTCAAGCTCAAAAGTCGATAAATAAATATGAAATTGGAGCAGAGCAAACACAGACCTCCAAAACATCAGTGGTGGGACCAGGTGCCATGCAGGAGTGACCAGTCACACCCGTCATGTGCTCCTTGTCATGTTCAGGAAATAAAGGAAAAATCCAATTGTCAATTCAGTGTGTAAATAATGGTCTAACAATTGGTATGAAAAATATCAGTCAGCATTTGACTCAGTGATAAATTGTATTTGCTAATACAAGGTCACTGAATCTACCACAGAACTTATGAAATGATGACTTTAAAGGTGACTGCTGATATTCTTGTTTCATCAACTTGTTTGTCAATAAATAACCTCATTTTGGAAATTGCTCATACATAGAGCATGCTCTTGTGTATCGAATCAACCCAGAGATATAAACTCCATATGCAGATGATGAAGGAATATTGCTGCATAAGTACTATACTTTTCATTGCAGTGAGCTTAAGTTTTAGTTATGAATTTTGTACCATTATATATACTTTCTAACTACTAATGGTAGGTTCTAACTACTAATGGTAGGTTCTTTCAAACAGGAATATTATGTCATATTTGTCATTAAATCTCTCTAATCTACACTTATTACTTGCACTGCATAAAAGCTTAGACACACAAAAAACAAATAGCATGATACTGTTTTGTAAAATAATTTATTTTGAGTTTATGTGTATTCAGAAAGTTAAGTGGAGACTGCCATTGAAACAAATTTGTATTTTTCCCAATTTCCAGGGTTTAAGGAGTTGAGAGAAATAAAAATTTCCACATGCAGTTTTGAAATAAGCTTAATTGTCAGTTTGGAGGTACTAGCTATCCAGTCAATTATAAAGAGTTCTTCAGTTTGATTTGAATAGTGGTTAAAAAATGAGAGACCCCAAACAGAATCATGAGAAAGATGTTCATACACATGACAATAACATAATGACTGATGCTTGTTCCAATCTCCAGCCAGCTGCCATAGTCTCTCACCAGGAAAAAGAAGTTCTGAAAAATACAACAAAATGAAAATTAAATCGATACAATTCAAATGAAAACAAAACCTAGAAAATGAAAGTCAAAATACAGTGGACCTTTTATAATTTTTGTAAGAAAATGTATTTCAGTAAAATATACAGAAAAGAGTGCATTACATTATGGAAAATGATATTGTGGAAATAAAGGCAAAGGACACATATTGACCATACATACATCACTTCTAATCTTGGATTCCTTTGCAAAATGTATTTTGTTTAAAGATAAGGTATCTTTGGACATCATGCTAACTTTAATGTATAGGACACTTCACTCACCAAAGCCATGAAATCGGACATGATCATGACTATCAGAAACAGAGCCCTGTTGGGAATGTGTGTCAGGATTTGGACTGTCCGGAAAGAACACGCCACCAGCACCAAAGGTAGAATGTTCTGAAAATCAAAAATTTCTTTACAAATGTGAATTTTCCAATTCACCATACTGTGAGGCAAGTTTTCAGAGTATATTCTTATATTACATACACATCTATTAAGTTAACATTATTCTTACTTTGAGCATAAGGAGAGCACCCATCATAAATGGATTGAAGACTGTCAGAAAACAGTAAACTGCAGCAGGTTCAAAGCTGTCAAACATGATCAATACATTGTAGTGGGTAATTCTTCAACTTTTCAATAAGTAAAGGTTAAAGAAAAAAAAACAAACAAGAAACATAGATAATCAGAGATTACAGAGCTCACCTCAACAAATGTTGTCTTTAAGTAAGGCAAAGTCACACTGACACAATTACCCAACAAAAAGTGTACATCCAAAAATGCAACATTTATGAAATTTTGATCTGATACTTTGGAATAGACCTAAATAAAAACTTCAAACTAGTTCTTCATCACGAAAATGTGATCAAATCCAGCATCTGAAGCAAGTTTAAGAGCGTGCATCATTTGGGCAAGTTTGGTTTATTTAAGCCTTATAGTTTCTTGGTGATAGACCTGCACCCATAACTTTTTACCTGAAAAAAAATGTAGGTCAGATTCAGCATCTGAAGCCAGCCTGGTAGAATGCAACCTTAGATGTATCATCCATGCAAGTTTGGTCATTAAAGAGCTCATAGTTACTTGGAAATGAATCCTGCATCAAAAACTTCAACCTGTTCACTCGTCCAGAAAATGTAGCTAAGATTCAGCATCCGAAGCAAGTCTGGTAGTATGCATCCTAAGATGTACTATCCATGCAAGTTTGGTCATTATAGGGCTCATTGTATCTTGGAAATGAACCCTGCACCAAAAACTTTAACCTGTTCACTCAACCGGAAAATGTAGCTCTGATTCAGCATCCGAAGCAAGTCTACATCCTTAGATGTATCATCCATGCAAGTTTGGTCAACATAGTGCTTATAGTTACTTGGAAATGAGATCTGCACCAAAAACATTAACCTGTTCACTCAACAGGAAAATGTAGGTCAGATTCAGCATCCAAAGCAAGTCTGGTAGTGTACATCCTTAGATGTATCATCCATGCAAGTTTGGTCAACATAGTGCTTATAGTTACTTGGAAATGAGACCTGCACCAAAAACATTAAGCTGTTCACTCAACAGGAAAATGTAGGTCAGATTCAGCATCCAAAGCAAACCTGGTAATGTGCATCTTTAGATGTACCATCCATGCAAGTTTGGTCAACAGAGGGCTTATAGTTCCTTGGAAATGAGACCTACACCCAAAACTGCACCAAAAATGTTAACCCGCTCCAAAAACATTAACCTGGTCATTCCTTTGCTGAAATTGCAGCATCTGAAACTTTGACTGGTACAATGAAACACATTTGAAGCATCTTTCATGCATGTCTAATCAATATAGGACATACAAGTACTTAAAAAATTAACCTGGGACGCCGACGCCAACACCGACGCCGAGGGTATTACATAAGCTCCCCCAACTTTGTTGAGGTGAGCTAAAAACTGCAGATGCCAATTTACACTTACCTATTAATACTAGCTATATTCCCTGTGCTATAAAAAGCTACAAGTATAAAGAAAATCTAATCCCGATGTCAAGGAACAAAATGGTAACACTAAAGAATCTTCAGCTTAAAAAAAAGCCAATATTTTTATTTCCTTAAAGCTGAACAAGAATATTATCTCTGTCTGCCACATTTCTATCGTCCCCCATGAAATGCAACACTTCCTCAACCACAACATATTTAAAAATCCCTACAAACCAGTTTTTTGATCTTAACCCACGAAAACTTATCCTACAAAAAATGTATGATTTTTTGCAGCACTACAATTTGGTCAAGAATTTCAGAGTGCAAGCAGGTACATTGTATAACAAATGTGAAGGCTATGTATACTCCAGGGCTGACTCTGTGTGGCTATTTATAAGTAGTATTCAGTTTATGAGAATACAATAATTTGCAGAGAGAATTGATTTAGATACACCTGTACTGTAGATAATAAAATTTAACATTAAATTTGATTCTGAATCAGAGAAGGATACATAAAATAAAGATCTGCGTATGTCCTCAGCCACCACATGACGTTCTCCTGAAGGAGGTACTGCAAAATCAGTTGTTAGGAGATTCTGTAAAAAAAAAAAAGTATTTAGTAATGAGAAAACTTATATAGATGTCATGTTCTATTTATGCAGAGATTGTACATGTTAATCAGAATCTTGGTCAATGTTTTTTTAAAGCAATAAAAAAAGCAAACTATATAAAGTTTTTTTTTTGTCTAAAATTATGTGTACTTGGTTATTTCAAAACTTTCGAAAATTAAATATTAAACTAGAACTGTCCAAACGGGACAAAATACCCCCCGCTGGGTTTTTCAGAAGTAGGTTTTTCCATAATAAAGATATGTATCAAACACGAATTATGAAATTTTTCTTCCAGGGACCTTGAACTTCCCCAAATGACCTTGGGTAAAGGTCATGACACACCCTTGGGTCATGGGCAATCTTTGTGTGAAATGAGAACCTACCAAGTTTATCCATAAGAAAGATATGGACCGGACACGAATTATGAAATTTTTCTACCAGTGACCTTGAACTTCCCCAAATGACCTTGGGTCAAGGTCATGACACACCCTTCGGTCATGGGCAATCTTAGTGTGAAATGAAAACCTACCAAGTTTATCCATAAGAAAGATATGGACCGGACACGAATTATGAAATTTTTCTTCCAGTGACCTTGAACTTCCCCAAATGACCTTGGGTCAAGGTCATGACACACCCTTCGGTCATGGGCAATCTTTGTGTGAAATGAGAACCTACCAAGTTTATCCATAAGAAAGATATGGACCGGACACAAATTATGAAATTTTTCTTCCAGTGACCTTGAACTTCCTCAAATGACCTTGGGCCAAGGTCATGACACACCCTTGGGTCAAGGGCAATCTTTGTGTGAAATGAGAACCTACCAAGTTTATCCATAAGAAAGATATGGACCGGACACGAATTATGAAATTTTTCTTCCAGTGACCTTGAACTTCCTCAAATGACCTTGGGTCAAGGTCATGACACACCCTTGGGTCATGGGCAATCTTTGTGTGAAATGAGAACCTACCAAGTTTATCCATAAGAAAGATATGGACCGGACACGAATTATGAAACTTTTCTTCCAGTGACCTTGAACTTCCCCAAATGACCTTGGGTCAAGGTCATGACACACCCTTAGGTCATGAGCAATCTTAGTGTGGAGTAGTAGATTCTAATGTCCCTCTGTAAGAAAGATATGGACCGGACACGATTGCACAGACAGACGGACAGACAGACAGACGGACAGACGGACAGACAGACAGACGGACAAGGTGATTCCTATATACCCCCCCAAACTTTGTTTGCGGGGGGTATAAAAATGTTACTCGTTCTCTTTAAATATAGGTGCATATACACATATTGCATGTACCTTTCCTTTGGTATTATGCACATCTTTCTCCAACTGAATCCACAGATACAATACAACACAGAAACACACAATGAAGAGGCCCTCCTGTCTAAAACAATGTTAAGGAACAATTGTACGTCATGCCATTCATTGCTAAATGAAGAAAGAAAATTAGCAATGAAAATGTGGTCATTTATCCAAATAAATAATGTACAGTACTTGAAGGATACAATAAACTCATCAGGAGGTAAACAGGAAAAAATGCAAAAGCGATGGAGAACAACCGTGGTAACACATGAGTGGGGTTCAACAAGGGGACTAAAATGGAGGAACCTGAAATACAACAAAACATGTCAGTAGTGCAAGTTTTATTCCATTTTTGATACATACCTATACTTCGGGAGGTTTTACTTTGACCACATATTAAATATGACTGTTTCCTCTTTTATTGTTTCTGAGGCAAAGGATTACACACCTAGGATGGTCCAGGAGACCAGCTGGTTGAACCAGTGAAGTCCTTCTTTTCTTTTTATACTGGACGACACTGACCACAGGTTGTAGATGGCAGCAAGAAGTATGGTCAGCTATAATACATTGCATAAACATGTCATTTATCTTAGATATCACAAAGTTCATATAAAAATTACTGAAGAAGATAATCACAAATAAACTTGCAAACATTTTTATTTACATCACTTATACTTGAGTATTGAAACTTGGAATGTACATGGATATACTTGAAGTATATCCCATTTGTTTAAATTTGGAAAAAATAAATTTACCTGCATTAATCTCATTTTGGCACCCTTTGCATCCTTTAGATATACTCTGAAAAATGACAGATATTGCTTATTTTGCTGTATTGAAATTGACATTTTCACTTTTTTTAAACTCTTAAGTTTCTTGCACCTAATTTTCAGCATTTTCAGCCAGGATTATAGGACCCTCCCTCGAAAAACAAAAATGACAAGGACCCTTCTCTAACTCCCTCTCAAATCTGGACTAGTTACACTTAAGAATAGGTTCTAAAAAACATCAAACACTATTTGTGCACTGTTAAAGTGAAATCTGTTCTTCTGCATACCTTGCAATCACAGCACCAATTATAAGGGCTACAACTCCAGCCAAGAGTCTGAAATACAAGAAACAAAACCAATGCTCAAACTATCCTCCATAATACAGTTACATTGGATGCATGACATGAAATCTGCTTCAATTATTGATGGTTAAAAAAAAACATAGTTTTTCCTCCTGCTTACAATGTTTTCATTGAATTAAAACCCTTTTATTTGCCTAATGTAAATACTACTTTCAATAACAATACTACTTTCGGTTTGACTCACACTAAATAGTAGTTACTCTGTCTCCCCACAACAGGAAGTAAAGGAAACACAGACAGCATCAGACAAATCACCAGCCAGGCATACTGTACAAAAGATGTAACCAAGTAATTAAAGTGTACAAAATAATTCAATATATTAAATACATAATATGCAACATTTTTTTTTTTTTGGCAAACTGCTAATGGAAAATCTGCATTCAGCAAATGATAGTTTTGCATATATGCCTTGTACTGTTTCAAGACCCTATACACGAGTTGGAGTTTCTCACAATTCTTGCCAATATTTTTCACAAGTATGTGTTAAACACCAAATCAAAAGTTTTTCTCTTTTCTCCACTTGATTTCATATTTGAATGGTGAGCAGTTAGCATTACAAAATGTACTGAACTGTTATGGATTCTGACCTGATTAGTTGATCTAGATCTGTAAGCCCAGAAAGGCCAGACTCCTATGGCAATAAAACCTACAGAGAAGATTTCCCTGTAGAAGAATCCAGCCACCTGAAAAAAAAAAAAAAACATTTCATTTCAATGAATGTTCTCAAAGATAGAACTAGTTTCTTGCTGTCTGTCACTTTAATATGAAGGAACTTACCACAGCCTCTAGACCCAGTAAACACATGACTACTGTTCCTATTGCAGGTATCCCACTGGTGTTCCATTGCTTGTTGATCGCAGTCACAAATATATGCCACCTAAAACAGAAAATAAAATTCAGAATTTTCTGGTAAAAGGGTGTCTGCCATTACTTTAATTTAAAGTTATTCAAAAGTCCTTGAGGAAAGGAAAAAAGATGACTGACCTCTCTAAAACTAGCATCCATAGTAGAACAGGAACCAGGCAATACAGGTAGTAGGTCCAGGGTAGAGACTGAACTGAAGCAGAAAAAAAGATTGGGTCTCTTCTTTAATACACTGTATCTTGTAGAACACAGATTTGAAAGAAAAAATTTCCAATATGACTTTTGGTCCTATACTGTAATTCTTTCTTAAGAACACACACCAATGAGTAATACTGTAATCACCATGGCAACAGCAGCGGCCAAACCTCGGATAAATGTCCTTGAGAGCAAAAATGGAGAATTCATCTCGTCAAAGAATGTTCTCTTGTTGGAGAAACCCACATGGTCTCTCAAAATCAGTGTCAGGATATAGAATCCCCAGCCCACAAAACCAGCTGTAATACTTAGGCTGTAAAATGATAAAATTAGGGTTGAACAAAAAATAGTCATAGTAATACAGACTTCACATTCACAAGATAGTACACAGAAGTCATTCATATGTATATAAATAGAATGTAAACATCACACAAATGACATTGTTAATTACCCTAGCAGGAATCGGTCATAGTTCTGATAGTATCCTAATCCTCGTAATGCCAGCTGTATCAAATGTTGAGACTCTTCTATCTGTCAAATAAAATGTATGGTTACAATTATATTCAATGTACCTCTGAGTCAATATTAACAGAATTAAAGACAATCAAAAGGTAGAGCATTTAAGGAAAAGAACATAATTTTCTTTTACTTTCTTTTAAAATACATGTACTTACTGCTTCTTCATAAAGACCATCTTTTATCAAATTTCTGATATTTCTGGTATGCAAAACCTTAATAAAAAATATGATAAAAAAAGACCATGAAAATTTTTTTCACGTAAAAATGTGATTTAATATGATGCAATTTGAAAGAAATTGATGTTATATCAATAAGCACATGTTAACAGAGAATGCATGTGTATTTAATTCCTGTACTATACCATACCTGTTTATCATCTGTTAATTCCCTGAAGAAAAAATTATTGATTTATTTTTTTAACATGATTCAATTGAAAATAAATCGTATTTGTAAAATATAAGAACTTTAAAACCTAAAGGGTATTAAGATTTAGATCTTTTTCAAAAAATTAGATAGTGCGGTTACAAAGTTATCTCCCTGTAGCAGAATTTATATATTATGATAAACCTACAGAAATGGTCTGAAAGTTTGAGACAGTGTTGTTCTCTGCTTCTGTTCCATTTTCACCTAAAATAAAAACAGAATCAATTTATATTCAAAGCAGTTATGGTAAAAACTGAACTTTTATAGTGTGCACTTATTAGAATCCTCTGGCTAACTTTTAAATATTTTTGAGATGATGTACTGTACACCAAAACATTTCTGTTCAAAAAGTTATAAGACCATTCAAAATCAACACACCTAAAACAGATTGTAGTCTGTAAATTTTTTATAAAGAACAGTGTTGAGTAGCATATATCCATTAATTTATTTACCTTGAATTGGGCTAAAATTTGCTGAGCATTTGCAAACATGGCTTCTGCTTGATCGGGAAGAGGTATGTCCAAAACCTCTAATGGTAATACACCCTACAAAAACGAAAACTGATATTAAGAATTTCTGTCTTCATGTCAGGCTTAACCACACTGAAGTATACCATAAAAAATTCTGACTGAATTCTTGATAAGTGAAGACTTACAACAGAGTTGACAGGGTAGGCTACTCCAATCAATGCTGCCATCAAGGGAGACAAATCTGCCTGGGGAGAAAAAAGCAACAGATCATGAAATCAAAATAAGGAGACAGTTACAAGTCTTTTTACCATTTCTCTTCTATGGTATAAAGATTTTTTTAGCAATCTTATATTCAAAATAAAGATGAACTTCATACAGGAATAACTGAAACTTGACCTCACTTACATTTTCGAGTTATAACTTCCAGAAAAATTTACATTTTTTTTCTTAACTTGGCAAAGTGTTGTTTTTGGTTTTTTTTTTTCATCATTACATTTTAACATTTGCTTTGTTTTGTTTATGTGTGCATGTTTTTTTTTCTTTAGTGTAAAATTGTGATGTGAATGCAATTTTTTTAAAGTAGCAAAATTCAAAGACAATAGAGCACATAATGAATATTATTGTGATTGGACTGGACCTTTGGACAAATGTTAATGTTAAGCCTTGCAGTGAAACATTTAAATAGCTATAATTTTCTGCTACATTTGAATAATTGTTCCAGTAACTATGTTACATCCTGCATAGAAACATACCTGTTGTACATCAGATCTCTTCAAATGATCTAGCTTCCATTCTACCAAAAAGTGATTTGAAAAAATTATTATTAATTTTTCATACTCTAAATATCCTTTTAATATGCAATAACAATAATAACATTATAAATATTGGAGGGAAAGAATATTATATAGACATTTATTACTTTTTGAGAATCCATCTTCATTAGGCTTTGATTTATGATCTGGTGCCCGAGGACCCCGAATCCCTGCCCCCCAGGCCACCAGGGGGGTGAGGGTCTCTGAAGGATGACCCGCTCCATGAGATCCCCAGTCTGTCATCCCGTGGTCAGCGGTCATAATATAGGCTGTTCTGTTGTCATGGTGATAGAATTCTTCAAAAAGCTGACTTATTTCCTGTATCCCAGAATCCACTGCTGCTATGTTCAGTAAGTATTCCCTACAAGCAGTTCTCAATGTTACATTTCCTGGTGAAGAGGAGAAATATTATCTGAGTGAAATTTTCTCAAGAACTCATCAATTAGACAATTTGTTTAATTTACCAAATTAACCAATATTTTTGTAGTCATTTGTCTATTCTATCTAGTCTTAATTTGCATTTACTTACTGTGAGAATGGTTTATGAGAGTGGCCATTTGTATCAATGCCCAACAAATGAAGGAAGAAAACAATCTTGTCTTTTTGAAGCTTTTTCATCAGAGCAGGGTCCTTGTTTGCCTCAAGGAGGAATATCTGTGCAAGAAAACATCATCTGTTGTATTGTCTTTTAGAGAATAAGTACCCCACTAGTAACTGTGCTCTGTAAAGATATTTTTTATTTGAACATTACAAAACTTTCATGAATGAGAATCCTTTTTAAACTTACCTTGACCTTATCAAATACCCAGGTGTCAAGTTTGGAAGCATCAGCTGCAGCAAAGTCCTCATGCTCTGAAGGGTAGTAGTCCATAAATACATGGTCCCCAGAGGCTCCTGAAGAGAGGAAACAAATTAAAACTTTTCTTTAGTTACTTTGTTGGATTTTTGATACAAAACAAACAAGTTGCAACATACAGATACATAGATAAGGAGAATGCTATCCCTGTGTATCCCCCATTCTTTTGACTTTAGTTAACATAATAAATTATTGACAAATTTATTCAATATCACAGAATAATGTCGGTAAATGGCTTACCTTTGGAAAACATGGGAAGAATGTCTGGGCTTCCCCAAGACCAGGTGTACTGGCTTTCATTGAAAACTGAATCAAACTCAACAGGATTCTCCTTCCATCCTAACAAAGTTGTCAAGGAAATAAGAAACAGATTTATTCATGTCACAACTTGCATTAACTGTTCTACTGAATCTTTGAATTTTGATTAAATTCATTATATTCATACACCAAACACATATAAATCTTAAAAGTCACTTTAAAGAAATTATAATGTATAAATTAAGTACTTATGACACTTAATCATGTTTCCTAAACCTTTTGCTACAGCACTGACATCTTCATAGAAGCCTGCTATTAGAGCCACATGACCTGGGCGTGACTCTGTGGGAACTCTAGTATGGGACACACCCCACACTCCTTTATTCTCAATAACAGACCTAAAACAAAACTGATGATACATGTTTCTGTTCCTTCTTTTACTAAAGTTAATATTAAGATATATAAAATTAATTTGAAACAGTCATTCTTGTTACCATCCTGTATTTGTCCTTCAAATCATAAAATGCATGTTAATTAGGCTAAATTTTGAACACTGATAAAAATATGAATAAGTGCATATAAAATTAAGGTACCTGAAAAAAGGTGCTACAAATTTGCCATTCTCTAAGGGCTCGTAAAACTTGTCAGCTCTAAGTCCATCAGCCACAAAGAGGATGAGACGCTTCGCCGGAGGATTGGAGCTGGAGGTAAAGGGAGTCATCCCATGTACTAACGGTGAGGTGAAATAGATGTCAAAAATAGAGTAGAAGAAAATCAGATGAACCGTCACTCCAAACACAACTAACTGCCACGTCCTCATGTTGAAAAGCAGCCTATGGTAAATAAATTACTAAATTTAACAAAAACTAAATTTTACAGTGTAAGCCACAGGCACTTGTTTCAGAAATATTTTTAACTCAATTATTTCCGAAACAAGTGCCTGTGGTAGAAGCTGATAAGTAAACATCAAAGTTCTGATGAAACTTTATTCATCTGCATTTTTTCAACAGACCAAATATTCTATCAACTTTGAATAATGTATTTTCTTAAATATACACTTAATGAATTTCATTACTTTCTGATTCATTGGATCTGCATCTGTGCAATAAAAACTCCTAAATGATTTCCGTGTAAATTCGAGTTAAAGACGTGAATCGCCTTGACAAATCGTTCGTTTCTTATTCGTAGTAATTTTTTTAAAGCAATAAAAAGCAATATTATCGATTTTCTTTCACGGCTAAAACAAAAACAAAATTGATTAACTAGTTATCAGCTAGTTGGGAGCAAAAAAAATATTTTTTACATTTGAATCTTCTAAATTAATTTAAAGAAATATACGAATAATTTTGGTACTACTTACCCAAAATCTTCACGCCGCGAAATTGTAAACAAAAAATTATTTTCAAAATATTTTGAGTTTATACCCTATTTTACTCGACATTTCCTCTGGATTTTTTCCAAAGAGATGAAAAATTAATTTATGAATTCGAGCAATCAGTTGTCATCGGCTTTTACATCCTGTACGCGCTGTTTGAGTCACTGAAATCGCGTTATCTCTAGCTTCCGCCTTCCGTCTTCCCATCAACTGTTCGAAGCCACACTCAAAAGATGAGGCAGATAGAATGGGCGATGTGGGCCAATGAACAGGCCATAATTAGTTCATCCGGTAAAATAGTTTGTATATCATTTTTTATCTTTTATGATAAGAATACGAAACATATCTTCATGAAAAGCAGCACAATACCCTGATAAACTGATAATTTGGGTGCGTTCACAGTTCTACCATTAGTACCAACTTTCAATATACCATTGGTGCAATAATTTGACAATGGTACCAACTGTACCAATAAACCCTGAACGGATATTGGCATAAAAATGTAACGATTTTACCAGTGTTACCAATGGGAGTCCAATGGAAACGTTGGTAATACTGAATTACAGATTTCTTTGTCTTTTATGTTATTGGCACATGCCAGAATGGCAAGAAAATCATAGCCGACTCAAAGCCGAGAAACAAACCACATCAGGATCACACTTCTTTAGTTTCCATATCTATGAGTTTTATATAATCCATTTAATGGATCATGTCTAAATCATACTTCAAAATCATAAATTTAAGTGTTTGATATGATTTTTATGTGATTTTGGCATGATTTGTTAAAAAGGCTTAGAGGAAAAATTGTTTATATCATTGTGAATCCGGGATCCAAGACTTTCTACCTTGTTGCCATGTCGATAACTAGCTGTGACGTCATTTACCAACATTAACCACACTCTAGACTGGGTGCGTTCACAGTTCTACCATTAGTACCAACTTTCAATATACCATTGGTGCAATAATTTGACAATGGTACCAACTGTACCAATAAACCCTGAACGGATATTAGCATAAAAATGTAACGATTTTACCAATGTTACCAATGGGAGTCCAATGGAAACGTTGGTAATACTGAATTACAGATTTATTTGTCTTCTAAGTTATTGGCACATGCCAGAATCGCAAGAAAATCATGGCAGACTCACAGCCGAGAAACAAACCACATCAGGATCACACTTCTTTAGTTGCCACCTCTATGAGTTTTATATAATCCATTTAATGGATCATGTCTAAATCATACTTCAAAATCATGAATTTAAGTGTTTGATATAATTTTTATGTGATTTTGGCATGATTTGTTAAAAAGGTCTAGAGGAAAAATCGTTTTTATCATTGTGAATCCAAGATCCAAGTCTTTCTAGCTTGTTGCCATGTCAATAACTAGTGTGACGTCATTTACCAACATTAACCACACTCTAGACTGTCTGCAGAAAAATATACCATTGGCAAAAAACATTGGTACCACTGGCATGCCTATGGTAATTAATTTTACCAACGGCAACTTTTGTCTACCAACGGCAGAACTGTGAACGCACCCACTGTCTGCAGAAAAATATACCACTGGCAAAAAACATTGGTACCAGTGGCATGCCAATGGTAATTAATTTTACCAACGGCAACTTTTGTCTACCAAAGGCAGAACTGTGAACGCACCCAAAGGTATATAGCTTGATAAAAGTATATAGCTTTATCAAGGTATTACAAATACCTTGATCAAGGTATTTTATATAAAGAAAATACTACAAAAATTCTCAAAAATTTAAATTTAAAAGTCGAATTATGAGTGTGGTCAGTGTATCCACTGGTGCATGAAAAGCACTCTGGTATCAAAAAGACAGCATAAAGGAATGTGCATTTACACTGATTTCCTTGTGATATAAATTTATTCTACTTCCAGTCATCCTTTTTGGTGGAATCATTGGTATAGCAGGATTTTTCCAGGCTTGGGAAATTGGAATTTATGCAGTGTATCCTTATTTAGATAGAATGTTCTATCACCAAAAATGATTAATTTTCTGTTAAAATTATATATGTCCTATGGACCTATTATTTTAGCTCATTCTACAGTCTACACAAAGAATCAGAAGAGTTTAGGACCAAATGTAACCCGTTACAACACATTACTGGGTGAAAGAGGTGACAACTGAGGGACAGAATCTATAATAATTTCTCAAGAATCACTGAGGCAGGTCAGAAAAAACAGACAAACATTTTCTTGCTTAGGTCTCTGATACTATAGTTAAGAAATCTTGATCCACAGCTAATCTTGCTAGGATGGGACATCAATAGTGGTTAAAAACTTGTATATTGTGTGAATAAAGTATGCATTTGAGGGGAGATCAATGGATGAAAAAATCAGTTACTAGTAAAACAATTTAATATTCAAACTAGTAGGAAAGCATTACTATATATAAGATCTGTTGAGTTCACATTATAATTATTATAGTACTGAAACAACTGTAATCATTTTTGAGTAGCAATATAGAGAGTTATAATTTGTTTCCATCAGGAGACATGATCGAGCTCAATTGAGTGTTGCTGCCTGCCTCTTGTTATTAAATAAATTCAAAACTGATGTCAATGAAACCCCCAAAATCAGACATCAGCAGATATTTTACTTAACTCCATGTCCAGCGTTGCTTCCATTTTGGTGTTTGTTGTGGAGTATCCTAGGGGTAAGCGCGTCAAAGGACGTACAACAGAACGCAAGTAAGATGTCACATCCTTTTTATCTATGCATTATCTTCACAAAAATACCTACGCCCAGTACATGATTTTATCTATTATTTATTTCTATTTTTCAGATTCCAGAAACCTTTTACAACACTGGTGAATTGCAGTGGGTTTCTTGGCAGAAACTATTTTGTTAGATTCCTATTCCATCTTATGTGAGTTCCTCTAGTATTTCCTATCAATATCATCTTAATGTAGATTGTGCTGGTCAAATTAAAGGAATTCCTTTTCTTTGCAAATCAACTCATCTGTTTCAGATTATGTGCTCCGTTGTGTTTTATCCTTGCGACAATTATGGGTGGACTGAGTCTGTTTGTTACCAGCATGATATATCTAGCAGTAAGTACAAGTACCAGTTTATCCCCAGCATTATAGTTAAGATTTTCTGTCTTCAGGGAAGACCTTATAGTTATTCTATTGTTTCTTCTTATTATTTTTCCATACATCAAATTTTGTGCACATGATTTCTCGAAGACCACTGGGTGGATTTTCATGAAATTTACAGGAATAATGTGTTGTTATCTGAAGTTATTTTAGCCGAGAGATTTTTTGAAAATTCACTTCAAGTGCCAAGTTATGGGACATTTCCTGAATTTAAAATGACATTTTGTCCGCAGATAATCTCAAGAAGGGTAATAAATATCAATGTGAAACTTTCAGGGATTATAGATCGTGATAAATTCTATCCAGGACGCGACTTCTCGTTTGTCGTCAATACTTAGGGTCGTTACGAGATATGACTTTAAAAAATCATATTTTCTAACTTTTTGGTTTTCTGATATTTTTCATTTATTTTTGGAATTTAAATAGATACCTTTCTTATAATGCTTACTATATAATTTGTTTTAATATTGATAAATCTAAACTATCTGAAGCGGGTCCAAAATGGTGGCTGTCTCAATCAACTCCGGCATTTGGCGAGTAGGGGGTTAAAGAGGCAACTGAGCATTTGCTTGAATGAAAGTAACATAAGGATAAATGAAATGTAAAGGAATACTTGGATTGTCACGTTGTAGTAACGTTGCAATTCTGTGTCAGTCTAATTTTAATCCAATGTCTTGTCAAACGGCTTCTATAATTCGTTTTGGCTGGTTCTCAAAGTAGAAAAAGAAAAGACTAAATGTGCAAATGAAGTACGATACCTACTATCTTTTGTTTTGCACCACGAAAAAACAGATCTTAAATCATATAGTTATAAGTAATAGTTTTTTTCAAATAACAAATACAGTATCAATATTTATAGTAAGAATAAAATGTAACCACAGTTACTCCCATGCACATTTGTGTCATATTAGATTAATAAAAAAGACAAAAATAAGAACACCATTTTAAAAGATCATATTATGGAGATTTTTTTTTCTCCAGAATCGGACAGAAGACCTCTCGTTGCTCACAACGAGATCATTACTAGTTCTATAATAATATTCTTCATATTTCCTATTCGTAATAAGATACAAGTATTTTTTCCTCTTTACTCCGTCCCACAAATTCCCTGTATGTAAATGTAAGTCTGCTTCTAACCCTTTTCCTGGTTTCCTTGTTTCTTCTCCAACTTTTCATTTTATAAGCACATTATGCAACTCTGATTTCCTCTCACGCCCACATAAAATTTGAACAAAAATTTCCGTATTTTAATTTTTTCTTTTCTAGGCAGCATTTAAAGGAGAACAGTGGAAACCAGTTGGTCTGGAGGAGAAACCAGCCGAAGATTTAACCAAAAAAGATCTCAAATCATTCCGTCAGCCCAAGAAGCCCCCTCCCAGAGCCCCACCCCAGGAGGTACACGACAACCGGGTCTGAACCATGAGTGCCACCCCAGGGGATACATGGCAATGGATCCCTGAGGTCTATCCCAGGGGATAAATGACAGTTGTGTCTGAACATAAAAAGACTTCTTACCAAATGAGATTATGTACCATATTTTGTTGATATATCTTCCTATTTATAACCAGAACAAATTTTAAATACATTGACTCCTGTGCCATATCAAATCATACCAAACACAGTATAATTGTGTTTCTCTCCCATTATTTCAGTGCATCCCACTTCTCTTAAGAGCTATAAAGCCTCTCTCTTTTATTCAGATAACCATCCTATCAATGTTATTCCAAGAAATACATATCTTGAGTCCTTACACACCCTGTTTGCTCAAAGAATTTTGTTAAAACACTTTCATTTAATCATTTAATGATTTATTTACATATACATTATCCTTCTTGACAATCATTTTATATACCTACAATGTATGTATTTATTGATTGATCACATGTATTAAATCTTGAACAATAAAATCTTGAAACATTATTTCCATTGCATGGAAGAATTTAAGCATATAAATGTGTACTTAAAATGTACATTTAGGATTTTTTTTTAATGAATGTATTGCATTATTTCAGGAAAGGCTTCAAAATATATGTACTTGATTTTGGTACAAAGCCTGTAATGTAGATACAGAGTAAATAATTTCTCTTACTTATGGTTACCTGGTAATACATAATCAAACTTGATAAAAATCAAGTAAATTTTATAATAAATGTCAATAACTTTTCTCATGAGCATTAATTTAATTGTAAGGGTGTAAATTACAAATCCTACTACCCGGTATATAACAACTATAATTCAATTAACCAATGTACATGTATTTTGCAAAAGTACCGGAACCTGTGACCTTGTGTCAGAATGTGTCTATCTACACAGGGTCTAACCTTGTGTCCAGCACTCTGAGGGAGCAAAATGATTTTCAAATTGAAATCAAGGTTAAAGTTGGACATAAAAATCCTCTCTATCCAGAAACTTCTCCATCCTGATATTAATCTTCATTTTGATCTCCAGTTTTGGGGTCAAGTCACAGTGGTTCACTCTCAATCCTTTGATCTTCTTTTTTTTGACTGAAAAAAAAGTCAACTCATCACTGAAACAAAGCAAAACTGTAATCAAACACCTTAAGGATAAAATTATGGTTGATTCTAATGAGTGGTTACCAAAAGATATTCAACAGGGTCAGGAGCTGAAGTTGTAAGCTTAAAGCCATAAACAGGCCACTAACACATTGTGAGAATGCACAGGTAGACTCATTTAATTGACAGGTTTTGAACAGGGATGTTTATCATCAGAACAATCAAGCATATTAATTTATGTACTGAGATAAATAAAAAATTGTGAATGATGTTGCTATAAACATTTACCGGTAAAATATAAAATGCAGAATGTTTTTACATTCATTATGGTAAATGGTTTATAAATTCTTTAGTAACTTCTCATTCTGTTTTTTCTTTTGTCTATGATTTCTATGTCATAAGATTTAGAGACAACAAATACTAACCCAACTTTTACAAAATAATGATGGTAAGCAAATCCTCAAATGTAAAAAAAATTTAATAAATGATAAAGAAAAAAATCTGCATTTCAATTTGTTAATGACAACATCACTTGCACTTTTCATGTCAAGAGAATGCACACTTGATTGTTTTGATGTTGACCATCCATGGTCTCCATCAGTCAACAAAATAAATCACAATGTGCTAGTGATCTGTTTATGTCTTTAAGTTTTTCCTCTTATTAAAGTTATAAAAAAAGCTCTAAACAAAATATGTGGTGCTACATGTATACTTACTGATGGTAAGGGGAGAGAATCTGTAGGCTCTGTCTGCTTATTGCTTCCTTCTGACCTGTTAAAAATGAAATATTAATAAAGACAAAAAATATCTTATTTAACTTACTGACATGCTGGCTGTTTATCAATTTGTGTTGATAAGGGCTATCTATTTTTGCATTGATGAAAAAAAAGAATTCCTCCTTTACAAAAGATTGTGAAGAGGAACTTGTGGGGGGTAATTTACACTAAATGCATGTAGATAAACATATTTTGCAGAAAATAAAAAGAACCATATTGATTCTGCCTCTGGTGCAAATAATTATAGATATACATAACTACAATTTACAGACAACCATTAGTGTTGAGCATTCACTTTTTAAATAAGAAGTGTACAGTTGTCCAGACCATGCCTCCTACAGCCCATCCTCACTAGCTAGGGTCTAGGACTGCTTCTCTCTCTTTACACAGAGGACAGAGAGACCACAACCATTGACTAGGAAAGATGTCAGACCTATAGACAGATATATCTTACTTTTCCCTGTCAGCTTGAGCTTTCCTCTTCAGTCTGTGCTGAGGGAATGAGGGCATCAATTCTGGATCACATGCTGGAAAATAAGTTAATACCATGTTTATTAAGAGAATCCAGGTCAACTAATATTGTAACAAGAGATGTTTGTAAAACACTTATACCCCCCTCCCACAAATAATTGGAATTTTCCAAAGGGACATAAGTCTGTCAAAAATGGCTGGATAACCCAAATCAGAGGTTGACCTACATATTTTTATGATAAATCTGTATACTGAATGTTAGTTCAGTTTGTGCAACCTCTGCAAAGAAAATAAACGGAAACTGCAAATAATTGGATTTTTTTCTCAGTCCAAAATGGCCCATTAGTACCCAAAACAGAGGTTGGCCTAGATTTTCTTATGATAAATCTAAAAATTTAAAAAAGAATTTCATTTCAATATGTGCAACCTCTGCGAAGAAAATGAATGGAAACTGATGGTGGACCAACCGACAGACAGCAGCAAAGCTGTATGCCCTCCCTTCTTCGAAGGGGGGCATAAAAATAAGTATCTACCATGAATACTAGCAGAAAACGGGTCACCTTATATTAACTTTACAAGCAGTGTTATAGCAAATACACATATTATTGAATTCAGGCTTATTGCCCAACTGATTTTCATTCCCTGCACTATTAAAACATTTTAAACTTGACAGATACAGCAAATTACAGTTATAATGTCAGAATTAAAATTGTTCATCTGAGGCACTTCAATATAAACATGTTTTATGTACTGCACATATACATATATATTTAAATGTTCCAAAACTGTAGTATTAAGATCTAGTAAACTGCTTTTTAAAGTAAAATTTTGGTTAACACAGTACAGAGCAAAGTTAACATACGGAATGGTTGTTCTTTGAAGTAGGAAAAATCTAAACAATCTTCAGCAGTTGCTCTAAAAAAGAAAAGAAAATACATAATGACATTTTAAGTAACTTGCAATAAAGCATTCTGTGTTTAAAAATTGGACATTCCAGGCAATGGTAAATTTCTTTGAGTTTTAAAATTTCTTAGTTTTCTCCAACAAATATGAAGTCTATTTTCCCATATGGATATATAAAGATACATCAATTATGATTAAAAATGGACAAGGAGAGTAGCGAAAAACCACTTGGCCTAGCCTTTGATATGAGGCAAAAAAACAAAAAACGAAGCCTAGAAGAGCAGATTTAAATGATATAATAATGCTGTGTACCTTTTAGATGGATCATACATGAAGAGGAAGTTGAGGAGCCGCACTCCAGAGTCTGTCAACCATGGAAATGTGTGCTTAATGTTGTTGTACCTGAAATCAGTAATTATGATATGTAAACATACCATAACAAGAAGGGAAATACTCTGTATTTAATCCTCAGATCATTTACTTACTTTTGTGGCAAAGTATTACGTTGTCTTTCAAAACAAAAAAGATGTGCCTCTTTTATACTAATGCCCCCAAACATGTATGGCCAAGTTTTAAGGTATTTAAACAGAACATCCTAAATACTGTAGACGTACTTTTTTCCGCGGGGTCATAATTCCACGGAATCACAATTTCTGTTTAATCCGCAGGTAGAAAATTACGCGGATTTCTTAAATTGTCACTATATGCCTTACATTAATATTAAGTACGCTTGGACAAATTTCCGCGGAAAATTTGTGACCGCGTACATAGCGTAAAATAATACCACGCGGAAAAAAGTACTTCTACAGTACTTTATTTCTGCAAATTCATGAGATTTTGATGCTTTCATTAAAATTCATGCATATCAAAACTTTGTGAGACTCACGGCTGTTTCTTCAGTGACAAGGTTTCCATTGCAGGTAACTTGGAAAATCCCTGCAAAGAATTTTATATGACTTGAATAAGAGTGAGAGCTGTGAATACATGCAATACAAGTATACAAACTAGAGATTTACTCCATTAATATGGTGATTTTCATTTCATTTACATGTGCAATGTTTATTCATCAAAGCAGTACCATCAATAGGATTTAATCAAAAACTATTTCACCTAATTAAAATATTACCGGCCATATATTGTCATTTGGGGTCCCAAACATTTCTATGATGAGCTCGATTTGGTGGATTTCTGACCTCCCTGGGAGGAGAGGTCGGTGGGCAAGCAACTCCCCAAATATACAGCCAGCTGACCTGTTTATAATGTAAATGGTGAACTATAGTAATATCAAAATACCACCGGTATATTAAATATTTATAGTTTTGCTCTGTTATAGCACAGTTATCCATTTATTGATACATGTAACCCTTATCCAAAGAAAAGTTACTGTTTTTAACCTAATTATTCATGAATCTATATTCAAAACATAGACTTTATTATGTACATTTACAGTGCTTATTTAGTGGATAAAATTGTCCCCCTTTGATCCAGCAAGTAGTAGAACATAAACATTCTATGATTTTGGGCATATCATTAGTTAAATTTTAATATTCCAGTCTATCAATATGATTCACATGTATAACCCATTATTAATACACATTTTTGTACTCTACATAGCCGAATGCTTCAAAAAATATTTTTTTCCAAACAATAAGACATTCCCCATTTATCTACCATATTATGCATAATCACTAAAACAATGTAATCCTATCTCCTGCCTTCTTACCACATATCTATTGCTGTTGTTTGCTCCTTGGATCCAAACAGTAGCTCTGGTGCTCTGTACCTGTTAAAATTTACAGAGAAGAATGACACAAAATCCAAGTTACATCAGTGTATTCAAATCCAGGTAACACAAGTGTATTTATTTATTCTATATTTAGCACAGTTTATGACAAAAAAAAGCCTAATAACTACCACAAGGTCACTACTAATGGTGTCAGGGGTTTCTGAGGGAGTCCATATTTTCTGGCCAACCCAAAATCAGCTGAAAAAGATTATATACTTTTAGATCTTTTATCTCTTTGTCAGTTAAACATCAAGACACTTCAACATATTTGAGATGGGTTTATTGTAAGTGACATTTCTATTGATGTGATTTTATCACTTTAATAGTAATGCACCTTTTGGTACAGGCATTTCTAGCGATATGATTTTTTCTGTTTAATAAATAGTAACACACCTATCTTGACACTCCCATTATCTGTCATCAACAAGTTGGAGACTTTCAGATCTCTGTGTATTATAAAGTTCTCATGTAGATATCTTAAGGCTTTAAACAACTGTAGCATGATGCATTTCACCTATAAAAAAAAATCTTTGTCTTACATTTCATTTTTGAGCCAAAATAAAATTTGCAATGTAGATTATTTTCATATTTTGATACTGGATCATGAAAAGCAAACAAAATCTGAACTGTTTTCTATCATTTCAGCTAAATATAATAATGCAGCTACAAGAAATATCATTTTGAAATACACATAAAAATAAGAACTTTTTGATTCAGTGAACTTAAACAAAGAGTAGTTAATTTTCTGGGTCTTACCTGAGCTTCTGAGAAAGGAGAGGACATGTTGTCTAGAAGTGAGGCCAGATCCTGCTCGCAGTATTCCATCACCAGAAAAATACTACAAAACATGTCAATACTGATCATTCTGCAGTAAGGCCTAGAGTCTTACACAAAATACATTCTCCTTATGGCAAATATAATTTACATCTCCAAACCATTACTTTAATTCTTTGACATCATTTTCATGTTATATAAATTTGACATACACAAACAATTTAAGAACTTAAGCATTTTACCTTTCTAAACTTTTTCCAACCACTACTTCTTGAAGTTCCACTATGTTCTGATGCCGTAAATTTAACAAAATGTTAATTTCTCTCAATCCACTGACAGGAATTCCTGAAAGAATATTAGAAAAAGAATTATTGAATTAACTGCTAAAAAAAAACCACATACTTTTTGTGAGGTCAATTTTTTGTGCTTTGAGGGGAATGAGGGGGTTTATGGGGATTTATATTTGTGGATGAAGAATTTTGTGTAGATATATGCAAGAAATTTTACATTTTGTGGTGGGAATGAACTCATAGGTATTTTCACATCTTAAAATTAAAAAATTAAGCCCACAAAAATTGCTGAATTCCCAATAACTGTACAGGTAACCAATCTCAAAGCTGGTATTACCTGTACATCATGATCAATAACTTTGTTCTTGATTCTAATTATCCATTTATTTTTCAAACAGTGTTAGAAACAGAAAGAGGAGAAGCAACATAGATTCTAAGTCTCTTAAAATGTAAATTTAAGTGCATTTATCATTGAATACTGAAATACAGAATGATAACATCACAATTATTGCTAAGATTGTTGAAACATCAAAACAACCTCAGCAGTAAGTAACTTCTCATCAAGCGATTGTAGCTAAGTGAACTGGTCTTTACATACTATATTGAATTGTCATTCTGAAGTTTTACATACCATTCTTTTCTCTTTCCATTCTCATTTTCTTTAATGCCACAATTGTATCTGTCTTCCTATCTCTTGCTCTATCTGATAAATCATAAAAGAATCTTGATTTCTTAATATGCATTTAAGATTCTAAGTTAAATTTATGAAAATCTTTTATAGACCATTCTTTTTCATCATTTTATATTTAAGCAGCTGGTGTATGAGAATAAAAAATAACTTACAAACAATTCCATAAGTGCCCTCTCCTACCCTGCTAAGCTTCTCAAACTCTGACACACTGCGACATTTTCCATGCTACAAAAGCATAATTGTAAAAAAAATTTAATTTTCATTACATTTACACAATAACATCTACATGCCATATGTTTATGTCACATTCTACACACTATCCATTACTTTACATAAATAGCTTGAAATAGCTATATAGCTATGAGCTATATATGTAAGACTCTAAAGTCCGATGGTGACGCCAAAGTCTGATGGTCTCGCCAAACCCCGATGGTCTGCACCAAATCCCGATGGTTCGTTGTCTTTATGGACGCCAAAGTCCGATGGTCACGCCAAAGCCTGATGGCTTGTTTCCTATGAGACACGCGACGCTAAAGTGCGAAACAAGCCGAAGTCCGATGGTGCGGATGAACAATTAACGTTTATGACGTCAATAGTCCGATGCCATGACATTATTTTGCATTCAAAATCCATTGATGCAGTATTTGTCTCACATACGTTTTTACTGCTATTGCTTTTTGTTTTCACCCACCAGAGGTATTAGGGTTAGTCCTCGTACATCGTTCGATTGATAAGGGTTAGTCCTTGAACACTAATGTGTTTCTTCGAACCCACCCGAGAGATTTTAGGGTTAGTCCTCGCACACTATTGGATTGATTTAGATTAGTCTTGCACCCACCTATGATAGTTAGGTTAGAGTTGATACTCATTTTTCAACTGATAAGTCTTAGTTAAGCACCTACATTCAAAAGACGAGGTATTTGTATTCATGATATTTTGTATTTATTTATTAGCATGGCGAGGCATCGCATTTTTGCGCAGTAGTACTATGACGTCATAGACGTTAATTGTTTTCTGCGCCATCGGACTTTGGTGTGTCAAACCATCGGGGTTTGGCGCAGACCATCGGACTTTGGCATGACCATCGGACTTTGGAGTCCCATCGCACTTTGGAGTCCTACATATATATATATATATTCTAGCTAGTCAAAATAGCATTTAATTGAAAAAGAAAAATGCTAAGTTAATAGGTTAATCATTCTTATCCATGTCTCACCAAATACAAGGTGTTGTACAGTTACTCAAACAATAGAATTACTTTTTAGCATAATTTTTCCCCAAAAGGCGATGATTAAACTTATTATTTTTAATTTGGATTGCTTTTCGAATCAAAAAACCTGTACTTTCGAATTTTCTCTAACTTACTCTGGCTGAATCTAGAACATCTATCCATTCGCCAGTCAATATAGATAGAAATCCAGGCTTAGCATCCTTAGCTGGTTGCCTTTCCATTATAAATAAATTTAAATAGGTTCAAATTGAGCTAATTTCGTATCAAATTATTAACATTTTCATAACCATTGCTTGTTTCCTAAAATTTGGGTTTACCGGTGCAAGACAAGTCGTACCAGATTTTGCAGTAAACGCCTAAATGATGATCGGACCGTCTTTTTCCGGAATGGCTGACTCGTAGAAACACGGATAATCAATTTGTTTACTTACTATCATACTAACAGAAATTCAAATCGTTGCACAGGGAACATGGTGTACAGATGATGTACCTCCCACTGACTATGGTTCCCATATTTATATTTATTGTAATATTGTTTGGCAGTAAAAATATTTCTCTAGCTGGCACACTTTCCTGAACAATTTATGCTCAGTCCTGGCTAATGAAGTATATATGATTAGCCAAAATTAAAGCCCTTTCTCACATCCTGTTCCCTGTCCATTTCCTTGTTTTAACAACAGACAGACAGACAGATGGATGGACAGGGTAAAAATCATATATTTTAAAAATGCCTGTTGTAAGATTCTGTAATAATATAACGTGTAAAATTAAAGTTGTATTGATTTATAAATATAAATAGAGAAATATCACATCATTCTCATTGAATATTTTATGTCAATTAATGCAATAATTATTCACACCGCCCCCCACCATAACAAATACTATAATTAACATATCATGGGCGTCGGAAGCAAATTAAAAGTGGGGGGGGGGGCTAAACCAACAAAAAAGGTGAAGTCCAATTGTCAATATTATGTATGTATTTGCAAAAAAGTGGGGGCCTTCAAAAATCAAAATACAACAACAAAAGATACAGTGTTCAAAATTTATTTCAACTTGAAATCATTGGAGATCAAAGATCAGATCAAATACATGTATAATGATATTGTTTAAATTTTCATACATTTATTTTTTACATTATTGCACATTAATGTATTTTGTCTTTCCTCAAGAATACACATAATGTCAAGAAAGATAAATAAAGTACAAAAATAGAATTCTAATTTTGCTGTTTTGCATAAAATTGCAATTCATTAAATCTGGCAGTCTAGGTATATGTAAACAAACATTAACTGAATTAAAATAAAAGCCGTAAAAGCAAGAGATTATGCATTCTGTATAATACATTCAGATCTTCAAATGCACACAAAGATTTATTCAATAAATATACATGTATTACAAAGGTACCTTACAACATATAGGCATTGTTATTCATGCCAATCTTTAACAAACAATGTTATAAAAGCTCTAAAAATTTTAAACTTATATTGCCATTAGTACTGAAGGAAATATGCAATAGTTCTACATTTTATTTTTTTGTTCCCTGTATAATTCATGAGCTTCAATAATTGGAAGACCTTTGTACTATTTTATAATGACTGATACTGCTGTACAATTACATTTTTTTCTGAATCCAAGTTTGAGGACAAATTTACTGGTTAAAACCATCTTTATTTTTTTTCCTTCTTTAATACATGTAGTACAGATTCCCTTCATTCGATATCTGTATGCTTATATTTTGTCTTAAAATCAGCTGATGGTATTGTGGTTTTAAATTAAAAATACCTCAGAAAACTATCAGTAAGAAAGGAGCATTGTGCATTGCATATGAACTCCAACAAAAAATATTTACAGGTAAAAAAGCCAATCTGAAATTGCTGCATTGCAATACATATTTGGAAAAAGAGCTGTACAAATCATATACTAAATAAAATAAAACACTTATTTCAATTTGGAAATCAATGACAAGTCCACAGATTGAAGAAAAGTTAAGGGTAAAAAAACTACAGTAGAATTCTACATTCAAATTATTAAAATAAATGTTGGATTATGCTACTAATTTGCTGCTGAAATGGTCTTCTTCTGTACAAATTTGTCTGAGTAAATTCAAATATAGAGGTTCGAACATATGAAAATGACCATAATGCCTAACAACTTATGACCATGCATGTACATTGTACTAATTAATTGGAAATGCTTACATTGACCTGTAAGTATAACAATCCCTATTTTAACACAAGCACACTCAAACATGCATCTTCTTGAGCTCCATAAAAACATACATATGTTCATATATAATTTTAAAATCAAAATATCCTTAACAACAGTTACATACATGTAGAATTGAGATGCACACTTCTGACAATCCATTCAAGACAGTGATATTGTATGATGATAGTACAAGCTCTGATTAATATCAAATCCGAGTCATAAATTTGTAAGGTAATATTTCTTCTTCATGCTTCAAGTATTCAAATATCATTAGGTAAGTATCAAATAATAGTATAAATAATTAACATGATCAACTTTGCAAAACAAGTAAATATATTGCTAAAACAAGTTAGTTACATAAACATTGACTCTCAGAAAGTATAGTCAGAAAGGCAAAATGTATATCAACATTTAACAATAAACGGTCATCATGGTATTTGTGAAAATACATAGTGCTTGATAAAATGTTCACTGAGGTAATAGGGATAGACTCAGTTCCTAAATATATTGTCTTGTTCATGGATATCAAAGAGTTCCAGATTTCGGTCATGTAATCCCCCTAAACTTCACTTGCATAACAATATAAACATGCAAACCAGTTCTATAGGGATGAAGGTTTACATAAAAAAAAAAAAATTCTCAGATCCATGCAGAATATTTTAAACAATATGTATAAAAGACAAAAAGTTTAAAAGAACACAAAAGGCAGCCTACATTTTGGTATGATTAATCAATAAAAAAATTTATTAGTCATACGCCATAGAATGTGGACATCTGAGAATAAATACAATAAATAGGGTATGTGGACTTGGAATGATGTTACTGTGATTCAAAAAAGTTACCAGTACTTCTATACAGTGATATATTAGGAAGTAGATTCTACTTCACAAGATTTATATACAGGGCTATATAAACATTATCAAGCCTGTGGAACTGTAGTTAAAATGAACTGAATACCGGCAAAAAATAACAGACGTGTAAAATTAAAAGCAGAACAATAGAGACAGATATAATAGGGTGTTCCCCCCACCGCTGAAATCACTCTCACACAGGCTCAGATGAATTTCAGTCCTCTCTCTCCTCCTGACTCGGTTTGATCTCAGTCCTCTTTCATGTCTGTTCGGACCGTCATTAACACCTTTTGGGATAACACCGTGAATGAATCTGTAAAATCAATAGATGACCATTAACTATAATTCATATGTACCAAAGAAAAATTTTCCCTACATAAAGAAATCATGACATCTCACTACAAAACAATCGAAAACATATTTTCAACAAAACTGGATATATGGGCACATCCATGAATGAATCACTTTACTAATCTGCTTAAAAATTAAGTTGAACAGTTTTATAAAGGTGTATAAAGATTTCCAACCAGCCAAGCAAGCGAACTCTTACCAATAAATCTAGTGAAAGCCCTGGGTTTGTTTTTCCACGTGATGCCTAGTAGATACACAGGGACACCAGTCAGTACCATGATAATGCCCCATAACACCTCATTAGCATCGATCGTTAGAGGCATGAAGAGAAGGAAAAGGCAGATGAAGATGAAAAAGACCGGCAGCAGAATATTCACCTGTAACATAACCGGTAAAAAAAAATGTTTAGCCTTTGATTACAGTTGCAATGATAAAGCGGACATGAAATTTAATATCACTTTCCACTCATCCTACTCTATCAATCTCTCTATCTCTTTTTTTTTCAACTTATAAGCCTTTATGAAGTAAATTTCAGAAGTTAGACTTAATATCTGCATTAAGTTAAAGCTAAATATCAGAATAATCACACCTACCTTGATGGGTCGATCTCTGTCGGGGAATTTGTATCTCATGTAGATAAGGCCAGCAATACTGATTGTAATGAACAATGTCTCCACAAAGGCAGCATAGTTAATCAGGACCTGGACATCACGGCTACATAACATCACCAGGGACATAAGGCACTGAAGTCAGAAAAAGATAAAAACTACATAACATCACCAGGCACATAAGGCACTGAAGTCAGAACAAAATAACAACTACATAACATCACCAGGGACATAAGGCACTAAAGAGAGGAAAAACAACATATAACAACTACATAACATCACCAGGGACATAAGGCACTAAAGTCAGAAAAAGACACATATTACAGAATCACGTAGACTACTGCCACAAAGAAATGAATCATTTAAACCTATGAAACTGAAAAGTGGGATCTTTTCACATTTCCATAATATTTAGATAAACATATATATGTACTAAAAAAAAAAAATTCTCTGCTCTTTGCTTTGGAGCAATTCAGTTTTGTAACGTTCAATAACAAATGATACTTTGATCATTACAAAGGTGGCCAAGAAGAGACAGTCAAATATACTGCAAATAAACAATACCATTCCTAGTTATTGATCACTATGATTACAATGTTACATTACAATGTTAATATTTAAGTTTTCATCACAGATAAGTTTAAAATTAAAAGTCAACAGAAAATATTATACAAGGTACATTATTGACAAGCTAAGATCAAATTCCAAATACACTGAGTTCAGTATCTTCAATTTACTGTTTTATTCATTTACTGCCTTTTCCCTGTGGTATGTCAAATACATCTGTCTAACCATCCTTCTTCTTTTTCGTTTTATTTTGTCAGAAATCATAGCTTCTGAACTTAATACATCAAATCCAAATTAAAATATAAGAGGCTATGATACTTTATATGGGTGGTAAGGAGAGGTGAAAATGTGACTGACAAAAGGAACAGCCAGGTGAAGTTAAGGCTAAACTATTAATCCAAGGGTTACTAGGTTTGAATCCCCCTGGCATTTTGAATGCAATGATCTGTTGAGGGATACATGTGTGAATTTACATACAGAATGGCATGATATTAATCTGCAATTTAATCTGGTTTTAATTCACTAAATACCATTCTGACAGATATGAATAATCTTTTTTCACCTTTAGGAAAAAATAATAGTTTTTCCCTAAGAATGTAAAAAATCCTTAAATTCATAAATGGATAAAGTAGTTTGGAAGCTTTGACCAAGTAATGAATATAGGGAATGTATTTATCTGTAACCGATTCAAGGCAAAAGGAAGGTTATCAGACTTACCCCAAACAAGAGGAATGGAAGTGGTGTGAACAAGTTGATATTGAGAATGGAGGGTTATCAAACTTACCCCAAACAAGAGGAATGGAAGTGGTGTGAACAAGTTGATATTGAGAATGGAGGGTTATCAAACTTACCCCAAACAAGAGGGATGGAAGTGGTGTGAACAAGTTGATATTGAGAGTGGAGGGTTATCAAACTTACCCCAAACAAGAGGAATGGAAGTGGTGTGAACAAGTTGATATTGAGAGTGGAGGGTTATCAAACTTACCCCAAACAAGAGGGATGGAAGTGGTGTGAACAAGATATTGAGAGTGATATTGAGAGTGGATGGAAGTGGTGTGAACAAGTTGATATTGAGAGTGGAGGGTTATCAAACTTCCCAAACAAGAGGGATGGAAGTGGTGTGAACAAGTTGATATTGAGAGTGGAGGGTTATCAAACTTACCCCAAACAAGAGGGATGGAAGTGGTGTGAACAAGTTGATATTGAGAGTGGAGGGTTATCAAACTTACCCCAAACAAGAGGGATGGAAGTGGTGTGAACAAGTTGATATTGAGAGTGGCTAGGAATTCTGGCAGGTGCCCCTGTCTGGCTCCCACAAAGTACAACCTACAATAAAAGATCACACATAAGTCTTCCGAACTTCTAATTTAAAAAAGAAATACATGGAGAATGTTTGCACTTATTGATTTTATGGGTCAAAGAGAAATATCTTTCACATCTATTAAATTATTTTTATTTTTTAATTCAAATTGTAAACATTTTTTACAATGCCCCTAACCAATTACACTTTAAACTCAAGATCAATGTTTAATAATGTGATTAATACAAGTTATTTAATTTTTTCATAAATAATTTTGTAGTATACATGTACTATATAAGGACAGTTATCATATCAAAATATAACTACAAATACTTCGTATATATGTACTTTACATGTGTTTACTTATTTAATATATTCATTTTTTTTTATCCTCTGACCTTTCCATGCCATTTAAAATTCTTAAAGACTTTATGAAAACAAACATCATGAAATTTCTTTATGAAAATAAAAGGAGAATTTAAGGATTCCTTTCATTCGCTCAACAGATTTTTAAGAAGCAGTAAATTCTAAAGAGGTAGTAAAGTCTATGCCTATAAAATATAAGGTTGTTTTAATAGTTTTACGAGGGGATATAGAATGCTGTGACTGACCAACAACTTCCACGGAGCTTAATGTAGAGATCTAACCACATAATGTAAACATAATGCTGCCTTGAACTGATACAAGGCCCAGTTCTTGTAGGTCTGTCTAAAAAGTAGTCAGAACAATGACCTTATTTTGACATATTTTAATTTTAGAAAATATATAAAACATCAACACGAACGAAGATCATCTTTTTTAGAAACCTAGTATCTATTTCAATAAAAATTAAAAAGAATGAAAAAGAAGGACCTTCAGAACGACCATCCCATCCGCTTTTCTGAACATTTAATTAGAAACTGGAGATCCGCTTCTAAATTATCTTGTATGAAATTTAAACAGATATCTGTAAATTTTTTAAAGATGTTTCCAGTAAAAATATAACCATTTTTTGTAATGTTAACCAATTTCTATTACATAATGTACCACATTTATATATGGATGGTATTTTAATTAAGATTCTCATATCGTGTCTTGAATTTAATTCACACAATTAAATGTAAAATTTACTGACACCTATTTTATTATGACATGGAGAACAGGTTCTGAAAATAAATGCGGTCAACCAAACCCTAAAGATGCATTGACTTTGCAGGTTGACATGACAGAAAACATCTTGGTTACCTTGACGAAGTAAATATGGCCCCATTTACACTGCCGAAGGTAGAACAAGCCACAAATACTGGCATAATCCACGCCATCACACCAAGGGTCCTACCAGCAAAAGTCTGAAAAATGAATAAATAGATCTAGAATAAAGCTACAGTGACCTATCGTCTATTGAACTTCACTTTGAGATAAGAATAGGTCTCTTGAACAAAATAAACATGCAGACACTCACATAAAATACATGACATTATTTTTAAAATACCACCTGTTGCACTATCTGACTACAACATCCAATTAGCAATTATATATAATCCCTTTGATTTTCATCATCCAATTTTTGATGTCAAGGCCGACTACTGTTTTTGTCAGATGCTAAAAAGTGGAGGTCAAGATAGCCTCAGCTATAAGGTTCTCTTATAAGAAGAGGAATTTGGAGAAAGGTACCTTTAACAAAAGAACTTGTAAAGACCCAAAACTTTAGCTGCCTGTAAAATTTTGCAAAATCAATCATTCTGTTTAAAACTACTAGCATAAAAATATATCTTTAGACATTACATTAAAACCATTTTCAATGTATTGTAATTAAGAAATTATAGGCAGAATTCAATTGAGGTCTTAGTTGCAAGTTCTTTTTTAAAATGAGCCCCAGAACCTCTTTCAGATTCTTGACCATTAATCCTGACCAGCACATTCACAATTTCTCTGACCATGGTGGGTGCTAATTCATTTTTTGAACCTGTGAACTTTCTTTAATTTCAGAAATTGTTACTTAATGTATGAGGGAGTATCGGTACATGCTTTGGTTACATTAGAACATCACTTTGTACAGCTGTGTCCCTGCACCACAGGTTCAGTGCCTTATCAGGCAGGTTAATCAAAGAAATGGGGATTTATTCTCAACACTTGTCATAAGGCTATTTCACAGTTTACCACCAGATGTGCAGTTGTGACAGAAAAAACAACAGATAATACAAATATCAGGACTCATTTTCCTTCAACCAGTAGCCAGACAGTTGTCATTCATAACTGTCTTGTGGGGTTCCAAAATAAATGGCACGTTGCATCAATTAAACATGACAAGTACAGAAATTAATACAGCAAATGGGAATTATTGTAATCATATACAAACATCCCAGTTATCATGTGTTATGCTAAAGAGAAATCATAGTTTGAAAACAAATGATGTGATCATAAAAATTCCTCATATCAGGGTTCAGGATTGTCTGTATCTACATGTATTTCATTTTCTGATCAGACATCAAGTCAGCAAGACAAATTGTTTTTTTTTACCATATGATTATGTAATATCATAAATATGAAAATAAATACTGAACAGAATTTCATAAGACACTGTCATTTTGTTGGGGTTACATGTATTGACAGATCAATGTGTCTTACTTAAACATCAAATACAAAATGATACAATCTTAAACGCTCAATCAAATAAAGCAATCAGCATATGAAATACAAGGTAGCCCAGTGCTTGAATTTTTTTTTTTAACAAAACAGATCAATGAGAATTTTATCTGATTTGGGGAAGGGAGGGGGATTATAATACTGAATTCACAAGGTCATTGACATTGAAATGAGAGGTAAATACCGGTAGGTAAATCTGTAAACATTTCTGATGTATCAAGCTGTCAGAAAGATAACACTACAAAGCCACGATGGAGGCATGCATCTTTGCTGCCCCAAATAAATGGGACACAAGTACCTGCAGGAAGTTGAGAAACATCAAATTCTTTACACGCTAGGCACCCTATTCCAGATGGGTAACATACTGCCAGATTTACCTTTGGCATTAGTGTCTTGTAAACTGACCAGAATTAGTCAGCCTCTTAGTAAGAGACCAATATCATTATGTAAGCTGCTATCCAACCCCAATATGTTGACAACAGATTTTCAAGTGCAATACAAGTGTCAATAAAATTTACTAACATCAATAAAAATAGGATGTACTGTACCACGTCCCTATACAAGTGATGAGGAACTCTTTTCCATATTGTTAATGATTGTGAATGAAGCATTGTTACTGTTACAATTCCATGGAAGTCCTACCTTATCTTTGCTGGCCTTAGGTTTTCAGACCATTGCTTCCCATAAAGGGTTTATGGGGTGCAGAGTGGATTAAAAACCCTTGGCTAGCAAAGATAGCTTAACTGCTGAAAAAATACATTTTTATATGCCATTTTTTGGCTCCGCCTATCAGTAACATTGTATTTTGCAATGTTCCGCAGCTTCACAATGGCTTGCAAACTGGTTAAAAATTCCTTGCAGAATTTTAAGTAACAGAAAAAATTTTGAAAAGCTTGTTTCTAGGTTGCCTGTCCTACAATAATAGTAAGATTTCAACATGATCTGTTGAAATGCCACTAAAAATTCACAATTCTGTAGTCCCTCAATAATTGTTTTATCTAAATATTTCTTTGTACTCACCACTGCAGTGGCTTTAGAAGCAATCATTTCAGCAGGAGTTAGGACGGCAAAGTAAGCTACATTGGCCAGCACGTAAATAACAGTCACTAATGGAATTGATATACCAATGGCTCGAGGTAGATTTCTGAAGAAAAAAAGTAAAATTGTGTTTCTGCAATTTGGCGTCTTTGAGTCATTTCATGATAAAAATACTAACATAAATAAGAAATCTGAAACATTAAAATATGACAGCAATTTTCAATAAAAGTGCTAAAATAGTGCCAAATTATTCATCTGCTAAGTTATTCAGCACACAGAAAAAAAAATATCAAGATTCTTACTTGTAGGGATTTTTCAATTCTTCTGTTACAAAGTTCAAATAATTCCTGTTAAAAAATGACAGGAAAAAATTCAACTCTGGCAAACCGTGTCACATTTGTAAAACAATCTATGTCACCTTTTGAAAACAGAAAGTACGTTTAAAAATACATGTAATCTTAACGTTGATGTGTAAGAAATCTTAAAATCTAAAAATGAAACTGAAAGACTGTGGATATTACCATCCTGCGTAGGAGAAGAGTCCAGAGTAAAATGACAGGGCAATCCTTCCTAATTCTGTTTCTGTACTTTCAAATGGTTCCTCAAAACTCTCTCTGTCACCTACATAGCAATGGAAGAACATTTACAACCAGTTCTGTCTACAGTAGAAATCAGCTGTTTTTAAATAAAGGCTATATACTGCACAACTTAAAATACCTAAGAAAAAGTCCACTGACAGTCAATTTTTCAAATTTAACTAATGAGTAAAGTGTAATGTTTTACATGTATAAACTAGTCACTGATAGTACTATGCTTTTGATTAAAGTGAAAATGTGGATAGCACTGCACACATAATAATGAAGCAGCTATGAAAGATCTTCTTGTTATACATGGAGCAATTTTCATGTTACCAACACGTTTGAAATACTTCATTAACTTGAAACCTTTTATTAAGTTGAAAAATCACATGAGCATATGAAAGTTCCTTTTATCTTATAAAAAAAACAATAAAAGATCAGTTACCAAGTGTAACACTCGTACTATCATTAAAAAATATTAATAGAAAGAATTCAGTCTAGAATTTCATCCCTGTATAGTTAACCTCATTATTAATAAACAGTCAAAAACTTGAATTTTCCTGTATTTTCTAGATTTTATCTATAACCAGACAACCAGTAAAATTTGCACATATTAGGTACCAGGTGTACTTTTAACTGCTGAAACCATGATTGTACCGGCTGAGATACACTGTATAATACAATAACTGGAGAAAAAATTGATAATACAGTGAAACCTGTCTTATCCGACATGCACTGGGAGACGAATTTTGTGTAGGAATAGACAAAGTGTCGGATTAGGCCATACCAATTTCTAATATAGTTCGTCGGATTCGCCGCTTCTATTTATTACAAATGCAAATTATAATATTTAAAAAAAAATGTCCGCGCGCGCTTCCAAAAAAATCCGACTACAATTTTTTTTTCTCGACTTTTTGCACCAAACATACAAGAACTTTGAAACTTGTGACAGATGCGCGGGATTTATAGTGAGATTGAAGCAGTTTGTGAAGTTTTGCACCATGTCTGTTCAACTGTTCATATGTACCAGGGGTGTGCAATTAGCATCCCCTGACGCCCTGGGGCTAACATTTTAGGGGGTCGGGATAGTGGTTTTCTACGAGGAGGTAGCCCGTCGGGCTAGTAAAAAATATAACTACACACGCAATACATGAAAAGCACAACCGGTATTTTAACTCGATTTTGGCTATAAAATTCCCAACCAGTTTATATTTTCTAGACAACATACTCCTACTGTCAATATATCTCCATAATCTTATCCATTTTGCAGAACTACCTGACTTATTTATTTCCAAAAACGATCGTTTTTTCCCTAATTAGCATTCCTCCGTTTATGGTAAATACATGCAGCTATATCTTTAAATTATTTATGATCACTCAATCAACTGAAAGATAAGTGTTTTGTGACTCACATAAAATATATTTCTTTTGTTTTGAGTGATTTAAGATGAAAACAAAATGAATAAATTTAATTTCATTCTACATGTTCTAAATGAGCTAGGCCTAGTGCAATGATCAGAGAAAGGGAAGATAATTAATTGAAGTTCATTTTAATTTTATTTCAGAGAATAATTTAAACATGACTGAATTTAATAAAATTTAAACTTTGACTTTAAAAAGAATGACCTCAGTACCCTGACTTTTATCAGCAATTAATTTCTTTTTCAACATTATTTTATAGTTTTGTTTTAATTTTTGCCCCTGTATTTGGGCTAGTAACTAATTGCAGCTGCCACTAGCCTGTGGGCTAGTGCTTGATTTTTTTAATTGCACAACACTGTGTACTATAGTTAAAAACAATGGGTACAAAGTTGTTTCATACACAGCAATAGAAATGGAAGCAGAGGAGATGTTTGAAAACATTACATTTATGAAAGTAAAGTCTTTGAAATTTGACACATTTTTACTTATTAAAAAAAATCCCCAAAAAGTTAAGAATAAGTTCATGTGGTATGCAAATGATATTTCTTTATTTTTTAGGTTCATGCTCTTTGAAATCACACTTTATTAAAAAATATATATATATATGTATTAATATATTTTCATAATTTTGAAACCCAAAATAAAAAATAATATTTATAAAAAAATTTCGCTCGCTCGCCTCACTTTTTATTTTTGAAAATCCGAAGAACTATTTTACAAATTGGTATGGCCTTACACAGTGTTAAAAACATGGAAAACAGTAAAATGGGAAAGGATTTAACATCCTAAACCACAGTGTGCTGGATTATTCAGGAGTCGGATTAGACAGTTTTCACTGTAAATATTTATTAAATTAAAATGCTTCCACTGGGAACCTCCTTATTTTGTAAAAGGGCCACTTGTGAAAATCCCTGAAATAACTGGCTTCCAACATAATCATAAGAACTTTTCTAGGAAGTGTTAAAAGGATTAACATAATTGGTATAGCTTAACACTGGCCCTAAAGCATCTCATGCCAAATGTCTGATGATATACGGCTGTGCACACAGAATTATTAGTTATAAATACGGTAAAATGGCATCACCTCCATTATCTGACAAGGAATTAGCAGTCAATTTATACAAAGAATCTCCAGCAAATAAAAACACCAGGACATCTCGGCTACCTGAGGCAGGAGACAAAAATTTATTCTATTCTTATCAAGTTTTCTTAAGTCAACAGTTTTCAGTGTCAGTTCATTCACAATGGGTTTCCATTTCCTTCCCTAAACAAAGTGTATTTACTTAACAGATACTGTGTTAAAGGGATCAACAAAGATCAAATATGTAATAGCTTTTCCTTTTCTCACAGTCACATGTGCTTTTAACTACACCCCAAATAAATAAGGTGGTTTAATTTTTTCTTTTCATAAATTCTTTTTTTCCCTGGTGTACTAAATATTCAGTTTAAGAAATCTTGGTCAAAAAAATACTTTACTGTACTTTTTTTCATTTGTTAAAACTTAAATACTACTTGTTCTAACAGTAAACATTTTGAAAAATTTCTAGTCATAATCTGTGCTGTGCATAGTTAAAGCCAAAAAACAATTTTCTGAATTATTTATGAAATTAATTTCCTCTGTATTACTATAGCGTCAAACGTGTAATTCTTTAGTATTATTTACTGTGACAACAGCTGTTATCATGGATTTGTTACTTCCAGCTACTGAAATTGATTCATAATTCTCACCATCACACAGTCAAATGTTACAATAACTATTTAAACACTACTTTTCTGTTAATCTATATATTATAGAATATCAAAACGACCCTTGAAAAACTTTTCTGGCAAATAAAAATAAAATAAATCTTAGATAGCAATTACAGTAAAACACACTTACAGGAAAGTTTACTTTGTTATAAGTGTAATTCATTATATCTGTTAAGCCTTCAATATATTTTAAAGTCATTCAAGGGGAATGAAAAAACTTTACTGTAAGCATAAGGTCATTATAAGCATGTTCATTTTAAGTGAGTTTTACTGTATTATAAAGTATTAAAAGTTTTCTTTGGTATATCATATGCTATTCATTTTTCTTTGTTTTGTTTTTTATTGTTGGTTGGTTGGTGTGTCTATTCGGGGAGGGGGGAATTAATAAAGTATAACTGTGATTCAAATTTTGTTTTTTAAAGTTTTCAATCAGGGTGATATGAACAGAAAATGCATGTTATTATGTGCAGCAGTAAGTTCATCACCAGATTTACCAGCTATAGTTAGAACAAGAAGTCTGCAAGACACCGGGTCCCTTATTCTGGGTAATCTATAAGTCAAACAATATTCAACAGACAAAGCTCATATAAAATCCCTTCTTGATCTCAATACAAAAATTCATATCATCATGCTGAATAAATACAGTGAAATGACTTCATTTCACAAGACAGAATCCTTGAGGGAAAAAATAAAAGAATTGACTTGAGTCATTTTATAAAATATTACATCAACATTGAGGATTCATGTAAGTTTAGAGTATATAAATATTAATTTTCCTTGTTCAGCATACTCAATATTGATATTCAATTTTAAACTTATAAATTTTTTTTAAATCCATCGATAAAATCTACGAAAAAATTTTTTTGAAAAAAATTTTTAAATCAAAATGACTGCTAATTGACGGAATTTCAATAGTTTCTAAAACAGACTTAACCATCAAGACTACAAAAAAAAAAAATTATGTACTAACTAAATTAGCATTAAATGATAAAATAAGAATTTAATAATTAGCAATTTTTGGTATGAAAAAAAATATTTAGGTGCATGGTTGTGATAGGGAATATAACATTAACAATACAAGTTCAATGCTCACTTAGAGATTTTAATTCAAAATATACAAATGACTGTTTTATTTGCCTTAACAATTTAAAACTAAACTTTACAATCACTAGGAAATAGTATGCATTGTGAACTTTGATGCTTATAAAAATTTGAAGTAAACTTACCAATGACTAGATAGACCATTCCAACGATGATAATAATGACTAATGCTAGGACTTTGGTTACAGTGAATACATCTTGCACTCTGGCTGCCATTTTTACATTCCAGGCATTTATAAATGTTAAAAGTGCTGAAAAACACAAAAAATATGATATCCTACATTTTAAACAATATACTGCATACAAATTATAACTGACTTGTTCATGTGTTGTTATGGAAAAAATACTTATGCATTTTTCTATTTTATTTTTAATCTGTTGGTATAAATTAATCTATTGTAAAAATTAATTATTTTAAATTTTTAAAATTCTATTTATGTAATTGATTTTTCTTCAGTTTTGGGAGGATGGCTATATACTGGTGTTATTGCATCATCCAAACCCGCGTGTTTTTAAACATTGCATCATCAAATCCAGCATGGTATTTACTTACTTATACAGACAGCTGCTAATAGACTGACTGCTTCCCCAGGTGCCTCACAGTCAGGGAACAAAGGTTCTAGTACATAATACGCAAAAGTTTGTGCTGTGATGGCATTTCCCGTGGGAATGATAATCATGATAGCGACCCACAGATACAAGAAAGCAGGAAAGTGTCCAAAAGATTCCATAATGTAGGCATAGTCTGCGCCCGATTTTAGAATCATTGTCCCTAACTCGGCATAACACATGGCCCCTATAAGTGAGATGACCCCACACAGCACCCACACGATGAGGGACATCCCCACACTCCCCGACTCCAGGAGTACTCCTTTGGGGGAAATAAAAATCCCGCTCCCAACAATAACCCCCACAATAATCGCGACACCATTGTGTAAGTGAAGTTCTTTCTTCAGTTTAACTGCACTGTCTTCTTCTATTTCCACTTCTTTGTCGTCTGGGTGGACTTTTACGGTGCCGTTTCCTGACATGGTTTATGTTGCTGCACTCCCACTCCGCGTACACGTGGACCTGAACACTGATGGAGTTAAAACTGACAATGAGTAGAAATCACAAAACGGGTCCAATAGAAAGCTTATATCTTGTCTCAAACTCAGCTAAAAATCTTGTTTATGTTGTTTAGATTAAAACAATTTACAGATCAACACCACTTCCATTCATATCGCGGGAATGTTGTCAAATACTACGAAGGCAGCATGCTTCCGGTTTTTGTACGTAAATAGTCACGTGCTTTATCATCTCGCTGTCATTGGATGGCTCGTATTTGCATCTCGTGAATATTGGCGGTAAAGTTTCACAACACTTTCGCAGAATATTCTTAATATTCATTTTTATTACGTGTTACTGGTACGTTTACATTCTAGGTAAATCAGAAAAAATTCTTTTGTACCATTTCATATTTTCTTATCATCACTAAATTAATAACTTTATCATTATTTTTTTTTAAATAAATATCATAAAACATGTCTGATACATTTCCAACCCGGATCTTATTCGTTGTAGTTACCTGTACAGACAAGTACTAGTATTTGATATTTGTTTCCTTTGCTGAATATAGCAACCTAAAAACAGACACGTAGCAATAGGGGGGGCACTTATTTTCAAAAACTTTTTAGTTTTGAAAATGTTCAACAATGAAAAACCGCTGCCCCTTCCCTCTATTCGTAAAATTGAGGGTCAATAAAGGGTTATATACTATATTTGGAAGAAAATTTGGTACTGAAAAAGATTGAATCCTAACCCCCTCCCGAAATAGGATTTTCAAGTTTTAGTAATTCCTTTTTATTATTTTTTTTTTTTTTGCTTGTCAAGTTTTTTCCCCCAGGTACACTGCAAGTTGAATTCTTTTTCGCTCCCCCCCCCCCATCTTTCAAAAACGATGCTTCGTCACTGTATAATACCTTTTTGGCACAGGCATCTAATGTAACGTATTTTTCTTTTAATAGAAAATATATCCCTAACTAATAATTCATGTGTAATATGAGGTAGGGGATATATTTTTTATTAAGATAAAATAAGTAACTTCGGGTCCTCTGCTTTTGTTTTTATATTATTAATTTTCTAGAACAGCAATTTTAAAAAGTGAAAGTCGATGCACCGTGATGCCAATGTTTCTAAAGATATAATCACTGCATTGAAAAGGTAATTCAATAATTATAAATATATCGTTGAGATAATTCTGTATCAATGTGTATTACAGGTATTTTGATTTTTAAAAAAAATTTTTAACATGCATTGTAAAAAGGGCTGTTAAATCATACAAAAACAGATGAAGCGCACAAGAGTTATATTTCTTATACTTATTAAATCTGAAGTTTGGAGACAAGCACAAATATAAGGATATAGAAAAATGATCAAAATCTCTCGTTTAAGCGCAACCTTTTGTGTGTGTGTTTTTTTTTTCTTGATTAGACCCCCTCCCCACATAAAAGTATGTTAATATGGAATTTATTCCTGCATTTCATCTGTTCTTCTTTTATAATTTAGATATTCAGTATGAATACTTATCTTAATGAACCAAGGTAATGTTTATTAACAATATTTAGAATAGCTTTACTAATAGTATTTTTGACGTAGCAAAAGACTTGTAATTAATCAAATTAAGCACTGTAAATGCACTCTATAGCCCCTTTAGATCCGCCCAAACAACGTTCCCACCCACAAATCGACCGTCTCGGTTGCGCTATCTTTTCTGTAATTTTGGCTCACCAGAAAAGGCACAGAACAAGGGGGCGGATATCTTTATAATCAAAGACGACAATTACCTCGGTGATCAAAGAAAAGTTGTAAAAAGTGTTTTCCTTTTGGAAAAAGAGCAAATGAACCGCAGTCTCTATGGCCACCATGTTTTTGTTGGGAAATGATGCAACGACATGTGTCAAGTACGTGAAAATGTCAGTGATTAACACGACTTTTAACAGGAAAAGATTAAGAATAGAACGCTTTGACAATACACGATTTTAAATATATGCCTCCATGACAATTAACAGTCGGCCACGTGTTTGAGTGGCCCTACGGTGCTATCTGGTTATCGTATCCCCGATGGATTCGGGGTTTGGGGCATTAAAACAGCGGGGGTAGGGTATTGGGGGTGCATGAATTTTAGTGTCAGGTTCGTAAAAATACATATATCTGAAACAGTTACTGCAATCCTTCGTAACTGGGTATAGTGGTCTTGCCAATTTAAATGCCAGCTGTGTTATTTCACTTAACACTTGACACTACTGTGTTGTTCTTTCGTTATGTTTTGACTGTTGTGTATACAGAATGAATTATTTTACAAGATGCATCATTTATATTTAAAAATTACATTTGCGGTTAAGAAAAAATAAAATATCTTATCTAATTATAGATTCAAGTAGACAGTATATGTTTATACTCTGATTTGTCTAAATAATACCGGTATATATACATAATTTACAATTAATTTTATAAAATCGAAATTAATTTAAAAATAACATTAAATTGAACATTCATTTGAATTTTTTTAGTAATAATTTTGTATAAATAATCTACTGAGGATATATGCTCATTAATTGACAAAGAAGGTCATTTGATTCTGGAAAACTAGAATGAGGATGATAACTTTGCCACATAATGGATGCACGTGCGTTATTTGCCACTTACATAACTTTTACATGTACTGAATGACACAGGCATCTCATAATCAGTGACCCCCACCAACCCTGGCTTCTTGAAATTTTTGACACAAATTTAAAAAAAAAATTATAACAAAATTTACAAATGTTCTGTCAAACCTATATCTCGATATCTGATATATTTCCTGATTTTGTTAAGTTTTAGAGATCGGCCCTTTACGTTATATATATAAATAATTAGATGAGTTTCTGGAAGTTCATGCTAATATTCAATTCCATCACTTCAGTGATACATTAAAAACGGAGATTTCAGACTATGCCATTAATCGAGCCTAAAGGAAGCAAATAATTTCAGTTTGAAGGAGGGGCACAAATAAAAAAAAATTAAATTTGTTATGTTTGCTATATTGAGGTGCACCCCCTACCACGTGGATACACTGTAGTTACTACAAGTAAATCGATCTGTCTATTAATCTATACATGTATCTGAAAAAGCAAAAGATTTTATGTTAATTGTTTCTTTTTACAATTATTATTTAAAAAAATCAATGACAGAATATTAAGTAGTTTTATTTTTTTTTAATTTTGCAGAAATTGATTAAAATAAAATGTTGATTTAGTTGTTTTAGTCAATGTTATAGTTGGAGGAATTGACTGATGAAATTACTAGTAAATAAATAGAGCTAGCCCAACCCAGCTCTTGACTCGTATGGAAGAGGAAGACAAGAAGAAGAAATAAATAGGGGCCTACATGATGGACGAAAAATATTTTTTTTTAAATCTGCAAAATCAGAGCCCAAATGAATTTAATATACGACGGAAAGAATTAAATCTGCCGGGGCAAAATTATTTCAAAATACTTTTTTAAATAAATAAGTGACATTTAGAGATATGCAAGAATTAGATTGGTTGCTAATGTGTAATAATGGTTTCCTGATTTTTTATATTTTTTATGTATTTCCAACAAAGGCTTAATTCTCACAAAAATGATGCAACACTTTAGGTGATGCAATCTGTAGTAGTTTTTTACCAGTTTTTAGGGGTGTCCAGCACTGCCATCATTTATTTCAAATTAATCTTTTTGAATTTGACGACATGTTTGGCTAATTTTAATTTATTCATTTACTTTTTGATATAAATGTTTAAAGAATTTATTATTTGTAGTAAATTGTTTAGATTACTACAAGTTTTATTTTAGAACACCCCTTTTCAAAATAGTGGTTCCGTCCTTATTATTTACATCCGGTGGCAAGGAAGGCTGGTTCTGTTCAGAAGCGTGATCGCCTCGGTTGTGAGGAGAGATGGCGAAAGGGGATAGCGTATCAATAGAGAGGGATTCTGACGATGGAGTACAACTCAAGAGGAGAATCACCCTCTTCAATGGTGTCGCTATTATTGTTGGTTCAATCGTGGGGTCGGGAATTTTCGTAACTCCAAAAGGTGTTTTGGAAAGCGCAGGGTCGGTAAGTTTCTGTTGAGTTTCACTTTGCGCATCGTCAGCACGTGTGCAAATATTTATGGCATGTTTTGTTATAAGAGTAGGCTTAGCTTTGAGAGTGACGAAAAGAAACTTCACAAGATAGTTTTCTTCTTTTTTAATCTTATTGAGATCTGTCGATTCACATGATTGAATCATTGAATTATATCCATGTGTGTGTAGTTGATGTGCGTTTCCGCCCTATATACAAAGCATATTTCATAATGGGGACCATATGGCTTCAGAAAAATCCTATAGGATCTGATTGGTTTTGGAAATATTTAATTGATGTCATTCATATGTGCTTATTAATGTCATCAGATACATAAATAAATCATCATTTCTCAGGTGTCAGATTTGTTTGCCTATAATTGTAATTCAAATATCAGATTACCTTGTACACAAATTTATATTTATAAACATTGCAGTGCAGTTTTCATGTGACTTGCACAAACTAATAACATGCCTATATCTTGCCCTTGAAAGTGTATAATAAAGCATGAGGGTTTTGTCAGGTAACCCCATTTTACAGACTACTTGAATCAATGATCGAGGCCTCTTATAAATATCAGCACCTACGGGCAGTTTTGTTTGTTTACTTCTTCAACAGTTCAAAAGGGTGTTGTGTCAGGCATTCATGGTAAACAAAAAGCAGCTTTTAACAAAGAAAGTCACTCACAGGGATAAATTCCTTTTATCTTATTAAGATGCCAAAATTTAAGATAAGCTGCTTTCTAATCTTGTGTTTCCTGTACCTAGCTTCACCCAGGAATAATATGAGCCTAAGGCCTAAGGGACAAGGCAATGTCTTGCCAGCGAACTTCTGTAATAATAAGTAGGGGCTACATGATTTCACACATTATTTTACCTGTCAACTGCAGCTGGGACTGACCACCCAGGCATATAGAGAGTTCACAGATGAATAAATCTAAGCTTATCAAGTGTTTCTTGGTAAACCCATCGCTATCAATTTTAGTGTCATCCCTAAATATCATTTTCTGGTCAATTTGTAAAGAAAACCTATCATTTAGGACCATATTTCACCAAAATATTTTAATGAAAGACTTAATTGTGAAAACCCCATTAATTTTGATTGGTGATTACGATTCTTTATTGAATCCGCCAATCCCCAATTTCTGTTTTGGGCAGACTGAAAGGCACTTGTTGTCTCTCGGTCCTGTTGAATAAATTCATTAGATTTCTTATTGATTTGCTTTTATCTTTTGCATCGTTCCAATCAAATATTTATTGATTTTGTCTTTGTAGGTAATGTAAATGTTTATAACAGCCTATCATAATGTTCACCACAGCTAGTGAATATAAATTGTTTTCAGTATTCCAAGAGACCTTTGATAAATCCTGGTTAATTGGTAAAATTGTGATTCTATGTAGTGGTATGTAGTACACTGTATTGTATTTACCAACAAGGATTATAGATTAGCAAGGATTATAAAAAGGTGTGGATTAATTTGTAGAAATGTAAATGCCAACATTGAGGTGAAAAATTTTAATGGCTTGCCCTAGTATTCAGTCTGTTTTCGAACTATGTGACGTACCTAGTGTAAGCATATTTATTTATAACCTTAAAAAATAGATGTGCCCTCGTTATAAATATGTTTTAATTTGTTCACTTTATGACACAATGTATTGTATAGTGTCTAAAAACAAAAACTTTGAGTAGTGGTATAACAAAAAAGTGAATTTAATTCAAACGTTTAAAAACAAGGTTACTTTACATGTAATGATGTTACAGCCCAACCCTGGGGATATTAATCCTGCAGTTTACTTCATTTGTATTCCGTATTTATTTCTCAGACAAAAATACACAAAAGTACAAAAGTTCATCATTGCATATCATGCATATAGGACATTCTCGGCATGACAAGGTATATATTTTTTTTTATTAATTGGTTTTGTCACCTTATCCAGGTGAAGGACTGCAATGTAATATATTCAAAGTTCCAGACCTGGCATCTTGTAACCGCTGAGAGTTTACGCTGCTTCAATTAATCACAGCTGGATAGCTTGGTCCACCTTCTTTATTCGGGGGCCAATGTCCACATAGTGTAATATGTTCTGTCCCCAATTCATTGTACATGCCATTGATTTTGGCTTTAGATCTATGTCGTTTGCATGTTTACAGAGACTAATGTAAATTCAAAGGGCTTGTACAGTGTAATGTTAGAGACAAACAAGATGTTCCAGAACTGAATGCTAAATGAAGTGTTGGGAAAATAGTTTGTATACAGGAATCAATGAATAAGGAGAAATCGTATGCTTTAAAATGATGGCACTTCTGAATGTCATTGAATTGAAGATTGTGTTTGGGTCAAATGTTCATAGTGAAATTGAGATCTCTATCAAAATGATTCTTTTACTCATGAACTTTCTCTGGTAGATGAATGTTTCCTCATTTTTCAAATGAATATAAATATTTTCATCCATTTGTTTCAAGGGATAGACGGACTTTAGATTCTTCCAGAATTATTTAGGTTTTGACCGTATACCTATGCATGTTAATTATTCTATTAAAGAAAATATTTTTTCATGTCCAAGCCACATGGATTTTAGGTCAGATCTTGATAGTCTATGAACACGTCATGTCTGCAAACTTAAAAGCATTAATGTTTTAAATCATTAGCTGCATGGATTCATGACAACTAATGCATTTACCGCATGATGTTGTTACATCAAAGAAATCCATGTTTTCACAAAGGATAGCTTGTATAGGATGCTTAGTCTTAAAAAAAGACATGTTAGTAGTAGAACATATAGAGACCATGTTTTTGATGCATGACAGTTAATTATTTTAAATAAGAAGACTGTATGAGCATCAATGTCATATTAATGCCAAATAAAATATGAATTATTGGTAACAGCATTATTTCTTCAAAGAAAAAATGTTCATTATGATAATTGAAGGGGAATAGGAAAATGATATTCAGCTGATTATTTGTAAATTTATATGTATCATTACTTCACTTTATTAATACTAATTGACTGCTTGAATTTTAATTGGCATCAAATTTAGAGAGTCTATCTTGTGACCACACAGGATTAGTATCTTATTTTTTCTCTCCTAAATTTCAAGGTCACATGACTGTTCAATTCAAATTGACTATTTGAGCAGAATAAATAAATCTGCATGCAACCACACATGTAGAACCTGAGCAAATTAATCAATCTAATTATTACCCATTTTTGAATGCACTATAAGTGGCTTGTATTTTACACTAATCTACATTTGTAGTTCAAGGACAAATTTCAATACTGTTGTCATCGTAGTTTTGGTTAGAGATTGACTTCTGTTTATTGAGGATATAATTTGCCCCTATTGGTACAAATGTAACAATTTGATTGGTTACAGGCTTTAGGTTTACCTTCTGAGTACCACATTCATCCTAATAATAAGCATTTGGGGTTCATATAACAGAAGACAGGGGTCTTATAATTAAAACAGTCATGGTACCAAACAGTATATGATATCCATGTTACCTACAAATGCATTGATATTATGGGTGTGTTTCATATTTTACCTCTGTCAAACTTGTTACAATGTATTTGATAAAATGTGCTCAACTTTCTTTAGCATTTATTTTATTATGGCCAGGTTCCTTTGAGTAGACAGTTCATTTTTTTTACTATTCAGAATAGAGCTTAATGTATTGGACTTTTTTAAAAACAAATATTCTTCTAGTATATAGTGTGATAACTTGATGTGTTTCTTTTTATTTATGACATACACTTATGCCCTATTCACACGGAGAGTTTAATTCGAATTAAACGTAAAGTTACTGTGAATTAGCTTTGCTTAGCATTCACACAGAGAATTTAATGTGAATTAGTTTAATTTGAAATAGTTTACTGCGCATTAAATTACTTCACATTAGCTCCGTGTGAACACTAAGCGAAGCTAATTCGAATTAAATTCTGATGCATGCTTAATGGCAAAATTTAGTCAAATTCCACTTGTGGGTGGTCAGCTATAGGTTCTTGTGCTATTTTTGAGTGAAAAACTAAGGAAAATTTTGTCAATCATTAAAATGTGTAAACAGACACTTTGCCATTATGTCAAATGGATCTGCTTCTGCATAAGGTGACATGCTTTGCAAATGACGTCATAATAGCCATGCTGACGCTGGGCTGCAGAAGTAAAATTTTAATTCGCATTAGTTTACTTCGCATTAGGTGTCGTTTGAACGCAATTTAATTCGCATTAGTTTGATTCGCACTAGTTTACTTTGCATTAATTTACTGTGAATTAAACTCTCCGTGTGAACAGGGCATTAATTTTTTACCCCAAGACAGGGGACCTTACAATTCAAACAATCATGGAACTACTATTTTCCCTAAAACTTTGTTATTAAAAAGGATGCTAAATTTCTTTTAGCATTTATTGTAGTTAATATATGTCTAGTACATCCTCTGAGTAGAGGATCATGTAGGATAGGAAGATTGTTTTTAAACAACCAATTGAGAATTATATATGTTTCTTTACAAAATCTCCCTCAGTACAATGTTTGTCTTTACTAACAATCTATATTTTTTCCCATTATAGGTAGGCTTGTCTTTGGTGGTATGGACAGGGTGTGGCTTCCTGTCGTTAGTGGGAGCGGTGTGTTACGCTGAATTGGGGACCACCATCACACGATCAGGTGGTGACTATATCTACATCCTCGAGGCCTTTGGTCCATGTATGGCCTTCCTGCAGCTGTGGGTGAGAATTTCAGAATTTTATGCCTCCTGACCAAATCAAATTGGATATTGACCTAACGACGAAAAGCCATTTCAAATCTTCTGATAATATTCAAATTTTGTAATTATCTTCTGCAACTTAATGATCATAATATTTTGAAATCATAATTGTTTTTGACATTTAAGCATTAAGCAATGTATACTTTCTGAATTTTATTGAATTTGGTTCAAAAAAGAAAATTGCATTTATAATTATGAAAGGGAAGATAAGTTTACATTTTGAATATGTGTTTCTAAAATATGCATAGTTTATGAACATTTTGTTGATTTATGGAATATGGAAATGAAGTCTGAAGACAGTACATATAATAAAATAATTTATGTTCTTGCAGGGTAACTTGATTATAATCCGTCCCACTGCTCAAGCTGTTGTCGCTCTTACATTTGCTAACTACGTCCTTCAACCCATTTTCCCTTACTGCGAGTCGCCAGTCATAGCAAAGAAGCTGTTTGCTGCACTGTGCATCAGTAAGATCTCTTACATCAGTACAATCATATATCTGTGTATAATATATGACACAGACTGAAGGCTGAATACACTTTTCTTTGATGTATAACTGAAACTTGTATAGTAAGGATCTTCAACACCAAGAAATTTTTGCACTGTGTGCATAAAACATTATCAGGATGTTCACATTATATACAAATAGAGCATTGTTTGAGTTTGTCTGACTTAGCTTACAAAACCATTCATCTGAACATCTGCTTTGCATTATTTGTTCTTATTAGTCATTACATATCTGTACATATTCAAATAAAGTTGTAAAAAAAAATTTGAATTATTGACTTTTTTGCACTTAGGTATCTTGACCTTTGTGAACTTGATCAGTGTGAGAGCAGCAACAAGAATTCAAGATCTCTTCACCATCGCTAAAATCCTGGCTCTCATTATCATTACCATCACTGGCTTCGTTCTGATTGGACAAGGTAATTATAACCGCTTAATGACTTCAGTTGAAAGCAAACTTCTGAAGTTAAATAGAGGAAATTTCATTTTGAAATTCTAACATAGATTTTTATTTTTTAAATGATTATTTGGCATTTAAAAGGAGAAAATCCTCTGGTTTTCAGAAGGAAACTTCTTGATTTTATAATTACCGCAGTTTATCAATTCTGTATTAGTGTCTGCTCTGAAGAATTCAAATGACATCAATCTTTAGTGACCTTTAGTTAAAACCATGAAGGGGAACCAATAACTTTATATGAGAAATTAATGTATTTTTAATGATCTTTGCATTATTAAAGATTTCTTTAAACAACTATTTACAATAATGAAAGAAGTATGAAAATTAAGGTGAAAAATGTATTAGTAAAAGACTTTGACACAGATATTTATATATAAAAATTACCGGTATTCAAATTATTTTAGGGGAAGTGGAATATTTTCAAAATGCATTTGAGAACACAAATACAGATGTTGGACAAATATCTCTGGCCTTCTATTCTGGCTTGTTTGCTTATGCTGGGTGGTAAGTAAAAAGAGAAGCATTATTTCTCGTTATATTCTGTAAGGATTTGATTATGCTTCTATTTTTTACAGTTTATAAATTGATAAGTATGCATTGAATGTATTATTTTGTTACAGTCTATGTAAACTTTAACCTGATATATGAATGTAAAATTCATAAAAATCCATTGTCTACATTTGAAATGTAAACTTCTTAGATCTAATTTTTTCTTATATAAATAAACTTGTTATTTTCAGGAACTTTTTGAACTTTGTTACAGAAGAAATGATTGATCCTTTCAAGTAAGTTTGAAAAGAAGTTTCTTACTTTCAGTAATTCTTTGAACCTTGGCATATTATAAATATAAAGATTTCTTTTATTCCTTACAACTTGCACAAAAAATGATTGATAATTAACTGTCTTTCCTTAGGAACTTGCCACGAGCTATCTACATCTCCATTCCAATTGTTACTCTTGTTTACGTGTTTGCCAACGTTGCTTACTTAACCATCATCTCCCCATCAGAAATGCTGGCGTCAGAGGCTGTGGCAGTGGTAAGATTATTTAACTAATCATTAGTGCTCTGATGTTAATCTTTTACCAAAAAATAAAGATAATAAAAGAGCAAATTCTGGTATTTCTTTTGATGGTAAACATTAATTATATCTACATATATGCCAAGTAGTCATATCTGGTGTTGTTGATTACAGAAATTAATAGTGGAATGATTGTATGCTGCAAAAAAAGGGGGGACTATTAAAACCAAAAAAAAGCGTATTCATGTGTATTTGTGGTTTCACAGAAAAATGATAGGGATTTGTTGATATTTTTTTTTCTAGACCTTTGGTGACAAGGTGTTTGGAGTTATGAACTGGATTGTACCCGTTTTTGTGTCCCTGTCCACATTTGGAGGTGTCAATGGCCTACTCTTCACATCTGGAAGGTTTGTATTTGCATCAAACATCTGTCATATGACTAAGGTTTGTGTTTTTTTAAAACAAAGGTCATGTGGTTATTTGCTATATTTGCATCAAAAGCTATGATCATTAGTTGGCCAGAAAATATAGGGTAATTGATGTAATTATCAGGTCAAAAGGTCAAAGATTACCTAATTTTAGCTTGACTCTAATATTTCAAAATGTCTAAAGAATTTTCTTCTTGGTGCAAAGATTGGTCTAGTTGCAGAACTTATAAGCTCTCTGGTTGAGAAAATTTGGACAAACATTGACAAATTCAAAGAGCTACTGACCCAAGCATTGCAAACTCCCTTGCTTTCCCTTGTATTGATTAACTATTAAAGCTTTATGACTTTATTGATGTTTTTGTCACTTGTTTTCAGACTGTTTTTTGTTGGAGCCAGAGAAGGTCATCTTCCAGAATTTTTCTCCATGATTCACACAAAGAAATACACTCCCCTTCCAGCCATGTTGTTCACTGTGAGTTATTTTGATATTCCTTTCAACCACATCAGCATGAGGCTATGCATTTAAATTTGAAATTTTAATTTTGCTGAAATAATTAAAAGAGTGATTTCTTGTATTTTATAGGGAGGCATGTCCTTGGTGTACCTGATATCTGATGACATTTTTATTCTCATCAACTACATGAGTTTTGTCCAGTGGTGGTCAGTGGGGATGTCCATTCTGGCCCTTATCTATTTAAGGATAACCAAGCCAGAGTTGGAGAGGCCTATCAAAGTAACTTTTAATTTAATCAATATTTTATCATGTAAGATCACATAATTGGATTGGACATCAGGCATGACCTATATAAGTCCTCTCCAAGGTCAAGGTTACAAATGTTAAGAATTGACAATGATTTACAATGATGAAAAAATTTCCTTATAAGTTACATTAATTTCTTTTGTTATCTAAGGTGGGAAAAAAAGAAAAGAAAAAATGAATTGAATTAAATTATACAGAAGCGTTATTACTAAATACGTATACATGGTATACTCGCTATACAATATAATGACAAAAAAAAAATAATAATAATGATAATTAAAAAAAAATGCAAACAAACAGCAAAACAGAATAAGTAAACAAATAAAGTGCAAAGAACAAATATGTAAAGAAAAAAACAAAACAGAAGGAAATAGTGACATTAAAAAATAAATAAATTTTGATCAAGCAATTACACTGAATAAAGAAAAAAAAACTAATAAAGTGCAAAGACAAATTTCCATGGAAAAAACACTTATACATATACATGGAACATGGAAATGCCGAGAGTTGAAGTAAATAGAAATAGGAGAAATATCTGGATTTATTTTATTTTTTTTTTTACTTAATTACAAAATACTATCAAAATCTTTTTGAAGACTTCATGTACAGTTATTTTATAAGGTAATTGCCTATCACCAAATAACAAAGTATTCACAATTTGATCAGGAGACATAATTTCTAATTCTATTACACTCTAAAGACTTTCAAAAAATATTCTCTGATTATTATATGCAGGGCATCCTAAGAAAAAATTATAGTTATCCTCGTTCAGATGTCCACACTTAGTACAAGATGCTATTTCACTTAGATACTGATTATACAGAGCACACATTTAAATTACAAAGTAACTAATTTATACACATGTACATTGAACAAAATAGGGATTTTTTGTGTTTTTTGAAAAGTTTGTTTCCTTCCACATTTTGCTTAGCTAACTTGCATTCCGTGGGAAATTAAGGGCTAAAATAGGTTTTGCCTGCCTCGCAATCCCTTGAACTTTTTGAGAATAAAATTAATATGTACCGGTATAAATTTTAATCTTATTTCTCACAAGTTAGAGAAGATAATTGGTTGGTGATGTTATAGACAGTTTTTTCCACCTGGTAAACGTGTAACATATTCTTGTTTGTTTTTCAGTTCCCACTGATCATCCCTATCTTCTTCCTGTTGTGTGTGTTATTTTTACTGGTCCTCCCACTGACAGTGGAACCAGAATCTACGGGGATGGCACTTTTCATGATCCTGGTTGGGCTACCAGTTTATGTTATATTTGTAAAGTGGACAAAGAAACCCAAGTCCTGGAGAAAATTCTTTGGTATGTAAAACTGAAAATCTAATTATTTTTAGAATAAATTTAAATTTTGAATAAATCCTCAGTAACAAAAGCATGATAGGCAATAATTAATGAGGGTTAATAATAATGGTAAAGACAGATCTGTACTTGAAATTTATTGATGGGTGGAGAAAGGCAGGGAAGCAGTTGTAAAGCAAGGTTTTATACAGTGGGATAATATTGGGACCTGGATTTTTGTTTGCAATAAGAAGGTATGACTGTATAATAAAGACATTAAAGAAGAAGAACACTGTACAGTCAATGTCACTTCATTGTGTTCTCTGTTATTATCTTACTGTGATTCCCTTCTTTTCAGCCAATCTGACCGTATTGGGACAGAAGGTCTGCAGCGTTGTACCCGAGAAGGAGTCCTGATTCTACACGGAAGAAAAGGATTTTTGTGTTTAAATGTGTTTGTGTGAGAGTGTGTGTGTCTGCTTGTATGATTTTACTGTAGTTGACACATTTATCATTATTTATTGATGAAAAGTCACCCAAGACTTACATTTGAGAAATCTTGTGTATGTTTGCAAGTAGTGGTAGTTTGCAGGTGTATTTTCTAGTGTAGTCATGGCCTGTGAAACAGAAGAATAGTTATGTCACTTGACATATTTCTCCATGTATAGATTAGTAGATGATGATGTTCTTAGTTTTGTTCATATTTAACTGCTTTGAAGGGAATACTCATCAAAATCATGCTTTGGCTGGGTTCAATATTTTTTCAATTTTTCTTTATTCAGCCTTACCATGTCATTTGGATAACAAATGTTGCTTCTAAGTCCATGCGTTTTTTCTGCTTTCAATATGTTGACAATATAAGATAATGTTTTTAAAACATTTTGCAGATACAGAATTATCATGGTTGTGTACCGGTACTGTTATATGTATATTATAAAGCAAACATAATATTTAAATTTAGGCCATCTTTGAAATTTGCCCTCTCCTGACTCAAGGTAAAAATATTTTTTAAGCAGGTAGGTGGGGAATTTTTTTTTCCTAGAAAATTTCAACATACAGTATTGACGATGTGAGAAAATTCAGGAATGAATATTATTGCTAACTGGAAGTAAAAAAAAAAAAGGTTTTGTGTTGCATGGTTTTTAGACAGTAAGTCGTGAGAGGGCAAACAAACATTTTTTTAAAGATGGTATTATTATATGTATATGCACTGCACACTGTAATATTAATATTATAAATGATTAGTCATTTGCATAAGGATGTCATTACAAAGACCCACAGTAAACCCCAACAGGGCATTATAATTACCTCATACAATTATATGTACTTGAATCCCAGTAGAACTAGTTGCCAGAAAGATACAAACTTAGTCATGTATTAATAAAAGTTTTCCATATATTTATTTTTCTAGCAGCTGTATATGCAATTTATTTGTATTTTCAGTATCATGTCTCTGATATTTTAGAGATTTTTATATACAGTCTTTATTAGAAATATACACCAATTTTACTGCCATGAATACTTGACATATATTAGTATATAATAGTTCTAAACTTACAGTTGTCCACAGAATTTTTTTTTAACTGTACAACTGTATAAGTTTTAGCAGAATTGCCTGAAAATTTGTACACAAGAGCATGAACAAAATAAAGTACTGTGACTACTTTGAAATCATTGTTTGAGGTGGACCAATGTTTGTGGATTTTGGGGGTTTTGTTAAAGTCCTTCAAACAACAACTTTTTCAGCAAATCAATTCAGTGAGTTGACTGTTTATACAGATTAGCATTTAATTTAACTTCAATTTCTGGTAAACATTGATCAAATCAAATTAAAATGATTTCACATTATGTAATGTTCAATACATTTGACTGACACAGTGCAGCTTTTATATTTATTCCATCATTTCCATGTGTTCAGATTTTTTACATTACCTCCCCTTTCAAAAGCCATTCCTCTTTTCCATGTTATCAAGCCATAGCATGCAGATAATCCATGTATGAATTTATTTAGAAAGTATTAGAAAATGCATTTCCTTTAATCAAATGAATATTATTTTATAATATGCTTAAATTATCATGTTTTCATGCACAACTGCATTTTTTAATAGATATGCATTTTAATGTCTTGCTATTTATGTTTTGAATGATTGGATGGTGATCTGTTGTTATTTTGCTCTGATTGAATATTAGCTGCATTAATTAGATCAACTTGCTGAAAGTGAAACTGTCTTCCTCTCTTTTAAATTTGTTAAGGTGATGGACTTCATTATTTTTAGCATTTTTCATTATGCATTTATTAGCTCTTTTAATATTTTATTTATATATATGATGTTCAGTATTTTTTCATACCACACTATTTTTCCTAGCAATTTCTGATATGTTTTTAAAAAAAACAATATGTTAATTATGTGTTCATTTTTTTTTATTAAAAAAAATAAACAAAAACAAAAAAAACAAACAAACTCTGTACTAGATCTCCTCTGTATTTTGTTGAAACTTTGTCATCCAGTGTCAGGGTAATTTATGTTGTGAACAAATATGGCGAACAGTTACAAACTGTTATAAGGAATGAAAATCTCAATAAAATGTAAAATTTTCATCACCTGTTTGTTTTTTGTCTCAGTGAAAGCATGGAACAATTCCTGTTTAAATTTCTGAAATCTGAAAGTGTCTCATTATTGTCATGTATATTCTGGCAAAGGACAAAATGATAATAAAATTCCAGACCATTTCACTTAATTTTGAATGACTGATGAGTGAGATGAAGAAAACTCAGCAAAGGACTTTGAACAGTACACTTGTGTGATCAATGTCCGTCTGTGATCCGCCTGTAAACTCTCTCCATGATCAGTGAAACACACTCGCCTGACACCACCTACCGGTACTGGTCTCTCAGGTGGTTTTAAATGAAATTTGTTCTAAAGGAAAGTAATTATTTCATTTATTGACAACACCATGTATATGTTGGTAAACTTTTCACAAGTACCATGAGATTTGGTTTTATAGGAAAGTGAAAGACCAATGGTGAGGGGAAAAGGTTTAACAACATTCTTGGTACATATCGTCATCAAAAACCATGGCCAAAAAGTACTATCCTCTCTCACTTTGGTAGGAGAGAGCTATATGCGGACTCCGGACCATGCATATTTTGAGATGATGGGTACTAGTACATATTTCACAGAGAAATTAAACCCTTTAATGTCTTTATCAATTCATAACACATATAGAAAATTTACACTGACAGTCTTTTTGGCATCCCCCCCCTTTTTTGGTCAATTTAGGGGGTGATGTGATATTTTTGACTAAAAAAAAGGATACTGAAAGAAGTTAACACCTAACCACCACCCCCACCTCTCACCTTGACGAAGTAGGGTTTTTAAGTTTTGACAATTTTCTTCCTTTTTCCTTTTTTATTCGGGTACGTTGAATTTTTTTCTGTAGCTGCCCCCATTAAAAACGACGCTACGTCACTGTTTTTGCACTTTTCAATGCGATATAATTCTGGACGAAGTATCAGAGTAATTGGTACATAAACAAGATAATTCAGAGAGCATGTAGCTTCCACTTAAGGAGAAAAAAAACCTTTTACACACAGAGAGAATGTATGAATTTGCGACCTTGACCTTTGCCATTTTGACCTCAAAATCAATGTAGAGGTCTCCCATAGGCTATACGAAAGTGTTAAATAATATAGAAATACAGACAGACGGACAGACACTCGGACGGGCAGACAGACAAACCGAAATTAATATTCACCACTTTGTGAAAGCATGTGTGTGATATGTTTGATATTTTGGCTACCACAGCCTGCGACGTTTTTAAACAACATAGTTTATCAATTTCCCTAGAACTATCAAAGTTTGCTTAGAAAGTTTAAGATTGTGAATATAAATTATTAACACAAAATGCTATAATTTTTACGAAATGTTTTCATCTTCTGCAACATTTTTCTACAGATTCAACAATTTGAAAATGACAACTTTGTGTTTCTACTTTTTAAGCTCACCTGAACCAAAGGCCCAGTGAGCTTTTCTCATCAAAATTTGTCTGTACTTGTCTGTCATTATTGTTGACAAACGTTTTGCATTTCCATCTTCTTCCCTAGAACCACTTGCATGGCAGAGAGTATCCTTGAAGAAAGGGGTTCATTTTTTTTCAAATAAAAGTCTTCAACTTCTTCAAAGGGGAGGTAATTAGGAAATAGAAATTACCGGGGTATTAGATGGAATCATTTTAAAAACTTCTCAAGAATAACTGGGCCAGAACAGATGAAACATTACATAGGGAAAACTTTCTGAGGTAATGTACTTGAATTTTGTTCAAATCATGAAATCCCCATCTCACCCCACGCATACCCCTGGGGTATGATGATGCCACTATGGGTGATCAAAAGTTTACATAAAAACGCACAAGAAAAATCTTGAAAATTCTCCATCTCAAGTACAGCAACATAATTATATTCGTATTTATATCGAAACATCCCCAGGCAGTGTAAATTCAAGTTTGTTAAAATCATGATGCCTCTGGGTAGGGTGGAACCAATATATATCATCTTCATTTTACATACGAATGAATATTCGGAAAAAAAATGCTGCTAAAGAACATAGATCAGTTGTAACTCAGGTGAGCATTGTGGCCCATGATTTGCTATTTCTTATGACTATACTAAAGTATACTTACGTATTATCAACAAGACTCTTTTCAGATTTTTATTATGCGCCCGGATCGAAAGATCCGAGGCGTATATTGTTTTTGTCCTGTCTGTCTGTCTGTCTGTCTGTTTATCTGTTTGTCAGTTTGTCTGCAAACTTTAAGCTTCGCCATAACTTTTGAACTATGAATGAAAGAGACTTCATATTTGGTATGCATACTCCACTTATATTTCCATTTCTATTTTTTTTCTCTGTGATAACTGTTTGAAAGTTAGGGGAGTTTATTTCTTGATAATTCTGCCGGAATGTAAATTAGGCAGGTCGATAGGTCAGCAGCTAAGGACGCCTAATACGCATGCGAATCTCGTGCGCATCTGTCTCTGTGTCTGACGCTAAGGAGGCCAAATATGCATGTAAATCTCGTGCGGCTGCCTTTGTGTTTGACGTCAGTGTGCGAGGACTATTGAAAATGGCATGGAAGTCCTCGTGTAATTTAAATCTATTAGTCTTACATTTTTATTTTTTAATGTCTAAGCATACAATTTTATTTCACAATGAAATGGAAATTGAACTAGTTATGAATGAAAGAGACATGAGATAATTTTAGCATATTTGGCCCGTTATGCAAATTATCCCATGTTTCCCACTATTGTTGATGCCCTGGCATACTCTCAAAACTAGACAGTGATTCCTTAAATAAAGCTCTTTCAAATGACACCAAGGTCAATGACCTTGTGACCTTGAATGTGACCTATCTGCTAAAAATAGTTTTTTCTGCAAACTTTAACCTTCGCCGTAACTTTTGAACCATAAAAGATGGAGACTTCTTATTTGGTATGCATACACCACTGATTAAGCTCTTTAAAATAACACCATGGTCAATGACCTTGTGACCTTGACTGTGACCTATACGCTAAATATAGCTTTTTTGTCGGCAAACTTTAACCTTCGCCATAACTTTTGAACGAAGAAAGATAGAGACTAATATTTGGCATGTATACTCCACTAATTAAGCCCTTTCACATGACACCAAGGTCAATGACCTTGTGACCTTGACTGTGTCCTATATGCTGAAGATATCTTTTTTGAATCTTCACCATAACTTTTGAACCATGAGAGATAGAGATATCATATTTGGTATGCATACTTCACTAATAAAGTTCTTTCAAATGACACCAAGATCAATGACCTTCTGACCTTGACTGTGACCTATATGTTAAAAATATGTTTTTTAAACTTTGTTGCCGGCGGGGGCATAGTGTTTCACAAACACATCTTGTTATTTTTGCACATCTCATAAATATAAGAACACAACAATAAGTATCGAAGTCTATCTTTTCTGCCATCAAAGAATACCTTTTAGGAGGTAACGAGGTCTTGTCGCGATTCCAACATTAATAAGGTTGATGCCGTTAGGCTTCCCCTTCCTGTAACACCGAGAATTACTGCAATATTGTGAACTTTATATTCGTCATAACTAGGACACTAATTAGTATTATAACGTTTTTTAAATAATACTTTGCAAGATGCATGTTCTTCTGGGAACACGTGGTCTCGAGCATCTCAGTGCATGAACATGCTCAACTGCACTTTATGCCCAAGTGCACCTAGTTCTTTCAGATTTCTTCAGTGGCAATTATAGTTTTGCACTAAATATTCATTCATAATCCTACTGCAAAAAGTTAATTGTTTACAAATTTGTTTGGAAATGGTTTTTTCAATTTTCCACAGATTTCGTGATTGTTTGTAGTATGCATGATTTTCTAAATTCGATATGTTTGAATTATCAACCTTGGGCAATAGAAGAGCGTGGAGCCATATAGAAATTCAAAGAATTATATACTCTGTTGTTGTTAGCACTTAGATTTTTTTTTTGAATTTTCATCGTTCAAATCATAAAGTCATGACAACCGAATCTATTTCTTCCTCTCTAGAACAGGAAAAAGTATTCTGCAAAATAATCCTTCTATCAAACGGCAATATTTGGACAAGGTTGTACGCAAGAATTCCTACGGGGTGTTGTAAAAAGTGAAGGTATTGAAATAGGAATGAGAGAGGCAGACAGTTTTTACTATAGAGACAAAAATGTATTTTGAAATAAAGTATAATTGTGTACAAAATTGCAATGTGGTTTCAATGCCATTTTTCTCCTCCTATTGAGAAGAGGACTTACTGGAGTCGAGGGCGGGGGGGGGGGGGGGGGTCACGTACCAGTCCGAGATCTGTTGAGCATATATATATATACTTAAATTTAAAAAAAAAAAAATCACTTTCTACAAGAATTCAGCAGATAAATTATTTCTTATTCATTCAAATTGATCTCCGAGCTAAATGCATGGTGTTTACGGAAAATTTAATGATGCAAGTCAATTACATAATGCATATATCATCTACAAGGAGATTCGGAAAGATTTAGATGTTGGAGAAATAAAGTCGTGGTACATTAACAAAAGGCCTCTCATCTCTCATTGAAAGTCACCAAAGCTCAGATCTTACTCCTTCTTCTGTGAAAATAAACGAGTTTTTCTCTAACAACCTTGCAAAGAAATATTCATTGAGCATCCAAATTCGAAAAAAGTTAATTTGGACTTTAAAGATAATTTCTAATTCCTGGAAACTTCATCGACACAGCCTATGTCTCTTTCTGAGATCACATATATATCAATGATAGGCAATATTTCTATTGATAACTCTAGAACTAACCTAACCTTTACATTAACAATAATTCTTATGACCTTTAATTTTCTTTTTTTTCTCGAGTGAAACACGGGTACAAGTGGACATGATTGCCCCTATCCCCTCCTATTCCGTACTTGTACTTAAAAAAAATTGAATACATTGAATATTATAGGTATATAAACTGGAGCTAGAGTTAGGGTTAGAGCAAAAGGGCAAACATTCCAACAAAATCACTGTAAAATCTTTATTGGTAATATTGAAAATATAGATGATTGCACAGAATATATTATAATATAATCTGATTAATAATAATACAGAAGATGCAAGATATATTCATGTATTTCAAACAAAAAAAAAATCCCGTCGGCAAACTACTGCCCCAATCTGTATTCCTCAGCAAGCATTTAAAAATTGAAACATTGCTTTTTTAATCCCCCCCCCCTTTATTAAAAAAAAAAAAAACCTTGTAAAAGGTCAACATTTTTGTAGAAAAATGGAAAGCCTGGCCTACTAGAACTTATTGCGAGATATACCGATTATTTCATTTTTATGACAATTTAATATACACAGTCCTTTTCAAGTCCATATATCACTTAGATGTCATGCATGTGATAGATATATGTGTATAAAATTAGTAAAAAGCATGTGTCATGTAGGGAAAAAAATGTTTTCGTTTTTTTCTTATTTCCAAAATTAAAAATATAATTTTAAGTATTTAAAGTTCCGTTCTGTTATCATTTCCAATTTAAGATTGGAAAGTAACTAGTAAAAGTAAATTTGTTTTTAAGTTCGATTCAACTGAAAAAGGTCCATGCATGTGAAACGGAATTATACAAGACAAATTATCAGAATGTTCACCATATTTGTCCAACCTGAAAAATATATAACCAAATGAGCTAAGTATCCCCCCTCCCTTGTTAATTATAGATATATGACGTTTTGATGATTCATGACATAAAGATAGGAATTGTCAAGGAATGACTTGATTAATAACAGAAAATAATCCTGTGATACGTTAATTATGATATGCATGGTTACAAGTTTACAACAAAAATTTTAACATAAACGTTATTTTATATCATCGGAAATTCAGGATTGCTTTGAATTCTGAAATAAAAGAAAAAGAACATATTTAGTATACAATTAACGCAATTCTTAAAATAATCATATAAAAAATGAATTGTTCAATATCGATAACTCAGGGGTGGACATATAACCTTTATAATCCACCAGGCCGTCTCCGTTGAGATCCGCCTCTCGAATCATTGCCTGTGCTTCTTCCTATACAAAGATAAATAACCAAATAAAAGAGTTCATATGCATGAGAGAGAGAGAGAGAGAGAGAGAGAGAGAGAGAGAGAGAGAGAGAGAGAGATTCCATGTAAGAAAAATCTGAAAGAATTCCGCTACCATCTTAACCCAACCACATCCCCATCCCCTTACCTTTGATGTGGGTTCCCCCAATTTAGAGAGTATACTAAAGAGTTCATCCGGGGAGATAAATCCATCCTTATTCCCATCAAAGACCTGAAACACCTCGTGTAGTTCTTTCTCCGGGTCGATGGAGAGTTTACCAGCAAAAATCTTCAGAAATTCATCGAAGTCAATGGTTCCGCTTCTCAATATAAGGAATAATAAGCGCATGCATTTTCATTTAAAAGAAATACCACTGATGTAATTTCTAAAGAGACATTATAAATAGTCATATAACAATGAATAAGAATTCATATAATTATCGGTCTGAAAGGGTATTTAAGGAGTTCCAAATTCAAGCGATAGACAAAAATAGGTGGCAACTATAAATCACCTATATTAAAGTGATTGATGTAACCTAAAAATCAAGAAAAACATATATTTTTCTGTCGGCATAACAATAAATACATTTTCTTTGTGATAATAAATAATTTTTACTGAAGCTCCCTGTCGCTTAATTTTATTTCAACCACATTAAGAGAAAACACAAAGATTCATCCGCCGTGATAGTTTTGTTCTCCATTCTTATCGAACATCGTGAACGCATCAAACAACTCTGATGTAAATGAAATGAACAACGCAACTTTTTAAAATAACGGAATAAAATTAACGTAGAGATAAGAAAGAAATGTACGTTACCTATATTTTTCCAACTAAGCAACCCCTTTTGATTTAGATCTAAATAAAATTTTCAAAAAGCCGAAAAATCAAACCTTGAACCTTTTCCTTTGTAAGGTCGTGTTTGGACGCTTTTCGTTTAGCAATTTCCCCATACAACATCTAAAATGCACAAATGATCATATTTAACTAAATTGAAACCATTTCCTTAATTTAAAACATATCAAAACTGCAAAATTATTAACGTAACTTTCACAATTTTCAAAGGTGCTTTCAACAGTGAGTGGCACATGCGATTTTAGATGATTGTTGAGAAACCTTTGATTTAAAATTCGTCCGATCTCTCAACGATCTCTTACGACCTTGAACAGTTCATTTGGAAATCATTATGAATTTGCTATGCTTTGAAAGAGATATTGGTGATATTACAGAGAGATCGGCAGTTTCTCTGAAATGTCACAACAGCTCCAAAACATTCCACTGATCTCTCAGTGATGCCTCAAACAGCCGTTGAACTCTCCTGGATCTCTATTGAAGTCTTCAATATACTGTCCTCTACAAAAATTTGAATTTTTCAATTAAAAAATCTCTCGATTTGCGATCTCTTGATGATCTCTATGACTTCTCTCACCTAAAGCTGCTAAACACTGCATTTTCCTCTGAGAGATTAGTGGGAGATCCAAGAGACCAATAAGCAATCTTTTGGAATTCCCTCTGCTTAGCCTTACAATCGTTGAGAAACGGTTTGGATATAGTCAAAACTTGTAGACCTTGAAAACTGGACATCCCTGAGAGATCATGGAATGGATGACTGGACGTCTGTTCAAAAATCGCTGAGAAATATCCTGCAACGCCCAGGAATCTCTCAGCTGTCGTCATTTCTGTAGTGAGACTTACAGATGTACGTTCAGGTTATAACCTGTCCCGGTTTAGGTATTTTTTGGTTTACGCTGCATTTGAGTATTTTACACTTACAGGTGCCCGTTTGGGTCTTATCTCCAACTCTTTTCCATGCGCTCCTCTATCCATCTTTATTCACTTCATGATTTATATGGCCTCTCTCTCGTTACATGCAGAATCCAAGGGAACCTAACATAAAGAATAAAAAAAAAAATTATACAATATACTGACGTAGTATCATGCAGTAAATTTTGAATTTATTTGGGGAAGGTAAATCCAAAATTTACATCATGATAGTAGTTTGTCCACTGTCTGGTAAAATAGTGGTCAACAGTAACTTAACCTATTTGTATTCATCAGTAGCTATGTACTAGTATTGCAATAGAGACATCTGGGATAGAATCTGATGTGGACAAGCCAAAACAGTCAGGAAAATAACTAAATCGAATCGAAAATTTTTCAGATGCCTTTTTCAGCGGTAACACCATTGAGGTTTGGCAGCACATACAATTGACACAAGCTGACTCTGCTCTGCAAATAAGATATAAATCTGGTTCATCGAATAATTCTTGCATGTATTTGCGCACTGTGTCGGACTGCGCTGACATTTCTATCAGCTGTCTATATCATTTAGTTTCAAGGACTTGCGTGTACGCCATAAAAACAGTGGTGGATTCAAATTTTTTTGAAAGGGGGAGGGGAGAATTTTAAGCAATGCACATGGACAAACCACTTTCCTATTATGTAGATTTGACTCTTCATTCTTACGTGGGAATCCTTGTTTCCTATAGGGTAGATTTAAGAAGATGGAGGAACAAAGCGGGCAGAATGTCTATAACGTCCGATATTAAGAAATCATATTCAGTATGTGAATTGAGTATTTCCATTAACTTCTAATTATTGAAATTTTTGAAGTTATGAGGAAAAAAAACTTTTTTGAGAGAACACAATCTCGTACTTTCATAAAATAAATAGATGGTGTTCATGGGATTCGAACCCTAGTAATAAAATTCCGACGTAACAATAACATAATGCTTTGAGACTAATGCGTTAATCACTTTGCTACATCACTCATGACGATTTTGGGCATTTAAATCATGTTTTTGATATGACCCGCGACTTAATGGACTTGAAGTATTTCTCGGAAAGATGCGAATGTTGTGTCATAAAAGTGTACTTTTAAGGTATAGTGGGTCTTCGCTCCATGTTTTTGTAAACCAAAAAATGTGTATTTTATTGCAAACTTTTAGGATCATCTTTCAAAAAAATGGAGCGAAGACCCACTCATATTGAAAAATTTTGTTAAAGTATGAGAATATGATCGTTTTTGTTCTTTTTAGTGTGTGTGAGCATTTTCATGGGCAAATATTTTCTGTTTTCGTGAGATTTTTGTAAATTGTAGAGATTTTACATAAAGAATACTTTAATTTTAGATGAAATATCAAATAAAATTTGGATTTCATTGAGATTAAAATTTTCACTTCTTATCTGTCGCACTATAGGCACTTCACCCGCCTTATCCCCCCAACTTCTTTATTCGGAAATCCCAATAACTCTCATCATTTCGGAGATCCAGACGCCCCTCCTTTACCCCCGGAGACATTTCAGATACATATTTCCTAACTGTGATTTCAATGATCAATGTCATCAAGAGGAATAAAGAGTCACCAGAAATGAAATCATATACGAGAGAGGTCTAACTGAATATTTCTGGTTTTTTTATGTGCTTCAGATAAGTGACGATGCATTTGTTTTATTTACTTTCCGGCAGAAAAATACACGTTTAAGAAGTTTGATATAAATATATTTACTCTATTGTAAATTCTCGTTTCGCATATTGAAGGTAATTTATCAATTTTTTATTTTAGTTTTTATGATCTAAGTAAATTGAAACAGGGAAGATTTGAAGGAAATATTGTGAAGATATATAATATAGACCTTCTGACTCTCAACGCCAAGTGAAACATCGTTATAGTGTGTGTCATGCAGGTTTGCGTAAAAAGATAACCAAGCTTTAACACGTTGCACGTGCAGTTCCTCCTCGCGTCATCATTAATTACAAGTTTTGATTCCTGTCTTGTGAGCATGCCTTTGTAGACTTTGCAGCACCCATAATAAGCTTGCCTATGTAAATCTTTCTAGATCATGTAAATGTTCTCATCAGCATGTTCTGTTCTACCAACCCTGTTTTTATCCATAATGAACATAGACATCAAAGGTAACGTTTAATTTGCTATCATTCTAAAAACAAGGCCCTGTTTATGCTTCGACTCATTCAAATGGCTGAGAGGGTTCTTGAACTTGTAGACAGTAGAGGAGATTGGTCAATTAGAACCTTCAACACATCCAGGTATAGCCCCTCCTTCTAATCTTATCTCAACTTATGAGGGAAATTAGATGTACATATTATTAAAAGCATTTTTGTTTGTTAAAATGCATCTTCCTCTGAAAACAATCTTAGCAAGTAAAGGAGATTAAAAGATTATAGAAGTGATATATGTTTCTATTTATTTTCATAAAAAAAAAACTACAAAAGTACATAATTGTACTCCACGCACATGCAGAGATTGAGAGAGAAAGAGAGAGAGAATGAATTTTACAGAAATTCACGAACAAGGTGCATTGAGTATGAAAATATTTTATTCCAAAATGTGCTTTTGAAAGATACATGTATATCAATTAATTAACTCAATTTATTGATTAAATCAAATTCATATGACAAGAGAAATAGATAAGCATAACACTTTATTTCAGAACCTTTTAAATTCATACATGTATCTCATTTGATAATATAACTTAATCTTCTTTTAATGCATATATAGGGTAACTTTAAATAAAATAAAAATACCCTTAATGTTTTAATATACTAGTAATTAAATAATATTTCCCCTTAATGTTGATCATTTCCATTAAAGAAATCACCATTTTGCATTTTCGCAAGCTGTTACCAAAATTTCCATCACCAATCTTGGATTACTGCTGGTAATCTTCAACGAATAACACTTGACCTAGTTAGTGAACTTCTCAAGTTTTTAAAAAAAATTAAATAGAGTTGCAACTACTCACACAAATACTTACAGTACATGTATCTATTCTTCCTTCAAGCTACATGTAGAATATATCACTTGTGTACAGTAGAACTTAGTACAAATATTAAAGACACGTTAATGTAGGAATAAATTCTTACCGTCACTCCACTCTGAGAGTTTTGTGTTCCAGATTCCGCGATGTCATTATCAGATTCTACGAATGTTTTGTTTACCTAAAGATACAGGGTGAGTCTGTTCAATCCAGTATAGGGTGTTGCAAAATTTAGGGGGGTTGATGTTTCCTTAAATCTTCCAAAACTTTTGAAATTCTCTTGTGTTGAATGTTGAAAAAGTAAATTTCGGAACGGAAACCCCTGGCTTGCGAAGATGTGTATATGGAATTTTATGTTTATAATTCTATAGTTTATTTGACTTATTATGAGATTGCAATGATTTATATATTTCAAATACATATGTAAAATTAAGTTTCTTTTGACTGATCTCTTGGACCTCACCAATTCTGTTTTTCGTGATATTACCCCTTCCCCTCCCTCAGTTGTCCCATCCCGCCTTTCGGCAAAGGAAGAAAATTCGTCTTTTCAAAAACACGAAAATACCTGAAAAAAATTGAATAACTCCATTTTTCTTCGTTAAGAAATACAGATGCATATAGATGAGTAAATCGTTCTCCATATAAAATTTCAATAATTGGCATGAAATTGGAATCTTGATTTTCGTTCCGTCTCAGATTGTTGATTTTATTTTGTTTCATTATTTATTGGGATGTGTATAGGTTTTGTTTTATTTTGATTATTCATTTGGAAAGAAAACGTTAATCTGCTACAGGAGTTTTTAAGATTTCTAATAAGATAATTAGGGGCGTCGCCAGATTTCTAAAAAAAAAAATAAGGGGGGGGGGGGGAGTGGATGGGAGAGGGGCATCCTGACACTCCTTGAAGTCGAAAAAAAAAATTTGAACATGATTTGATTCATTCTTGGAATCAAAATAAAGTAATATTAATTTAAACGGATAAATAATTTAAACAATTCTATTATGTTTCAAACATTTTTTCAGTGGTTTTAGATATAAAGGGGTGTGGAACTTGCACCCAACACATCCCCGTTTGCATGGCTTCAAACAATTCAAAGGGTAGGCATGAAAGGAAGATCCAGTCCTTTGTGCAAATGCAGTACTGTTGAACGTGCAAAATTTTTGATATCCTTGATACTTTTTTGCACGTTAACGTTCATATACATATAGGATAAGTTCTCTACTAATTTTATTAGACCATTTTCTATAAGAAGAAAAAAAGATAGAGATAGTAAAAATTGATGTACATATAAGTACTGATAGGACATTGTACTTTTCCGAACATTGCCTCTACTGGAGATTTTTATGTATGGAGTGTGTCGTGAAATAAAATCATTTTGATAATTCTACATATATCATTCTCTCCCCTAGCTCGGAAAATAAAAGTATTTTGCCACTTTTTTTCATACCCTCCCCCTGCAGTTCACCTCCTCCTCCTCTCCCAAAAGCACTTTTGTTAAATTTCATTTATATTATAATTTATAAGGAAACAAGATGTGTTTGTGAAACACTATGCGCCCGGCGGCAACAAAGTTAAAAAAAAATCTATTTTTAGCATATTGGTCACAGTCAAGGTCATAAGGTCATTGACCATGGTGTCATTTGAAAGCACTTAATCGGTGGAGTATGCATCCTTAATATGAAGTCCCTGTCTCCTATGGTTCAAAAGTTATGGCAAAAAGTGTAAAAACCTATTTTTAGCATATAGGTCACAGTCAAGGTCACAAGATCATTGACCTTAATTAAATTACATTGAAAAGACTTTATTAGTGGATTGCATTTCAAAAATGAAGTCCCTATCTCCTATGGTTAAAAAGTTATGACAGACAGTGGAAAAAGCTATTTTTAGCATATAGGTCACAGACAAGGTCACAAGGTCATTGACCTTGGTGTCATTTGAAAGGACTTTATTAGTGGAGTATGCATACCAAAGAAGTCTCTATCTCTTATTGTTCAAAAGTTATGACAAACAGTGGAAAAAGCTATTTTTAGCATATAGGTCACAGTCAAGGTCACAAGGTCATTGACTTTGGGGTCATTTGAAAGGACTTTATTAGAGGAGTATGCATACCAAATATGAGGTCTCTATCTCTTACGGTTTAAAAGTTTTGGCGAAGGTTAAAGTTGACAACAGACAGACAGACAAACAGACAAACAGATAAACAGACAAATAGACAAATAGACAAACAGACAAACAGACAGGACAAAAACAATATGCGCCCCGAAAAAATTCGGGCGCATAAAAATCATATGTGATGATATTCTTTACGCGCCAGCCCCTGTGAAAAAAAAAAGTTTTATGCATCGGGATCGTTATACAGAAAATTCTTTATTCTCTCCAATGGCAGAAGGTGGGGAAGAAGAAAACAACCCATTTTCTTTCAAAAAGTTTGTAAAATCGAAAGACAAGCATGTTGTACAAAGCAGTGAAGATGAAGCGGAATCCAAGCAAGAAACTTTAACTCAAACAAAAGGTATAGATCATGTGTTTGTTCACCTTTGATCATTGTAAAATTTACGATTTCATCAGGACTCAGGCCATTAATTAAATTACATATAAAAACAGTTATATGATTGATTTCAATAAGCTAGCACTAGATGCACAGTGGTAAAATGATATTCGTAATGATGTTAAGATTGAAAAAGATAATCATTTGTGACAACTTTTATTTCCATTTTTCAGTTTGAAATCCATCAGTGGCATCATAACACTGATAATTAATGTTTGACAGGTCCAGGCCAAAGACTATTTCTACCTACGTAGCTATTAATAGCTACAAAGGTATTTAAACCTACCCAAAGTAGCTATTTTTACCTACTTTCTGCTTTACTTGCATTTTGTGGCCAAACGCAGGAACGGCGCAACATGGTGAACACAAAATTTCTTGAAACTGTCACACTGATGATGGATTATGACAAAAAGAACTATATGCGGTATATTGCATATGTTTGCCCCCACAAAAGTCAAATTTTGAAAACTTCCTGAAATGTGCTGAATTCAATAAATTGTACGAGAAATATAAGTTAACAGAAAATATTATAGTTCCACAGAGCAGTGTATTCACAATTTCTGTTTTTATGACGTCACAAACTAGTCCGATTTTATATCCTTTTTCAGAAAGAGGACAAAATGGACAAAATTTCAACAATTTAAGCTTTAAAATTTATAGAGCGCATGTGTGTTCAGGAACAATATTGACATATTTCATTGATATTATCATTCTACACATTATATCAAAATATTTATCCTGAACACACATGCGCTCGGTACTTTTTTTAAAATATGACGAAATATGTACATTTTTCTGCAAAATTCATAAAAAACTGAAATTTACGTCATATTTGTGACGTCATTACGTACATATGACGTCATTACTTCTGAAATTATTCAGTGCTTTTAAGTCAGCATATACTCCCCTGTTTAAGGACTTAATTAAATATTAATCCATCAAAGTTTGATTTTGGGGGGCAAATGTTGGTTAATACCGCATATAGTTCTTTGACCAAAAAATGATTACTTCGTATATTATCAATTTTGCATAGAAACTAATATAAAATTGCCAATTCAGGAAGTAATCATTTTTTGGCCAAAATTCTGTCGTATTCGTCATTAGTGTGACTGTATAAAATTAATATGGTATTCACCATGTTGCGCCGTTCAGTCTTTTGGCAACAAAATGCAGATAATACAAAAAGTAGGTAAAATTAGCTACTTTGGGTAGGTTTAAATACCTACGTATCTATTAATAGCTACATAGGTAGAAATAGTCTTTGGACTGGACCTGTTGGAAAATGAGGAAAAATCCTTCAGAACTGTTTGTATTAAAAAACATTTGCAAATAAAGGAAGGTTGCAAAACTGACAGATATTTCTTGCATGCTAATTTATTTGAAAAAAATATTCTATTATTGTCAGGTTTCTGGTTGATCAAGAACCAGGTATATCATGGATACTAAATAATTCTACTCGAATTATTTATTCTGTTCAATGTTATTAAATATGAATTTCCTTTCTTTGAAAGAGACTTCAAAAGATTCAAAGAAGAAGAAGAAACAAGATGAAAATCCTTTTTCCTTCAAAAAGTTTTTGGAATCCTCCGGAACAGGAAGCAAACCAAAGGACAGAAATGACCGAGTCTGTCATTCCCAGCGGACCAGTCAAAATACTCCAGACTTTGCCACAGATCTCCCCGATTTTGTCCAGGATCATTTCCAGGACAGTCCCGCAGCAGCCAAGTTTCCTCCTAATTTAGATTTCCCTCTCCCTGATTTAGGATTTCCAAATGAATCAACTCAGAGAGGGCATTCAAATTCATTTAATGAACAATTTGAGGTGAGAAATAGTGACTCCAGAAATTTATCATCAGACAGCTTAAGGGCCAGGGGTGTGTTTACGCCTAACAATAGTGCAAGTGACCTAGTTTCTGGAATTGGTGAAGTGAATCGTGACAATACTGATGAGGAAGATTTTGTGCTTAATCGTCCTCAAGTTCCCACGAGTCTTCCAGACTTTATTACAGATGGCATACTCAAAAATACAGACAATGCCCAAAGTAATGAGATTTCCTTACCTAGGCCTCTCCACTCTCAACTGAATGGCTCACTTAGAGCACCATCAAATGGGGAGGAGGAAAATGAAAGAGTAAGTTATGAAAAAATTGATGACTTTATATATTTTTTCCTAATGTGAAAGATTTTGAAATGTTTTGCATAAATTCATTTTTTATTCACAGTTGAAAGCAGAAAATGAATCATTGCAACGACAATTGGAGGAGGCCAGAAATAGAGCTGTTATGGAAACTAAAAGGTAAAGCACTTCATTTAGGATTGAAATTATGGTTATGATTTACCACAGGCACCAAACTGGCTTGAATTTTTTCCCCTAGTATTTACTAAAGATTGATATTTACTAGGAGGTAAAAAATTCAGGCAAGTTTGGTGCCTGTGATGTAACGGGTTTCTCATAGTAAAACCTGGACACTGCTATTCTTTCTATAACACCGGGGGAACCAATCTCTTATCCAAAACTCCTACTATGCCATTTAATAAAATTTAGCGAGAATTTTTATTACATAGCTTTTCTATTTTTTTTGATGGGATAGATACATGTATTTGGGGTTTCTCATAGCAAATAAAAAGGACTTTGCTTTTATGCACATACGGGAGGAGAAGTATAATTTTGAGAGCTCTGTTGTCACAGTATCTCTAGTTATATTTCAGTTAAAACAGATATGCAATGCAAGTATATATGCACACGTTTTTGCTTTAATCATGTTTTACTTGATCAAAAAATGGTTCTAAAATATGGTAAATTGTAGGTGCAATAAGTTGAAAAAAGAAATGGAAGCAGCTCAAAAGAAGGAGGCAGAAGACACAGCAGCCATGGAGAAGATGCTTGAGGAAGTGGAGGCCAATTTACTCACCTCTACAGTAAGTAGTTCCAATTCACCTCAACAGAAAGTAGTTCTAGGTCCCCTCAACAATAATTCTTACCTCCAGTGAGAAGCTCTTCAGCTATTTCACAAGTCTTTAGATTGCTTTAGTTCAGCTGACTACCGTGAGGTATAAAAAAAGTACCGGTAGATGTGTGGCTCAGATAGGATACCCACTTTCACCATTGAAATACAAAAGCATCAAATAATATAAAACTTTTTTGTTGGGATTTTGAAACTTCAAATTAAAGATTATTTGTGAGCTTAAAGTATAAAATAGCCTTGACTCAAAGTAATTGTGGCAAGTTCAAGGTTACTAGCTTAAAGTGTAAATTTATGTTAGATCAATAATTCACTGGATGTCCATATTTCATGACTTGTAACCAAGGATATATCTTTAACTGAGCCCATTTTGACAAAATTGCAAAAGGAGAGTTTAAAAATAAATAAGAAAGTGGGGTTGTTAATTTGTAAGCTGTAGTGAATTCTTTTTCTTAACAGTTTGTTTAAAAAATATTTAAGATTTGAATTTATGTGTACTTTAATTTCTTTTTTCAGAACAGAGCAGTTGCAGCAGAAAATCAGGTTGCTGTGTTACAGGTATCAGTTTTCATCCTTGTAAAATGCATATGAAGAAAAAATGAAAGAAGTATTGTTAAATGACTTAATTTTGTTGAAGTTAACATGTCATTGTTTCAAGGTATGAAGAATCCCTTGAATTCATTTCCACCACACAATGTATCATTTCATAGATAAAAGTGCTCAAGAATTTTTTGTCCACACAATTAAATCCCCACTATAAACTAGTATTTTCTCCTTCAAAAATTGATCGCAGAAAGAATTGTAATTTTACAAAATCAGAACAAGTCAAGTATTTTATTCCAGCATTCAGTAAATTTTCAGACTTAAATTGATTGCACAGAACCTGCTTTTCATACTTGTGGACGTAGTTATTATACATGTAAGTTTGTTTATTGCAGAAACGTGTGACATTCCTGGAGAATGAGAATGAGTTACTTAAGTCCGGAGACAAAGGATTGGCGGATCTAAGGGAACGGACAACTTATGTTTCTCAGCAGTTAGTTTCTGTTGTATCAACTGCAGAACAAAATCTTAAGTGAGTTTGATATAAATTTTTAGCTCACATGAGCTGAAAGTAGGGGTGAAATGATACACCTCCTCCACGGTTCAATACGTACCGTAAAATTTGGTCTCAGTTTGGTTATTTTCGATACGATACATTTTGATGAAAGGTAAAAAGTTCAACTGTTGTTTTAAGCTTCCTTTTAATTAATCTAGTCAAATAATTTATGGCCAATGGAAAGAAGAAATCAATTTAATTGATTTGACTCTTGAAAATTATTTTACAAACTGTAAGTCCACAAAAATTTACAATTTTGAACTAGTCATATGGAGGAGCATGTTTATACCTTATGCCAAACCCAACTGAATAACGATCCCGACTGAAAAACGAACTGAATTGAAAATAGAGATTTTGTACCGTGTATCGAAACGAGAAAAATTACTGCGTTGAATAGATACCGTGGTGAACCATTTCACTCCTAGCTGAAAGCTCCAGTAGATCTTTCTGATTGCATTTTATCAGAGTTCCATTTGTTTGTTTTTTAGTCTGTCTGTCAACTTTTCATGTTTTAGACTTCTTGTCAAGAACCTTTAGAACAGTTTCAATCAAATGCTGCAAAGCATCCTTGTGTGGACAAAGTTCATCTCTGTTCAAATGAAAAGCTATTTCCTCTATCAAGGGAAGATAATTAATAGTTAGTCAAGATTTGTTAATGATATTCCAAACATTTTTATAAAGAGTTAATTCAAAAGTTTTCTTTTAAAAGTAGTATACTGTGTTCTAATAAAAACATCTATCTGCTAGCATATATAAAAAGGGACATAACTCAATTTTCACTGTTAATTTGGAAAATAAGAAAATGGTTTATAACAAATTGTTCAGTGCATTGTTGTTTGAAATCAGTTACCAGTAAAATACAAATGTCATTGAGTTTTCAACATTGAAATTTCCAGGAATCATATTAGGCAATAGAATTATAATGATCAGCCCTGAAAATTACAGATTTCTTTCCCCTTTTAATCTCTCAAACTCCTTGGAACATGAGAATATTCTAGTTCACGCATCATTAGACCAAGATGATAGATAAATTTAATTCAACTCTCAGAGTCTGAAAAGTGAAAAAAGAGCATGAAAACTAAGTTCCGCAGTAATTTTCTTACAGTTTGACTTATTTTAATTCACATATTTTTATTTTTACAGGCAGATGTTGTCAGGAGTGGAGAATTTACGAATCATGTCTCAAGTGTTAAAATCTATTGACAAAGTCACAGAGGCAGAGGGAGCGTCAGGTGAAAGTTCACAACCAAAGAAGAGCAGCTGACACACTGAGTGGGTCAGAGGTCATGTGTCAGAAGTCATATGTTAGAGGTCTTAGTTCATCAGAAGAGAGTTTTTCCTTGTAATTGGATAAAGAATCCATGATATAAATGAATGAGTTTTCTATTCATGCATCCTCACAATGCTAGGAGTCCTGAGTTAACACTTTGCCTTGGAACCCCTGGCGAATTTCATTAGATAAATTAGGGCTTGCTTCTCCCATTGAGAAGCACCAATCAAATTAAAGCTTTCATAATTAGTTAGATAATGTAACAGAAAAGATTCAGTTGACACCTCAAATGCATGTGTTACAAGTTGTTTATCGTAGAATGGCTTAATGTCCTTAGCTGAGAGATAAGAAAAGCAATCAAGATTTGTAATTTTTCTGAAAGCTGTGGCTACAGCCAGTTCCTGAATTATTTATTGATGTTGTCCAGGGTTCCACGGCAACATGTTGAGTCAGGACCCCTGCCATTACGAGGATGGTATTTATCAAAAGTGATATCTTTGTAAAATTATTGATCATAAATGTGTTCTGCAAAAAAATAGTATTTTGTAGATTGCCCTTAAATTTATGCTAAATTTTGCTACAAATTAAAATTTTTGTAATTAGAAATAGAAGTGTTGCTCTCAATAAGTGATGAATTTATAAGATGAGGCAGACTTTGCAACTTACATACTTGTGACTGGAACAGCATAGGCCAATATTGATCAATGTTCAATGTTTTATCATATTTGTAATACAGTTTTTATTTTATATTGTGACAACTGTATTTTATAAGAATTGTATACTTTAAGTAAAATATGTTTTGTTATTTTTCACTTTACACTATATGAGAGTACAAGTCTTTTCAGTTTATGAATACCTGATACATCTTATTATTCATATATGACCATTTATTCAAAAGGGATGAAGGATGCAGTAAAAACATACCACATATTTCCACGGAGAAGAATTATGGCTTTAACATAGAAAAAAAAACATTCCTAGGTGAAATACCTTATACTGTGAAATCTTTAATTTTCGTGGGGGTTTAATTTTGGTTGTTTTCAAGGTTTGATTTGGCCCACAAATTTATGTCCACCACGAAATGCAATTTTTCACATATATTACTACTGAACAATTCTTCAACCACGAAATCAAATCCCCATGAACCAATATATTTTCCTCAAACCACGAAAATTTTACCCCTTGAAAATATGTGATTTTACAGTATATAACAAGGTGTGATTTTGGTTCCAGGGTGTGACTATGTTTATCAGTGAGAAAAGAGAGGTCTTTTCTACATTTTCTTGTTGATAAGCTATGCAGTTTTATCTAAGTTAATTTTCATTACTAGTTCATACATTATTTGTTTCTCAGTGTCCAAAAAGTATTTTTCATTGCCATATAGAGGGTTCTTAATGCCTGTTTAATTGAGGAAGGACATATTATATATGTTTGTAAGTGGGTAAGAAAGTGTATTCAATGTCAAGTATCAAAAGGAAATATATCTTAACAGTGATACATGTATTATTGTCACTGTAAATCTAAACTGTTTACATACAGTTGTGTAAAGGGTCTACATGCATGTTTTGTCAAGTGTCATTTACGTTCATACATTTCTTTGAAAAGTTCCTTTAAATTGCTCTATTTTACAATATAAAATCATAGTGACTAAATTTAGTTATTTTATGGACCGACGTGTATAATTTACTAACATTTACTTACTATTAAAGTAACATGATATAAAAGTTAAATGATCTTTTTAAAAAGAAGGGGGAGGGGTCTGGATTTTTTTCCCATCATGAATAAAGGAAAGTCATCATTTATTTGTAAGTAGTTAAAAATACATGGGTCCACAAGACAGAACAGTTTGAAAAAGACACCCCTTTTCCAAACATAACCTTTTAGTATTAAAATTTTTTATGGAAAGGCTCCTCACCTCTTTTTTGCTGAAACAGTTACTTGGTGAAAATCAGGGTAATCAGTTGTTAGGAATGAACAAAACTGTGGTCATGAAAGACGTTGGAACCTTTTCTTTTTAATCAAGACTAGGTAATAGTCGTATAGTCTAAATATAGGTATTGACATGCTTATCAGGCGCGGATCCAGGAATTTTTTCCGGGGGGGGGGGGGGTTCCACCCCAGTCAAAAATAAAATCCAACTCAGAAATTTGTTGACAAACATAAAAAAATTACACCTGCGCCCAAACGTGACATTTGACTTCTAATGCTTTATAGCTATTACTTTTCATACCAACTTTACAAAGGTCTGCGTTTTCAAGGGGGGGGGCTCCTATTTCTAGGAGGGGTCCAAGGTCACTTTTAACTTGGTTTAGTGTATCAATTTAATATCTCTGCAAATTCCAGGGGGGGGGGGTGTCCAGACCCTCCACCCCCTCTAGATCCGCGCATACTTATTAAAATCATTCGTTTTCTAATGCACACTCGAATGTATATCCATACTGTAATTACTAATCTTACGTTTGTGATAGGCTCACATGAATCCACGCACCAAATGGTAAAAAGCTGTTTGAATAAAATCAGTTTGTCCAAAAAATATCAAGATTAATGACCTTCAATATTCCCAGTGAATATGTAACATTTTTTCTTTAAGGTTCATTGATACTGTGGTAAGAGAGATAACTCCTAATGACGTCAACTCATGATGTCAACTGTGTAAAACTTGGCTCTTTCTAGAAAGTTTTAGTACTAGCTACTAGTAGTAGTATGTCGAAAAGGAAAAATAAATTCAGATTCCGTTTTCTTGTTTGTCATTATATAAGAAAGTTTTAAGAAAGGGCACAGCAAAACATATCTTTTAAAAGTACGTGTGTATTTATAAATGGAATTGGAGAGATGTCTTGATGTTTTATTTTTTGTGCAACATTTCATGCGTTTTTGACAAAAAAAAAATAAATTCTTTTAATTTTCTTAACATTTTTATAGAAAATCATGCCCTAGATACCAACATCCTTTGCATGAAATAAAATTAACAGTGATCTATGATACCTTGCAATGATATCACATGATTTTACACTATGATGTTTTATATACGCATTCAAGTACCGGTATATAATGAATTTTGAAGAAACAACATGGGTATACATGTATTCACATTTTGTAGAGTAATATGTTTTTTCTATGCAGCATAAAGAAACAATAACACGTTATGGTAATAAGTATGCATATGGAGTGGGGGAAACATTGATTATCTATTGCGACATCCACAACAAGCAATACAACATTTTTTGAAAATGGTTTTGATGTCCTTTCGGAAGTTGATGTTAAGAAAACTATAAATCACAGGATTAATAGCATTGTTAATGAAGTAGGATTTGGTGCTGAATTTGTAGGCAACCTCTGCCTCAGGACTTAGATTTTCCTCAAAGTTCTTTGCCACACTTCTGACAACCATGACTATGAGGAACGGCAGAAAGCTAATGACGTAAGCGACAGTCACAGCAAACAGTACCACCGTAGTCCGAGTAACGCGCACATTGTTCCGAGAATTTCTTTTACCAAAGGCGTGTTTAGAACCACTTGATGCACGTTTGTCGTGGTAACCCTCATGATCAGAAGACATCTCTGTGCTGATTGGATCAGTGGAAATTTGATCTGAAGGAGTGTTCGAATCGTTCAAAGCGCGACCATTTGGCGTTGCTGAAATAGGCTCACCTATCCTGGCTTTCTTGCGCTTCCAGATCACTGCACCAATTTTTGCGTATATAACAGTAAAAAATACCAAACAAAGAATAAACAAAAGAAAGAGAAATCCATAATAAAGAGTGGGATAAATCGTGTGTCTAACTGAATCATCAGTGGAGCAGTCGACACCTTTGATCCCAGGTATCCCGAGCTCGATAGTCTTCTCACCAAACAAAATACAGGCTGGCCAAGATGAAAGTAGTCCGATAATGACAGATATGACACAAATTATTTTTGACTTTTTCACCGATATTTGTCTTCCAAGTTTACAAATTCTGTAATATCGATCGAACGCCACAGCGATGAGTGTAATTGATGAACCGATTATCGATACTGATTCCACAAATCGTAGCAACTTGCATGCTGCGGGAGCATAAAACATATAGGGATATCGGAGGTCCGTTACTTCAGTGGGCATGCCAATGATACAGGTCAAAAGGTCAAGGACGGCGAGGTTTAAAATAAAGTAGTGAGAGGAAGTTTTTGTGGGTTTACTGCAATACACACAGCACACCAAAATGTTTCCGAAAATCCCCATCAACATAAGAATTAACATGTACATAATAACTGGCAAGTAACGCATCGCTAGCTCGTCATTCATCTTGTGTAGCAACATCCGGGCCTCTATCTCCTCCATCCCCATTGTTGTTGTATTCATGGTGACCGTAGTTTGATTTGAAAACCCCTCCGTGATATTTGCCATGTTTTTCTTTTTAGCCTTGAAAAAAATGCAATTGGTTAAGTTAGAATAAATAAATCTTTATCGAGTATTGAAATTGTAACACGCATTTTAACAAAAACTCGCTGTGAAATTTACTTGAAATACTATATGGTATGTTCCTCTCTGTATTGTATAATGTGTATCAAGGAAATATATAATATAATAGCAGTAAAATCCGTCCATATACTAGTAATTATATAATAAAAAACTTCAGAAAGACAATTCTTGCACATGGGTACTGGTCCGTCCATTTGTCTATCACAAAAATAAAGTTATATTGATATTTTTGAAAAGTAGGTTAAACTCCAATGTCAAGATCATGAGGTCAAAAATCATTTGGAAACAGGTAATGTATTTTTAGAAACTTGGAACTACTTATCAAAAATCTTAACTTTATCGATATATTTTTCCCAAGAAGAGACCAGGCTTTCTTACTCACATATGCATTACTTTTGACAAAGTCTTTAAAATTGTATTATGATATTTGACCTCGTGACGTTTTGAGAATTGATTAGCTTTATAATTATTTCGATTTGCCGTAATTTTTGTTACTTGTTTGTCTCTTTAGGAGTAAATGGGTGACATTGAAAAAAATGTACACGACATTTTATTAATCCGTGGAGCCTAAGTACTTTATGAACAAAACGCATGTCAAAAGTCATGGTTAAAGAAAAATCTTTTGAAAGATCGTGTTTGCACTCAAGTGCAAAAAGCAAACGTGTCTTACCATAAGTCTACCCGATAAAAACATGGGCTTAGTGCGGGAGTGACCGGTCAATGGGGGATGCTAACGCCTCCCAGACCTGACCCCACCTCTGGAATTCCAAGGGGCCCGTGCTTTATTCCCACTTTACAGAATTGTATTGTTTACAGATATTTTGAAATCGATCAGTGTTCGGTATCTTCACCTCTTTCTTTCACTCTAACACCTGGAGAGTGTTCGAGTCTGACGTAACATGTACAACCAAATTCGAACACGTTTCAATAAAAGAAACCACAATACAGTAGAAGCTAAGTAATTAAATTAGCTATATCAGATCATCTCGTATACGATGTAACTGAATAGTGTTAAGTTACTATACAAATGAGAAGAGAGAATTTCTCTAATCATTTTTATCGCGTATTTCGCTGTCCTTGGGAAATCAAGACACGATTTTCAATTTAACACAAAAACTATCTTAGAGATTTAATTTTTGTCTGGTGCCTACGGCATTGAAACCATTGAAACATTTTAATTCCTTAAATTATCAATTCAATATATGCTTGGCTGTTTTTGCCGACTTTAAACATTAAATGTTTTCGATTATGAATGGTCGCGCTTTAACGCTGACTTTTTACTACTAAAAATGGATGTTTTTAAATATTCCTAAAAGTGATGTTTGTCCTATTTAAATACTTATCACAAAATCGCACCATTCATTGTAATTTTATTATGAAATAATACCTTTTTTCTTCATCAGATCTGTATACATGTACATAAAAAGGCAATAAAATGGAAATCTTTTTTTTTCAATAGTTAATGGACTCTGCACCGACATATGAATTGATAGAAAGCAAAATGTGATTTTTCTTAAAAGAATAAAAAGAAATCGTATGCATAGTGATAGAGCCTATATAGATATGCCAGTTTTTTTTCAGAGTTCTTAGTATTTCAATTCAATCAAAATGGAGAATTACTTGTATATTATGTAAATTGTAAAGTTTGAACATATACTTTTACCGGTATATAGAAATTTAAAATTCGATAAATTATAGATTTTACATACTTTCAATGTATTTATTTTTAATTTTTTTTTATTAGAAACATAACAACAAAAAAATAAATAAATAAAATTGTACATTTATTACATTATTTCTGAGACCGAAGTAAGTAAAAAGTAAAAATTACCTCAAAATGAAAATACACGACGGATCAATTCACCCTGCCATCCATTTTCACGTCCTTCTCTTCAGATTTCGAAGCGAAAATCTGTACAAATATAGAAGTTTTTAACTCTTAAAAAAATTGAACAATTTCCTGTATATTTGACTTTAAGAGCACAGTCGATGAATTCAAGTGTGAAACCGGATCAAACACAGAAACTTATGATGGTTCTTAAAATATTTTGGCCTTTTCAAGTGGCTTTATACCTATTCCAATCTTGGTTTCCGTTAATTACGCTTATGATTTATTGCCTCCTTATATATAAGGTAAATATTCTCAAACAGTTTAGAAATAGAGAGATGGGGGTCAACGAGTTACAGGGACGAGAGCTCCTTGTAAATTCACTCCTGACCCTCGGGGGTTGTGGTTGGTTCCCTGAGAAAGCAGGTACTCCCAAACTTGTGTACCGGTGTACTGTTATGAGAGTTAGAACGTTTAATTGGGAGCCTAAGTACATTATGAACGAAACGGTTTACTGATTTAGCGACAACAAAGAATCATCAAAAACTAAAAGTTCCCAAGATATATAATTATACCTTAGTTGATAATGAAAAACTGTATTCCAATCACCTATCCTTACAACATTTGAATACTCGTGAATGGTTAAAACTGAAAATAATTATTTAAGAAGGATTTAGTTACATAAAATTTAGAAAACGTACCTACATACCAAATCCGAACACTTGGCTTTTCATCCAAAATGTATTTATTTCCATCAATTCAAATACAATTTCTTTATACGCAATCCCTAGAAAAACTTTTATACTGCCTATCCATCGAACTAAATTTTCCTTGTAATTTTACACTTTTGTTCAGCTAGAAAAAAACCCAGATTTCCTTACAATGTCAGTAATCGGGTCCAGCTTTGGCGTTTTCTAGATTTATTCCTTTTACAAACATTGTACTTCTTTATAACATTAAGTGTGCAGAAAAGAACTTCACACCTCAGATTCCGTGAAAAGCATACAACAACCCTTTTGAAATAAATAATTATCGTATATACTTGGGAAAGGTTGATGTTTAAATATCAATTCCGTGGAGGAGAGACTTTAGGGCCTTGCTTATTTGTATACATATACAAGTGAACTTAGTTGCTACCGCGTCTCGAATTAAAATGTTGATTTTAAAGATAAAATCTCAGAAGACGAGTTTGTTCATGCAAGGCAGTCAATTTTTTAATTCCCTTTTAGTTGAAAGTGAATACCTGTAGAGCATGAATTTTAAGGTGCGTTAAGTAAATAAAATAAATTACAAATTAATCATTAAAGTGCGCTTTTGATGTTTATAACTGAATATAAACTGACTGTGATAAATTGACACATTCCCATTAAAAATAATTGAAAACACACACAGTTAATCTGTACCCCCCCCCCCCCCCCACACACACACACACACAATTTCTGTCACCACATTTGGTGTATGCCCACCAATGTACTCTGTTGAAGGCACAGTGTCCTCTATACTTGATTATAAGGTGTGTCACTGACAAGTCATTTGGCAGATTCTGAATATTTTAATTTCTTATGATAATTATTCATTTTTGAACAACGCTACAAAGATAAGATGAATGTTTTTGATTTTTATTAAACAAAAACTATAAATAATACTTACATAATTGATTAAAAATTACTCCTTTTTGACACACAACCATGGTATAAATCCCTCACATTAATTTTATTTTTTACACCTAACTTCCTCTCACTAAGGTATCATGTCGATTTAATGACAGATCTATGTGCTAATGTTAACGGAGAACTTTTACCCGTGAGTCAGTCGACAGGTGCCCGTGGGGGACGGTCACAGCGTAATATGACGTATGTCTGCATACCCACAAACTAAAACCTAGGATTAACTTATTATTCGCGGTTATCGCAATATTTCATCTCCTTCATTCAATACACATAACACGGCATGTTTTAATAACTGACATCGGATAGCCTTGATTAAACATGCAATGTTGGTGGTAGCTGTGACGCTAATACACGTGCAAATGTCAACACTGATCAATCGTGCCATATAAAACGTGGGCATTACTCTGTGGTTTTAATTTTACAAAAAATGTCGTTCACATTTTGTTTTCAGATGAATTAATTTCCTTTGCAGTTAGACTAAGTGGAAAAATTGTCTCACTATCTAAATTGAATAACCGTTCTGCAACTTACATGTAGTATCGGGGACTATTCTTTTTCCTTACATAAGGTCTCTTTGAGTAATGTACATCTACTTTTAATCATAAAAAAAACTTTTAAAATACAACCAGAATGAAATCAACGTAAATGATTTATTTTAATGACAAATGCATTTAATTTGGAATGATGCAAAATTTGTACATAAATTCAGAAACACAAAGAAAAAACAAATACAATGTAACAAAATGAAATACTGAAGACACAGCTATTGGTTATTCAATAAAGCCCCCCTTCCTTTTTTTAACATTAACAGTCCCTCTAGTTATGTAGCGAACATATATTAATATTACTATATGTACGTGGTGGGATATATTCAGAGGTTAAAGCTGTAATTATACAAAGGTAAAGAGAAAGCTGATAACTGGTTAATACATAATGTAAACATGCCTTCAGATAGACATGTGCTTAAAAATATATGAAGTTTTATATACATGCATAAAGAACCTCTTATTTACAAAGATTTACTGTCAAAACTACTTTCAGAACTTCATATCCTAGTTTATTCCTCTATCATATCATCCTCTGTTATAACAAACTTTTGTGTTAAAATAAGCTATAGACAATTTCCTGTTCATATAAAATCTTTATACTCACTGGGAGTGAATACTTATCGATACAGTACTCTTTTGTGTCCCCACCCATATACAGACATGACAATATAAATTCAACACACTGTTACACACACTGTTAAATAACATACAACAATAACACAGGTAGTCCATATCTAGCACACAAATAATAAAGTCTCCTAGCTGCAATTATTGAATCTTTTTTTTACACATCTGCATGTTTGTAACATATCTCATTAGCCTACAAGTAGAATCATTTAAAAGCAATTTATTACTGCATCTATAAGGCATTATGCTGTAAAATAGGAACATGCTCTTATACTGGGTATTAACAATGCATGTAAAATGTAAATGTTCAGTAAACAAAAAAATGGATAGAGATTTACAGACTGCAATAATTTTTACCGGTGTATGAATTCCCTTCAGCAGAAGTATTAAAATACGGGACAACATTTTAAATGAGATTTATGAATTTCAGGAAGATGTGAAGATCAAGTTTAACAGACGAAAAGGAGTTCAGTCCAGTTGAATTTTGTAAAAATAAACATGTATTTTCAATGCTAATGAATAAAAGCTCAAATCGGTTACAGTAAAATGGATATTTCATTGCACTTTTTTGTTCCTTATAAAATACAAGATATAAATTGGCACAGAATTTACTGGTTGTGTTTGACAAGTATCCAATATTCTGATCAACAGAGGTCAAAGGTCACTTCCTGAGAATGTTCCTCATTTGTTTATTCTGGCCCTCCAGAAGGGTGTTGGCTTTGTCCACTTTAGGCCCCATACGATCCAGCTGGGAGTTCTGACGCTCTATTTCATCACCGAGTCCCAGTGCTAGACCTTTTAATGCTGTCAAACCATCGGAGATCTGACCTGAAATCAAGGACAAAATTATAGTATCTACAATTTATTATTATATTTTATTATGCAAAACTAAATATTGTTATACAGTAACAGACTTCAATATAAAGAATTTTTAATAATTTCTTTGTAGTATTATATGGCCAAATAAAAGTTTTAACGAGGTATAATCATCATTGTCACTGTTTACTTAGTACATGTTAGATGATGAATTATCAAAAAAAAAAAAATTTTCTTTTACAATTTATAAAGAATTTAAAAAAATCATAATCCTGTACCCAAGTTTTCATTAACTTGTTCCTCCCTTGCACTGTGAGTAACAGGTTTGATGTACTGTGTCCTTGCCCCTTTCATAAAATCCTCATCCAAATCATTATCCTCCTCATAAAACCCCCGACAGTCCTGGGCCTTGTGCTTTTCTACAGTTTCCTGTAAACGACTTGGCTTTGCCTCTGGAACACTGGATTCAGCTGGTTTCTTTTTGGAAGTCCACCAGTTTTTCACCCCACCAAACACACTTTTTATGGAATTTAAATGTTTCTGTGTGACAGTCATTGTTTCATTTATTTCATCTGTTTTTCTTTCAATGTTGTCTAATTGCTCTCCCTGTCTTAGAAGTTCCTAAAAATATCAATAAAGCTATATAAACATAATATATGTACCGTAGTCAGTCAGTGTTTGAAACTCACAATGAAACCAGCTACAAAATAGAGACATAAAGGGATGACTGCAACTGTGTGCTACTGTAAGATGTCATCCTGCCAAAAATCTTTCTAGTCAGTAAAAATAATTGTGTTTTCTATAGAATAGAACAGAATAGAGTTTATTTTCCAATCATGGTCCCACTGGGGGCATAACACAGATACATGTATAAGCATAATTTGTAACATTCAACTAGGAGAAGAAATTTGTCAATTTGATTTTAGTAATATAAATATGAATGGGACCAGTCACAATGATAACTTTGATACTGAATCTAAAGGCTGACAAATTCTACCCCTTAAAATTTGCTCATTAAACTTTGCAGCTGTGAACACTTATTCTAGTAACAGCCAATTTGAGAGAGAATATCAAAATGCAATATGAATTTTAATTTCTGGAAAATTTTAAAGTCAAACCAAGTGTCAATATATGCAGAATCTGTTCAACAGTGACAAACTTAATGCATCTTTGGTGTCAGTTGCATTAAAAAAAACCACCACATCTAATGCTTTCATCATTCAGATTAAATATCTGTTCTCATTTTTAAACAAGAGGCCCATGGGCCACATCGCTCACCTGAGAAGCTTTGACCATTCTGTTCTTTACCAGATTTCCTCCTTGTAATACATAATGCATCCCCACCCTACCCCACTGATCATAATTTAGACATTTTGAAATCTACACTACCCCAGGATCCTTCCATGTGCACATAAGTTTCAACTTTTCTGGCACAGTGGTTCTTAAGAAGATTTTCAAAGATTTTTTCTATATATTTCTATGTAAAACTTTGATTCCCCATTGTGGCCCCTCCCTTCCCCCAGAGGTCATGATTTGAACAATTTAAAATCTACACTACCCCAGGATGCTTCCACATAAGTTTCAGCTTTTCTGGCCCAGTGGTTCTTGAGAAGATTTTCAAAGATTTTTCCTATATATTCCTATGTAAGACTGATTCCCCATTGTGGCCCTGCCCTTCCCCCGGGGGTCATGATTTGAACAATTTAGAATCTACACTACCCCAGGATGCTTCCACATAAGTTTTAGCATTTCTGGCCCAGTGGTTCTTGAGAAGAAGATTTTCAAAGATTTTTCCTATATATTTCTATGTAAAACTTTCCCCTTGTGGCCCCGAAATCCCCTGGGGGTTTGATTTGAACAATATAGAATATACATACCCCAGGATGCTTCCACATAAGTTTCAGCTTTATCTGGCCCAGTATCTTGAGAAGAAGATTTTCAAAGATTTTTCCTATATATTCCTATGTAAAACTTTGATTCCCCAAATAGGGGTCATGATTTGAACAAAAATCTACACTAACCCAGGATGCTTTATAATTTCAGCTTTTCTGGCCCAGTGGTTCTTGAGGAGAAGATTTTTAAAGATTTGTTCTATATATTCCTATGTAAAACTTTGATTCCCCATTGTGGCCCTGCCCTTCCCCCCGGGGTCATGATTTGAACAATTAAGAATCCACACTATACCAGGATGCTTCCATATAAGTTTTAGATTTTCTGGCCCAGTGGTTCTTGAGAAGAAGATTTTTTTAAAGATTTTTCCTACCCCGGTATATATTTCTATGTAAAACTTTGATTCCCCATTGTGGCCCCGCCCTTCCCCCGGGGTCATGATTTGAACAATTTAGATTCTACACTATACCAGGATGCTTCCATATAAGTTTGTTCTGGCCCAGTGGTTCTTGAGAAGAAGATTTTTTAATGACCCCACCCTATTTTTGTATTATATATATATCTCCCCTTGTGAGGGGACTTGGCCCTTTATTTTAAGAATTTAAATTCCCCTTCACCCAAGGATGCTTTGTACCAAGTTTGGTCAAAACTGGCCCAGTGGTTCTTGAGAAGAAGTCGAAAATGTGAAAAGTTTAAGAACAGACCGACGGACGACGGACAAAATGTGATCAGAAAAGCTCACTTGAGCCTTCAGCTCAGGTGAGCTAAAAAGGAATTTGTTGTGTGTTTGCAATGTAGTAAGATAAAAAGGATCACTAGAAGTATCTTCAACAAGAGTCGCCTGATCTACCTGTTCGCAGGAGTCCGTTCGAGCAGATTCTGTTCGCCCGAAAATATTGTTCGCCCAATATCTTGTTTGCCCTATATCTGGTTTGCCTAATACTTATATACACTTGTATATATATATTATATGAGTAAAATATTTTTAAAAACAGACCCTGTGCAAACAAGTTTTAGGGCAAGCGTACTCTGGATGAACAGGAACTAGGGCGAACAGGGTCATTGGCGAACAAATTTGAGGGCGAACGAACATACAACCAATCAGGAGAAGGAGCCTTTTTTACTTTACTGACAAAAAACGGAAGAATGAGCCTTTATTGAGTATGGATCAGTATATTAATACAAATTTTGGCATTAAACAAGAAGATCTTTTGATCCTTTGATGCCACTTTTTTGTTTTTTTGTTTTTTTTCTTACTTTTTGACAACTCCATCCCCACCAAATCAAAATACAATGACTCTTCTTGTTCAATTTTTACTTACTTCTGCTGTAGCCACCCCCATTCGTTCGGAATCTTGAATACTTTGCATTATTCTCCTGGTAGAATCGATCTGTCTATCCTCAGAAGCAGATATCTGTTCCTGAATCTTTCCTCCTCTGTTGGATCTCCAATCATCCTCATCATCTTCTTCCGTTAAAAATGGGTTCGAATTTTTGGGATAACCTGCCATAACTGGGCTGCAGAAAACACTGCCTTCAAAGCTTTCAAATCAAACAAATATACAAGCGTCTGATGATAAAAATGAGTCACTGTCAAGTGGAAATATCGAAAAATGGAAATTGTCAAAGATAATAATAAGTTTGATCTAAGTATAGTCGAAACTTCATGATCTGTAGCAAGGAATACGTTTGATCAAACAGTCAAGTGACTTTACAATAGTTAGTTTGTACGTAGATTTCGTGAAGTAATTTATACACTTCTGATTTAAAAAACGATCAAATAATCCCTCTGATTAACATAATATGAAATGCATCTTTTGAAAATCTTTTTCCTGGCTACAAAAACACACGTAATATAGGTGAACAGATTTATAAAACAGAATATAAAGAACGACTTAGCAAGTGTCTGACATTGAACGAAAAAATGGCTCTGCGATTGAGCCGATTTATTCGTCCAATTTCGCAGATTGCAAAGGGCGCAGGCAAGTAAATTCTGTGAATCATACTAAAATATTGCATTTCCCCTTTTGCAAGTAATTATTGTCATTTAATGATAAAGTTTCGACCATTATATAATAGAGAAAATTCGGTCGTGAAAGATTGATCAACAAATCAATTAATAATATTGAATTTATTCTATAATTTTCAGCTCACTTTAGCCCAAGCTGATCAACATCTGTCTGTTGTCTGTCTTTGTTATTGTCGCCGTCATTAGCTTTTGTAATGAAATCAATTTCATTTTTTTTCTCCAAAAGCACTGGGCCCAATTTCACCCAAGCTTTTGAAACTTTGAGTGAAAGGGATATAATTTAATAAAATTAAAAAGAAGGATCATGCCCTCTTCCAAGGGGAGATAATAAAGGTCATTACCTTCAATTAAAAATCTTTCAAAAAACCATTTTGTGTCTATGAAAGCTTTCTGTCATTGTTGAGTTGTTTCAAGTCTGTTCAAACTAATACTTCAAATCATGATCCCTGTTGGTAGGGACAGACCACTATGGTAATGTTACAGAGACATTTTATTGTCTCTGCTGGGTGTTGATTCCGGGGCTCTGGCTTGACAGTCCAGTGCTCTACCAATTGAGCTAAAGGGTTAACCCACTAGCCCAAGCTAGTAGAATGCCGTTTATCTAACACAACCACAGTAATAGTGAAATATATAGAAAAAAGTATTTTTAAACATTTTCAACATCATACCATATTCATGATTATTTATATGGAAGCATTCTTTGTTCAAATTGTGATCATGAGGGGTATGATACGAGTACTATGATCAAGTTTCAAATGGTATGAGAAAAATAATCTGCTGATGAAGTACAAGAAAAGTCATAGTTCAGGTGTGCATTGTGGCTCATGGGCCTCTTGTTTTCTCAAAATGTTTCCGAAGCCTATGGTAATGAGTCATACTTTCTATAGTAATGATATACATATTTGAATGTTGCATAACCATGATAATTTCATTATCAGTACTAAACCAAGCAAAGCCAGTACCTGCTATAGCCACACAGTGCTGGAGATTTGAATCAACAAGCACAGAGAAAAAACGTAAGATTTTAACATTTTCCTGGAGCACCAGACATGAAAAAATTATTTAATTTTTTCAGTTGTGATTTTGATTGTTTATTAACATTTTTTTTCAAGGAGAGAACAGATTATTTCCAATTTATGCCAGTACCCCCTTTCTGAATCAAATACAATGTAGTTGTCCCCTGAAATCAGGTGTTCTGATATGTTGTCAATAAGATACTAAGATTCCTCTCGAGTACTTTAGCCTTCGTAGCATCTTCTCATGAATAACTACTGTATTCATCATGTTGAACGCTGATATCTATGATACCATGGATATTTGAATCCCAATCACTTTCTTCTTTATTTAAACTTAAAATCTCAAATCCTTTGATATCTCGGAAGTTATTTTTCTGGGTTCCATCGAGATAGAGATAAGAAGGTTTAACTGTGTATATTGATATTTACTGAGAGCATTTTAATACTTCAGCCACTGTGAGGGCGCCTGTGGCCCCCGAGCGTAAGAAGCAGCTGGAGGATTTTGGTCAGTATGTGGGTCAGTGTCTCTCTAAGTACGTCCAGACGGTCCGTCTGATGTCGGGGGATGAGCTGGAAATTCTGATTCACCCTGAGGGGATTGTTCCCACATTAAGTTTCCTAAAGGACCATCACAACTCACAGTTCACCAACATTGTAGATATAGCCTGTGTGGATGTACCAACTAGAGCAAATAGATTTGAGGTAATCATATAGGGCATCAAGCTTAATGTTCTATCCTTTAGTACATGTACCTAATTTAGCACTCTTGCAGGCTTCTTTTAAAGTTTTTTAACAGTGAACTTAAGTTTTTTGTAGGTGCTTCAATATACTGTAAATCACTTTATTCCTGATAATTCTTTTAGCGTTATAACATGAGACAGTGTGCTCACAAAAATTTGATTCTTGCATAGATTACTATTCCTCAAGTTTATATAGAGCTAAAACCACAATCCCTGAAATTTTGAACTTGCTAATATAGAGTAAATTACTATTTCATGAAAATAGGTATCTGTAAAATTTTATGATCTACAGAAAAAAAATCATAAGCTGTACTAACTTTAGTCTAGCTTTACATGTTTCATTTGATTGTTAAAAAATATCCTGAAACATACCTTCATACCATTGGTTGTTTTGTTCATTGACTGAAGTTAATGTTACATGTACATACAATTCAAAATACTTCACATAACCTCTCTATGTACTTATAGCTATAATGCTGTTTGCTCTAGTCCTTAAAAGAGAATTTGTTAAAGAACATCTTCTTCATTAGCATTTGTCATTTCAGATAGTATACAACTTGCTGTCAATAAAATATAATTCCCGTATTCGTGTCCTGACATACACTGATGAGCTGACTGGAATAGACAGCGCCTGCAGTGTTTTTGCAGGAGCTAACTGGTATGAGAGGGAGGTGAGTACCAGGTAGTCATGTCATGGGGGTGGTGTCACTCCCCTCCTAATCCTTTAGAAAGTGTAGGATTTGATTTATTACATAACTTATTTCTTTTCATCACCACTGTGTGACTTCTTCAGATCTGGGACATGTTTGGAGTTTATTTCCATGATCACCCAGACCTGCGGAGAATCTTGACTGATTACGGGTTTGAGGGTCATCCATTCAGGAGAGATTTCCCTCTCACTGGCTACACTGAGGTCAGTATCAGTATTATATTAAAGAAAAATAATCAAAGAGGGCCAAACATGTACATGGGATATCAGTGTTTGAGATATCAAAGTTTAACTATGTATCTTAAAATTAGGAAACCAGGCCTATGTTACATTGAATAATGTTGGAAAATGTAATTATTTCTGATTAAATGTCAAACAGAACTTAATGATCATAATGATAAATCTTTTTTTTTTTTTTGATTGACTTGGAATTTTGTCTTTTTTTAGCTCCGGTATGATGACGAGGTTCAGCGTGTGGTGGTTGAGCCTATAGAAATGGCCCAGGAGTTCCGCAAGTTCGAGTACAGCACCCCCTGGGAGAGTTTCCCAAACTTTCGCCCAAAGGAGGAAGAATCAGAAACCCCAGTCCCTCAAGTGGAGTCTGGGGAGAAAAAGTGATTGGACAATTTAGTTAAATTTGACATTATTATATTAAAGAGTTTGTGTAAATAAAGATGTTACAAGTAAATTTACAGTTTCTTTTTATTCACTGTTCATTTTACTATGAGTATGTCAGTTTTGTGAAGGTAAATGCGGGTGTCTTTGCTAAGGACTTCATTTATTTTTGTGCAGTATTGAAGATATTTTGAATTTTTTTGTTGACCATCAACATAATAGGGAATTAATTTTTTTAATATGGACTTTGAAGGTTGCATGACAACACTATTATTATTAATGAATGTCAGTTGCAGAATGACCAAAAAATGACTAGATTACAAGTTATAACTTCAATGTTTTCTTTTCGTAGTGTGTATGACCATTCTGTGAGAGAATATTTGGATAAAAATCTGACCATAGGCGTGTCCAATGTTTACCTTTCTTAGATACACAGCTGACTCCAGCTGTTGCAACCATTCTTGAGTGTTATTTGAGGTGTTGTTTGTGACACCATAATTGGCTGAATGGCCACTGGAAGCACACCGATCCTTCAATGAATACCAACAATATACATGTACATTCATACAGATTATATAGGGACTAAATAATGGACTACCATATATTTTTATACTGGTTTAGTTTTTAATGCCCTTGAATATGGCCAGGGCATATAGAGTTTGTCATGACCCTCTTCCATCCTTCTGTTGCGTGTCCTGCCTGCCGTCTGTCCATCTGGCCCAAATAGCTATAGTTTGAATATTGTTTCAGACTTTAAAGAATCTCCCAAGTAAATTATCTAATTTTTTACTTGGCAAAATATTTTAAAATGACATTTCATTATATAAATACATGTAAGTAATGCATGAGCATATAATGTTTACATTTAATTAATAAAGTCAATAAACAGAAGCCAAAATCTCATTATTTATTTAAAACTTAACAGGATTATTATCATAAATAAATATTCAATTGTATTGCAACAACAAACTAGAGGTACTGTGAGCAATGAGCTCACTAAATGATACCCCCCGCCTCCCATAATGTCGATGTGTTGCTTTATATTGTTTTACGGTAATGTGTAAAGAGGAATAACTCGTCCCGTCAAATGTTATCCAGAACCTTCTATTACGTGACGTCATAGGTAAACAAAAAATGGCAATGTCCATGTTTTGCTCTGGAAAACCTAAAATACGTGTCGAATAGAAAAGTGAAATAGGAGGTGCACAATGGCAATATGTAATGAAGATTCTGTGAAAGTTTCATTCAATTTCACTCAGTAGTATAAGAGGAGTTGCGGATAAGAGATAAAGCGTAACAGACGGACGGACGGATGGACGGAAATCCCGATCACTATATACCCTCCCGCTTTTCAAGCAGGGGGTATAATAACATCAAAAATTAATGTTTTTGGCACATCAACATGGCATTTTAAACCATAAACAGTCAAATGAAGTTCCTCGTAAATTTAGGATTTCTTTCCTCTGAAGAACGAGAGGAAGCCAGACATTCTGGAATTGAGATCTGTGCGCTGTCTCTGTTTCTCAATGAAGCGTCGCCGGTCAGTGATAAATAACTTGGCTGTTTTATCCCAGCTGCTTCTTTCCACCAGTACCTATAACACAGAGAAAAGTGAAGATATTTCATTCGTTTATTTTAGAAGTAAACATTTCCATTTCTTGTGAATAAAAACCATGATTAAGAGTAATAGAAAAAAAGATTTTAAAAATTAAGACTTTTACTGAGTGTAATTATATCAGGGGATAGATTAGCCCTATAGAAAAAATGCAAATAAAAAGATCTAGCTTAATTTTGAAATGAAATTCAGAGTTTGACCATTTTTAATGTATGTGTTGTAAGTAAATCAGCCCATTGAATATAGCATTTTTTTAAGAGAAGGGAAAAATGATTAAAATAAACAGAGGTAAAATTTCCCTAAATATAAGCTGCAGTACTAGAGTTGGTGAAAAAAAGAGAGAAGACAATAATTTTACCTTGTAAGGTCCCTGTGTTTGTCTTGTTGGTCGTTTGATAGGCAGCATGATAGCAGGTTTAGAATCCACTGTGGTTGACATCTCCATTGGTGATATGGAGGAGAGATGGATGGCCACTTCTCCAGCAAAATCATCGGAGCCTATCTTATCGTGATCCAAAATACTCAGCAGGAGGACTGCCCCCCTCACAGACATGTACTCACGGGGGACATTAGGGCTGTACAACAAAAACAAGTCTGTTATTACCAGTGATATTCATCAACTCAACAACTGGGAATTTTAATTCACTTACTATTATAAAAACTTCAACAATTACATTATGCAAACCTTTTATGTTCAGTCTGATATATTTTAAAAAGTACTTATTTTAAATATACTATAAAAAGAATCACGTACAACTGAAAAGTAGTGTTGAACACAGGATTAAGGGTCTGCTCTAGAACTTTGGTCTTTTGTGGTTTGTTGTGGCCAAACATTGTCTTTGGATAAAGGGAGACCACAACATAGGGGTCACTTAAACCCGAGTGGTCCAATCCGGGAAGGTCGGAGGCTCGAATCACTAACATGTCAGGAAAAATGACATTAGCGTCAGATTAAAAAAATTCATTTAAAGAAAAAAGTCATTTCTGATTCCTAATTTTAGCTGAATTTCAGCAATTAAGTTCAGTGTTTTCTGATTTTACCTTTAATAAAAATGGTAACATTTCCACGTGTTTCCTCTATATAAGACACCTTCACAGCAAGATTTCCCAGAAAATCAGATGTTAATGCCTCCTGCTTTACAGAGAGAAGTGACAAGTAAATTACATGTTCTAAAAAAAATATTACAATACCACAATATGCTGACTATTTCATCTCAAATTGTTTGTTGTACATGTTTTTATCAAACTATTTAAATAATAAATATCTCTCTTACATTTACAATGTCATCAGCAAGATTGTTGAAATACTCCAACATAAGTTCTTCTGTACTAAGAGCACTCAATTCCAGTCGGGCCTTTAATGCATTGTATTGCTCTGTCTGAATTTTGCTCTCTTCCAGGCCATCTTTGGCAAAGTAAGAGGTCAAGGCTCGTAAAAACTGAAAAAAAAATGTAAATTATATTTTGCTTAAATTATTATTCCTGTAATAATCTACAAAAATTAAAAGGAAAAGCAAGTTTTGGGAACTTAGGATATATGTTTCATAAACTAACCTGCTTCATTTGAGAGTAATATTCAGGTCTTTCCTGAAAAAAATAAAGTAAAACACTGAATAAATACAGACTGGTATTAAAAAATCCTTGACAAAAGTAAATTAAAATGAGTGATTATAAATCAAGTACTTGTAAGTCAGTCATCATGTAGATCCTCACCCCTATAAACACTTGTTCCTCCATAAGTTCTGTAATGGTCTTCCACAGTTCCTCTGTGATGTGTGGATACATGCTGTCAAACAGTCGCTCCTTCAGGGTACGTAAATTTGTGGACAAGTATTGGAACAGCTGATCAATGGACTAAAAAGAAATTTTATGTGTTTAAGTTATATGTTGTATTTTAATCATACAAGTATATCAGTGCTAAAAATAAACTTTGTTTAACTGTAATTGTTGTACATATCTATTCTATAAGTAAATATACATGCTTTAGCATCTATTTCAAAAAATGTTTTGGGGGTACATACTGAAGCTTTTTCAGGAGTCTTCTGAGTAAATATTCCCATAAATCTAGCCATGTCTACTTTCATTTTCTCCACGATTTGTCGTATGAGGAGGGAACACTTGAGCAGTATTTCCTGTCCGGCTGAGGTGATGAGTCGAGTGAGCGTGGAGCTGGATTTGTTACCAATGTCATCGTTCTCATGTTTGGTGGACAGAAGCATGCAGACAGATTCCCAGTCCAGCAGAACAGGAAGTTCCTTCAGGTACTGTCGCACATGCTCAATGTTGTTCAAAGTAATGCAAAGCTATAAAAGTAAAGATATACTCTAAATATTGTATTTGAACAAGGTATTGGCCATATTTGTTAGCCAAGGGTTATAATCTGCTCCTCTTCTGAATCATACACTTGGCTTATAAAGATGGAATTGGCTACAAATAGTTTTATTCAAATTTCAGTCAAAAATACTCTTTTCAATGTCTTCTATGTACATTTTGCTTACATATATATACAACATATAGATACTAGTACCTACCCTTTCTGTGATATCAAATTGTTCATCTCCATCGTCATAAAAATTACTCTTCTCCATCATTACGTGAATCTTGTCTGTATACATTCTGGCTCCATCACAAATAAGCTGAAAAATAAACAGAAAAATAAAACAAAAGAACATCACAAAAGACTACAGAAGTTACTTACTTAAATATCATTAGTGGAACGTACTGGAATCAGGTTCTTTTTGATCTTATATAATTCCAAAACAATCACACTGGAATTTCAGCTGGGTCTTGATTTAAAAATTAAATAAGTGGTCAACAGGTTACCAGTAAATAGATATAGATATGCAACCGAAGTGAATAGGATATACATATGTATTACTGATATAATACTTACATCCTTGTCACTCTCTTCTGTTAAATGTCTGTCATGAAATAGCAGCAAGAACAAAATCCACCTAAGAAAACAAAATCATATCAAATCTATGACATCCATGTCATTAAAACAGAATTACTATTGGACAATTATATGAAATAAATTTCAGAAATTTGACAAAAACTGGTGGTCCTGACATTTACACTGTAGAACAGAAACATCAATTTATGTTAACACTGACTGGTGATATTTACCTGGTACCTGTGCAACTAACTCATGACACAGCTCTTTAATCACGTAGTTCCTTTTCCACATTGTCTTGCCAAAACAGTGAGTTCATCTAATTGCACTGAATCTGCTAGCAGACCCGCCTATCTGATAGAGTCTCTCACCTTTCTTTCCACACAGAAGGAGTGAAGTAGCCGATCCACCAGGGTGTTTGATTTAAAAAGAACAGAAAAAAATGAACTGTGTCGTGTGGTCAGTCAAAACAGTGTATATACCAGTATCATGTATATTAAACAATTTGTTACCTGTATAGAGGTAAAATGTGCCCTACCTGTAGTTTTTTGAGGATTTTCTGGGTAAGTGGACTGTGTGGAGAAGATGGAATAGGTCCAGTTATACACACATAATACTTAAAATCATCCTTGTCAACTTTTTACCTTGTAATCTGTGCTCTCTCTATTGTCAAGGTAAGGAGGGTTTATGTTGTTGTCCATTCGGTTCTAAATGTCTGTAACCAGAACACCAGAGCATCCAGAAACCAGTCCTGGTACTGATGAATGGTCAACCGGAACACATCCCTGTCATAATATAAACGGAAGAATTACTCATAAGAAAGACAAAATCAAATCAAATCTGAACACATCCATGTCATTATAAACAGAAGAATTACTAAAAATGGACAATTATATGAAATAAATTATCAGAAATTTGACAAAAATGTGAATTAGAATGGTACCTTCTGCTGACATTATCCCTAACGACACTGTAGAACTTTTTAGCTGCGAAGAACATTCTGAGGGCAAGTCGACAACTGTAAGTGATGTTAACACTGAACTGGTGATATTTACGCTGGTACAAATCTAACTCATGACACAGCTCTTTAATCAGCGAACTGATCTGTTAAAAAATATCATTAAAATATAGTTTTCCCCCTTTCCAAGAGGTTGAAATAGACATTTAATTCTTGATAAAACACTACATGCTTATAATTTCAGTACAGTCTACTGCATTCACTGAATCTGCTAGCAGACCCAGCTATTATATAAAGTCTCTCACCTTTCTTTCCACACAGAAGGAGACAATTCTGAAGTAGCCGATCCCCAGGGTGTTGTACAGGTTATTGACCACACCCATAGGGAGGCAGTGGGAGGATAACACACAAATTGCAATAGATCAGCTCCACAAGGGCATTTCACAATCTTCTTCCGGGGAAGGCCATATTTGACTGGGTCCAGTTGAATTTCTTTCACCGTATATATGTCTGTCTAGAACAAAATCAGAAAAATTGAATTTGAGGAAAAATGTGTCCTACCTTAATATAAACCCTTCTATCTTTAAAAGTTAAAATCTAGGCATTTGCAACGTGTAGACCTTTGACCTGGAATTTCAGTCAAGGTCATGGTCATTTCAATGCTTTTAAATTTTCATTTTCCATTTAAAGGTGAAAGTAAAGAAGTAATATACAGGAGTTATGCACACAATTTCATTTGCCTTGAAAAAAAAAGCATTTCTATTTTCGCCTCTCTGTACACAAAGTCTATTTATGGTCTCTCATTTGTTAGTTATAGAAATTTTAAGGACCTAGTCAAAATGTGGTACACTAACTGTTATATACTCGCCTATCTCTTCCGCCTATAAGTTTGTTACCTGTATAGAGGTAAAATGTGCCCTATTCCATTGTTGTAGTTAACAATTTTGAAATGGATATTTAATTTTAAATCATGAAACAAAAAGTCAATCAAGTGGATTAAAATTATTGTATATAGATGATTTGGAATCATAAATAATCACATATATTCAGACATTTTCCAACAGAAATGAATACACACACTGGAACAGGAAGGACAAACCAGACCAATATTTAACTCCCAAAATACCGACTTATAGGTAAGTAATCGGTAGTCATCAATAATAACCTTGGATTGTGCAGCAAGTAAATATAGTACATGTAACTTTTTATACCATTGTGCTCAATCTGATTTCATGGATAATTATTCTCTGATGTTTGTCCACAAAAACTTTAATTTCATAACTTTTGCCCATAAATTTTGATTTAGTGGAGATGACTTTGTTCATATATGTGTCCATATTTTATGGGAATAACCCTCCTCCTTCATAAATTATGTTGTTGTCCAGTTTGTCAGCCATAATATTTTGAACCCCCTCCCTCATAAATAAGAAGGTGGAGATTATGGCCATTTTTTGCCCCCCTCCCTTACAATTTAAAGGGCAGGGGGAGCTCGTCTCATAATTACATCATTAACTGTAACAAGAGATTACCAACTTTAATGCATGAAGTAAAGTTTAATGATATATACAGTATTTCTTTTTTAAAATTCAGATGATTCAGTCCTCACTTCTGAAAGGGCGTCAATATTTTATGGTAATGGGCATTTTTTGGCCATAATATTTTGAACCCCCCTCCCTCTAAAAGAGCAAGGTGAGATGTAAAAGGGACGGGGACTCAATATTTTACTGTTTGGAGGCAATATTTTATGGATCATAAATTAAAAGGGCTGAAGTTCCTGTAAAGCCACCTGGAGGGCCTGGTCAACTGTGGTGATGTCATCATGGCAATATATGTATCAAAATATTATGCTACAGGACCACTCTGACGGGAATATTTATCTTGTTGAAAAAGACGTTACAGTGAATGTGTCTCAAAAAATATTGTATGAAAAACTCAGAATTTTAAAACACACAGTTTGTAAACTTTTTAAAAAATATATTAAACATTTGAAATGAAAACATAATCTTGCTAAAGCTGAGACCTTCAAAGTGAGTAAACATGTTTAAGTAGCAAAACTTAAATGGCAAACTCTTAGAAAAATTTATCTATTATTAAGGAACGTCTCATCTGTCCTTAATTCTAAACTCACATCAAAATTTGAGATAACTTAGAGATTCCGTATGACTGAGCAAACAAATCTAAGATTCTACTGTCCTGTTTGTTGAGGTAGGGATCCAGAGGAGCATTCTCCTGTCAAGTAAAACATTTAGAAATGGCATTTTTTTCGTGATCATCAGCAAAATATATAAATGTAAATTAATTAACACAACAAAACAAACTCATCTACTTAGTTTTACATCTACAGATGTGGAATTTTATTTCAAAATGAGTTATCTCCCTTGGAGCAGTGTGATATCTTACCTCCAGGCCTTTAATGGCGTGTTTGTAGAACTGTTCTGCAGCCTGGTAGTAATCTTCTACTGAAAATGGCTGACTGCCGGTCTGAGAACTCTGGTATAAAAAAGATCAGATTAATTCATCTTTGAAAAATCAAAAAAATATAATGTTTTTAGCATTGTTTATAAAAAAAACTATTGATTAATTGTAGAATCACAAATTTATATACCTGCTGATGAGATAGATGAACTTTGATGTGACATTTTCCCCAAGAGAGTTTGCTTCCTTTAGAGGTGGGGCTTGTAATATCCCACCACCAATCACAGCCCTGAGCAGGAATCTCCTACAAATATAACAAATAACCAATTATAATACATCCCTTTATCATAAGTGGGAGATACATATTAAAATATCAGCTTGGTGTTAAGTTTTTGAATGATTTTAGTGTTGGTTATGATGAGGAGTGGGAAAAGAGGGGGGTATCTGAGGTTATCTGTAATAATTAAATTTTTACCCTCACTGGAATGATGACCTTGCCAAACAAATGCTGGTCTAGCCGGTCATGGTCACTGACATGAAGGACATTCTTCAACAAGCTGTAAAACATCAATAAATGACTTAATATAACGGCTAAATGATGAAAATAAATTCTAAGGTCTTCAATAAATAATGTCTCTAGGAGTGTAGAGCTTTGTAACCCAAGTAAGACATTACAGCAAAATTGGAAAAAGAGATCATATTTATTATTGTAAATTTTCTAATACTACATGTGAGCAACTTGAGCGGAATTTTTAATCCCCCACATGAAAAGTTGGAAATTGTGTGCGGGTGGCTGTTAATTTAATAAATTAAGTTCTCAGGTATAGGTGCTTTACAGTACTATAGCACTATATTGTTTGTGTGAATTGTAAGATATCTCACCTTGACAAAACATGAAGCCTGTCATGGTGGGGTTTTTCTGCTCCGATTTCTGGATCTTGGTTACAAATAAATAAATGTATTTCATCTGTTAGCATATCTTCTAAAGACCTACAATGCAGAAGATTTTCACATAATGACGTTTTCTTTACATTAATCCATTACATATCATTCCAGTTAGTGTGCATTCCATTATGTTTGAATGGGTTGCTAATTTTTGTTATTCAAAAATGATAGATCCCCTTGTTGTGAAATTGTATCCAGGACAGAATTCTCATGTACAAATCTAAATATAATTTTACAGAGATTACTGAATGTTGACTGATTAATGCATCTGTAAGTTCTTATATTGGAACTGCACAGATTACTGAATGTTGACTGATTAGGCCTAGAAAAAAAATATGTTTGTTTCCGCTTTCCCGACCGACCCTAATTTATAGTGTCGACCCTAAATATTTTTTTAATGCTTTTGTCCCATGATGTGCAAGATTTCAACCAGGGAATTATAGCCTCAAACTTTGCAAGCTTTTCAAGACAGAAAGAAGTTTGGGTCACCTTTCTATTATAAGTTAAGTCACAGTAATGCTTGAAAAGACCATTTCTTTTGTCATTAATATTACTTCTATACACATTTTGATTAAAGAAGCAAAAAAAATTTTTTCAAAAAAAAAAAAAAATTGCCTACCTACCTACCCTATATTTTTTCAGCCTGAAAGCGGAAACAAACATTTTTTTTTTTCTAGGCCTTGTTAATCCATCAGACTGAGTAAGCTCTTACAGTTGGAACTGCATAGATTACTGAATGTTGACTGATTATTAATCCATCAGTAAGCTCTTACAGCTAGAACTGCACAGATTACTGAATGTTGACTGATTATTAATCCATCAGTAAGCTCTTACAGTTGGAATTCCTCATTCCACTGGGGATCCATCGTGTGTTTGGCCGTGTTTGTCTTCATCATTTCCTCCACTTCCGTGGGGAGGGTGGCTGAGTGCTTCTTCAGCTGGGGTGAGGATTTCGGGGAGGGTTTGGGTGAGGTCTTTGGGGAGAATGAAGAATTTCGTTGTAGCGGATGATAGATGTTCAGGAGGCAGTAAGGATTGCAGTTCTCTTTAATAAAAATGTTTTCATTTTTATAATTATTTGTTATAAGAGCAGGCTTGGGGATGTTCAACATGAAAGGCTAATATAACATTCCATCAAATGTTTTTTTTCTCAAAGCAAGCACTAATTTGAATGGGATGTGGAATAAATAACTTTTAATTGCATTCTATTTTTAAGAAAATAAATTTAAACGCATGGTACCTAGAGCATCTGTATGAAGGCCTTTGGCCTCTATGATGCATATATTGGCCTGGATAGCGTGGGGTCGATGGAACATTTCTTGTCGAATGTAGAATTCCTGTTCATCTTGATTCACCTCAAACACCTACAAATGGCGTACAAGCACTTACAACTTCCTGTCTTTGTGAGAGTCCATTAAAGGAAACCTATTAACATAATGTTACAGTGGCCCACTTCCATGGATAAACATAGGCATTGCATGGTGCCAGAAATTATCAGTGTGATCTCTGTGATTTTTACACACTATACAAGTATTTAAAAAAAAGGTACCGATCATTAAAAAAACAACAATGCTCTACATGCATTGAGTAAATATTTAAACTTTTCAATGACAAAAAAGTGTAATGTATGCAATTTAAGTGACATTTTGTGAATATTTTTCACTGAACGAATCATTTTTAGCAAGTTTTTATTCAACAAAATAGATAAACCTTTACAATATTGGCTGTAAAAGGGCAGATCTTTACTGCCTGACACAGACTGTGTACAGACCCTAATGTCACAGCTAAATGTCATCTGGGACTATATATATATAAATACTATTACTTATATAAAGATATCATTACTGACCTATAAATAACGAGGATCACATGTTAAAAAAAAGATCAAAAAACGATCAAGCAGCAATTAAAGCACATGTTAACTAATTTAAAAGCAAGTTTAAAATTTAATAGGTTTGATCATGAATATGACAAACATAATATTAAAAAAAAAAAGTAGACAAAAATTTCATCTTTCAAGTTCAACAAACAAAATAAAATTATTTTGTGTTTACCAGTGGTTGCATGGTGAGAAATTTTTATTACAGCATTTACAGACATTAACACCTACTACTTTGATAAATGCTTTTTTATTTAAAGAATATAAAGTAGAAACAAACAGAAACCCGGTCATATTATCCTGGTTGAGAAAATAAAATTTAATGTTCTTCTACTGAAATCATTTGTTGAATTATATTTCCAATACATAAAAGGTTACAGCATGTGGATGTCTGCCATGTTTGTATAAAGTTCTACGGAAATGTATCAATCAATAATAGCAACTCAACAAATCATTTGATTATGAAAAAGAAACTGCTAACTATATATATGTCTTCATTCTAAGGTTTTCACTCTTTTTTTTTGGTTTGGTGTTCATATATACATGTATCAGCATAAGTCTCACAATTGGAGTATTCTCTATGTCCGTTTTTTAAACATCTTTTCTTGAGACTTACTTGAAACTCTGGTTGAAATTGGCTTGAATTTGCTATTTAAGTTGAAACTGACCTCTTTTAGTCTGTGAATTAGGTCACCAGGTCGGAGTCCCGTGGTGACGTCCGGGTTACCCAGTGGATGCAGCAGACAGCGGAGAATCCCACAGTACACATTCTCATTCTGTAAACAACAAAAAAACTTATTAAAATATATATATATCCACAAATCTCATGAAGAAAGCTTTTTCTAATACCCTATGAAAATCAGGAGGACTTCCGACTTATTAATTCCAATATTCCAAGATCTAGATTGAATTTTTCAATTGTCTGAAGGTGACAGTTAATCAGAACCTCTATCTCCCCCACTGTAAGACTCCCAGCAGAGGAACTTCTGTCCCTCTCAAAGTCAAACTCCACACTGGACTCATCAGAAGTCCGACGATTGCTGTGGTAGGATTTCCTCCGAAGTCTTTTGGAAAACTTTCTCCTTAGTCTCGATAGTATTCCATTTGTAGAACTTAAAGAATTCCCTGGGGAAGGGGGTAAACTACCAGTATAAGAATAATGAGGGGTGAGGGAACCACTCCCTAAATATTCCAAGGAATCGGTTGGCAAACTATTTGATTTTTTCATCGTCATAACTGCATGTTCCTCTCGCTATGTGCAGTTTCTTCTGTGTACGTGCTATTTTTACTTCTACCCTTGTTTTAAGATTACCACTAAGGGTGGGGAATCTCTTTGGTTTGTAAACAGGTGCTCCTACGTCTAACTATAAATCAGTCCTATAAATCTTACACTGCATTCCACTTTGATTAAGAAGTGTTTGTCTAAGGATCTGCTAGATTTCCTGAATGTGAGAGATCATACCTCTGTCTCGCAGATATTTAAATAAATTTACCTAAGCAACCATTCAGATTGATTAATCTTTTCAGAAAGTAGCACATTAAAATCAAATTAATTGATGTGGCATTTAAGATGATATGTTTGTAAGAAGTTTCTTTCTAGATACATTTAAATCCTTTTTACAATTTCAATAAAAGGAACATACTTTGGTACCTTGGTTTTCTGACCGTTAGTGATAGAAATATTTTTATAATATCTAATACATACTTTTACATGCATGTAATTATTTACAACAAGATAAGAATTATAAAAATTTTACAAAAATGTTTTGATGACAATTGACATTTTAACACGGGCCAAATGTACTTTTAATTTCTATTTTTCATCAGCAAGCAATAAGAATTCAGGATCATAAAAAAAATATTTTTCGTGCTTTATAGTAATGGGTCATTATCAGGTAAAATTCAGAGGATCCCCTTTTCTGCTGTTATTAAGAAGTCCCATGATAACCCAACAGAAGGGTGCATGATTGGGATTGGGAGCTTAAACATTTTTATTTAAGTTTATAAAATTTGTAAATGTAAAAGTTTATACATTAACCAAGAAACTATATCCTATTTGTAAGTTTGTTTTTGTTGTTTCTCCATGGGTGGATGTGTACTATTAACCAAACATTACGTCATGGTTGAGGGCTCCGTGCCTCAACTTCAAAGACAAAAAACCGGAACTGATTTCAAAATAGTGGTTTTATTTTTTTTTTATGCTTATGAGAAAAAATGCCAGTATTTCTATTGGCAGACCCAATCATATTTGATAAATAAAAATATATGTCATTTCTGTTGTTAACTTCCTTTCCTGTATATTACTTTATTTACTACATGTCAGATGATTGATGGTAGGTACCTACATGAATATACTCCTATTAACATTTTTGTACTTGAAACATTTTAGTGCTTTGTAAACCCCCCCCCTCCTTCCCATTCCACCCCCCTCCCAAGAGGGGGTATATGTTAGGTGATGATACGAGTTGCTGTAAAAAGTCTCTCTTTTGTCCTTTTTTTTAGTACTAGTTTTATTTCACTGAGACGAGGAAATTAAATACAGTCAAACTTTGTTACCTCAAACTTAATGACACCAAGAAAAACTTCCAAGATTTCTGAGGATTCAAGATATCTAGTAGGGTAAAATACTGAAAGAATAAATGGTTGGAAATGTGAAACACTTCAACATCTTCATGGTATTTGAGTTATCAGTGTTTGACATACCATGACAAGGTTATCATTCTAAAATAAAATGTTACACAACAATTATTTAGTCACACCCAGCTACTGAAGCTGTCTAGACATTTGAGTCAGTACAATATCAGTGCTTTAGTAAGAAATCAGCTTACATAATATTGTATCTCTATATTAGACTTTTATAGATAAAAACTTATGAAATTTCCTCACGTGAGTAATTCTGTTAAAATTTATTGTCGATTAATTTTCTACAAAAAACATACATGTAATTACATTTTATGCATTATACTTTAAGGAATTTTTTGTTTGTAGTGCCCACAAAGATAAATATGTTTGGTTTTATAAACTATCCTTCCTCCTAAACTTTAAATTGTTTCTTATGGGTCTTGGAATCTCTTTCCCTTCTCTTTGAAAATTCCCCAAGGTATTAGATATGAAAACCTCTAAAAAGTTTGCATGTGTTCCAAAAAATTCCTTTGCTAAAAAATCACCAATATTTACACCAAATAAGAAGTTGAATAAATTTTTAAATATGGAATTTGTTATAATGGCAATGATACTATAAGGACCACTTTCCAGACTCAAAAAGCAAAATGTTTGAAAAAGAAGAAAGGATGGAGGGGGAAGGTGGCTCAAAGCCCTGGCCCAAGGATTTTGAAGCGATTTTAGTCTTATACATTATAAGTCAGAATTTGTACATTGTCTTTGGGGCATATTTTAGAAAACATGTAAAATTAACTTTCAAATGTTATTTCATTTTCTTTATTTTAAATTTTGTTTCAATTTTCAAGTGTCAGGATAAATAAAAGGTATTCATTTTACTAATGATAACAAGAGGCCCAGGGGCCACAGTGCTCACCTGAGCACATCTGGCTTGAGGCGTTCATCATTTGTTAAAATTAGGCCCCACCCTTGCCCCGGGGGTCATGATTTGAACAAACTTGAATCTACACTACCTGAGGATGAATCGACATGAATCTTTCCTGGCCCAGTGGTTCTGGAGAAGAAGATTTTTAAAGATTTTTCTTATATATTCCTATGTAAAACTTGGGTCGGCCATTTTGGCCCCACCCTTGCCCCGGGGAGTCATGATTTGAATAAACTTGAATCTACACTACCTGAGGATGAATCCACATGAGTTTCATATTTCCTGGCCCAGTGGTTCTGGAGAAGAAGATTTTTAAAGATTTTTCTTATATATTCTATGTAAAATTCGGCCATTTTGGCCCCAAACAATTTCCACAAGTCTTTCTGGCCCAGTGGTTCTGGAGAAGAAAAGATTTTTCCTATATATTCCTATAAAAATTGTATGCCCCGGGGGTCATGAAATTTTACTACCTGAGGATGATTCCACATGAGTTTCATTTTTCCTGGCCCAGTGGTTCTATTTTTAAAAAATATTCCTATGTAAAACTAGGGTCGGCCATTTTGGCCCCACCCTTGCCCCGGGGGTCATGATTTGAATAAACTTGAATCTAACTATGAGGATGATTCCACATGAGTTTCATTTTTCCTGGCCCAGTGGTTCTGGAGAAGAAGATTTTTAAAGATTTTTCCTATATATTCCTATGTAAAACTTGGGTCGGCCATTTTGGCCCCACCCTTTCATAAAAAGTACATTAGGATGATTCCACATGAGTTTCATCTTTCCTGGCCCATGGAGAAGAAGATTTTTAAAGATTTTTCCTATATAATAAAACTTTGGTCGGCCATTTTGGCCCCATATGAAACAAACTTGAATCTACACTACCTGAGGATGCTTACATGAATGGCCCAGCGGTTCTGGAGAAGAAGATTTTTTAAAAATGCCATTAATACAAATTCATGATTATCTCCCCTTGGAAAAGGGCGTGGCCCTTCATTTGAACAAACTTAAAAATACTCTGTGCCAGTTTGGTTGAAATTGGCCCATGAGAAGAAGATGAAAATGTGAAAAGTTTACGACAACAAAAACAACGACGACGACGACAACGACGACAGACAACGGACAAATTTTGATCAGAAAAGCTGTGGCCATTAAAAATGTGGCCATTAAACAATTTACAAGTCTCTTTTAAAAAGTCATTATTTTATGAAAAATACCATATGAAACCTTGTTTATTAAAATACTGAATACAAACAGCACTGCAATAAAAACATAAATTGATTAAAATTGCCAGATCGTGATCAAACGGAACATAATTGATACAATTTTAATTTCAAGTCATAATTGAAAATCATGTGATTTGCCCATGAAGTTTAAAAGTGCTTTAAAGAAAGAAAACAACAGTTTGGGTGTTAGTAAATGTACCAGAATAAATGATGCAGTTTTTGCAGAAAAAATGCATAACCTGCGTAAGTGGGTTACATGTATATATGTAGACCCGTAGGAAGCAATTTCGGTTTCGTGGAGCCAAACATTTTCAGTTGGGGACACTAGCAATCACCCGAAAATTTGTTTAACACTTAAATAAAAAATGTCATGAGACGTTATTAGTGTATGGTAGAGCTCTATGCTTTCCACATAGTGATTTATACATATGCAAAATTAGGGCGGGGGTGGGGGACCGCCCTCACCAGCCATGCGATAGCTGCAACGTTAATTCTCAAACTAAAAAACAAAGAAAGTCTTTTTTCTATATTTATAATCATTTGAAGTAGAATTTAGTTGAAAATATATTGTAATATTTTTGATAAATATGTCTACATTGTATAAATACGTTTCGTTGATGGAACAGTCACTGCTCAAGGAATATGCACAGGTGATCTGCTTAGTGTTGTATACTGAGTATTAATACTGACTAATACGGAAATGATATTCTTTTAAAGAAATAGAGGAGGAAAATATATATTGGTTGTAAATGTATTTATGTAGTTTATTTAATTCTTCTAGTAAATAGCATATTGAAATCGTCAGTTTCTTTGCGAAATATAAAGGGTCAGACAGTGCATAACACGGGTTCGAATCTCACTGCAGGACGTAAATCGAAGCACCGTGTCACGGAAGACTTTGACACGACCTCACCACACAATGCATGGCCCTGGGTACTGAGAATAGGTCTAAATTCACAGCCCCTCACCGAGAGGTGGTGGCGAGGTGAAATATTCTAGAAAGGAACGTACATCCCCCCCCCCCCCGCGGAAAAAAAGACATACTTTATAGTATCAGAAAGAGTGAACAGAGCAGGTATAAATTCCATTGTTTCATTACAGGAATTTTCCTTGAAATCTTCCCTCCGAGGGGGGGGGGGGGGTGCTTGTAGCGAAAATTGATAAAATTGTACATTAGAGACCAGCATAACGCAACGGTTTTTGTGAACTCAAGATGTTTACAAAATATTAAATAAACGTAATGATTTACATTTTAAAGCATTTAATCCACCTATATTCAGGCGATCTTCAGCCCTTGGGTATTTTCTGTTTTTTTTTATGAGCAACTGGCAGAGCAGAAAAAGCCATGTGTTCTCATACAAGACATACAGAGAATTAATTTGACCCTATATTCATATTGGAGAACGACTGATTTTTTTTTTCATTTTCAACTACAGACTGAAGAAAGAACCTGTAAAACACGCTGTCATTGATACACAGACGATATAATTACATACATACGACAATTATTATCTGAGAAGCCGACAGACAACCTACATGTCATAGACTACATGTGTCCACTTCTCTACAGAGAATAGTACAACAGGGAAGTATAATTATTATAACTGACAAAGAGATGAATTACCACTGGATTTTGGGGATAGAAGACATCCTCTGAGTTTTGTTTGCTGAGTGTTGGTACATGGATTTTGAAATCCTCACATTTCATGGATGGACTGTTCATGCAGGAGACGGTTGAACGTCGGCCACTATGTCTCACTCGATTTATAAGTGTGGCGAATGTTCTCCTTTTTTGACGGCCACTTGACGTCTGCGAAACACCGTCTATGACGTCACCGTCGCTTTGACTGCGTAATTTCATGTCATGTTCTTTAGAGGGCACTCCAAGAAAGGAACTAGAATCCAGACTCACGCTTTTTAGCGCCGTTGCTTTGGGGGTCTCGGACACAAAAGGATGACCATCTTCATCAGCACCACGGTATAACTCGGTCCGTACATCGGCGCTACGTGAACCTCTTATGCGTTCTAAGTTCGAATCCCACTCCCGTTCATCGTCTGTCTTTGAGGCCGTAAATTTCCACGGAACACTGAGAAGTCGTGTTCTCATACACATCCCACTGCGGTACTTGCTATTTCTCATAATAAACTGTCAATACACTTCTTTGGAGTTTTATTTAATTTTTTATGCCTCAGAAAACGCACTTTAAATATCAGTGAAATCCTTTTTGGTTCAATAGAATGTTGAAACATAAAATTTAAAATCAGTGCTTTTAACTGCCTTTTCTTCGATACATATAATTGTATAGTTTTAAGAGTAAGAATTTGCTATTTATTACTCAATAAGTGACAATGACGTATACAAGATACTGATCACATGCTCTTTCTTTGTACAGAAGTCCGTGAATGAAACTACTGCACGTTTACCTTGATATCATTTAAAACACTTCATACCGAATAAATATATTAATTGATTGACAGTCCATATATTTCATATACTTGTATTTTCTAAATGAGATGCCAGCTGTATTCATGTAGAGATATTATCATTTTACCCTAAAAAGGTCAATATAATTCATACTGCGTCATATTTTTACCCAGATTGTTTAATATAACCTCATTTAGCAATAATATATATCAAGCAAAAACATCCTAATTATTATTTGTATGGACATAAAAGTACACCACAAGTTTAATTTCAATTTGAAGGATAGCCTTCGATGGCTTTGATTCTTCAACCGGTCTTGTCTTGATACAACCGCTTTGCTTTTCAGGAAGACGATTCTTTATAACACCAGTCATTTAAACAGACAAACAAACAAACAAAAAAATACATAAATATAAAGAACTTTGATTATTAAAAACATGTTGACAGAAATCAGTAAAATTCCCAATCAACATTAGGAAGGGTAAAATGTGCTGGTACTAGGGTTTTTATCACCCTCTTTTTAACGTAATATAACTATTTTTTATGAAACTGTTATATTTTGGAGGAATGGGGGAGGGGGAGGGGAATTAGAACGAGACTACCAAGAATGAAACACAGCAAGATCAGCCTCTTGCTGGCAATGAATATGTACATTTCAAAGCTTGTTGGTAAGATTTCTAATAAAACATTAATTAATCATAATTATTGTAATTTTTTAATTTACCGGGTGGTAGTAAAAATTTTGTCATATTGTAATTTTTGTATTTACTAACATCCGATAAATTTAAAAATTAAAATATGTCACACCCTCAAAATTACATATACCAGAATAATTCAAATTTGAAACATTTCTCTCGTTTAAAGGTAAAAATATAGCACGGGTACATCGACACAGGCCGGTGTATGCACAGTGACGCAACGTGTGAAGTTGCAATAAATAGCGATGATTTAAAACTGAATACTTGCGCAATCGTCTCAGCAAAGTTGAAACAAAATCCTATTCATAAACGCAATGTAAAACCATATTTGTTATTTGTATCGTGAAAAAGAGTTTAACTCACCCCGGTTGAATACAGAAGTCTAAGTTTGTTCCCTGGTTTGTATAGAAGGTCGATGTTCATCATGAAATGGTCAATCGGTCGTAGTGAATCGAACAAAATTTGTTTTCAATTTGTTGTACGTATACCAGCAGATTTTAAAAAGTTAAGTTGTAGATTTATTCTGCATGGCTTACATGCAAAATAATTCGTTTAACCTAGAGGCTTAAAGTAGTACACCAGATACCGCCATTTATAACGGTTTACAGAATTAATGCGTAAAATAAAGCACGGGTCACAAATTTTATCAAATTGCTGCATTTAGAGAAATTCGAGAATTTGAAGCATTACTGGATTACAATAAATTTATTGTCATTAACTGGGTTTATGTACGCTACACTCAAAGTCGTACAATGTTAGCAACAATGACGTAGCATCGTTTTTGAAAAAGTGTGGGGGGGGGGTGCAGTCAGAGATTTTTTTTTTACTTACCTGTAAAAAGTTGACGAGCAAAAAAGGGGGAATTTTCCGAAGTCGAAAATCCTACAGTATTTCGGGGGTGGGGGGTGTAGAGGCCAACTTTTTTTTCAACACAAATTCCTTTCAGTATAAAATTATCTTCTTCCCTTCATACAATTACTACATTATCCTTATATCATTTTACTTTAGCCCCCCCCCCCCCCCCCCCCCCCTTGCTACGTGCCGGAGCAGTCTTTATACCGAGTCTGTACGGAATTTAAAATAAATGCAAATCACTGTTCATTTATTGACTGAGTTCGAGGGCAACATACGTTTTGTCGGACCCAAGAACCAAACTATCTGCGTGAACCCGTCAGTCCGAAGGCAGACAATTTGGTCCGAGGGTCGACAAAAGATATTTTTCCCGAGAACTCGGTCAATAAAGTTTTTTTTTTTTGATAACTTTCATTTCATTTTAATTTTTTGGCATACATGCATTTTGTACTGCCTTCCGTGATGAAACATCAGACCCGTCACTGTTGAATTCCAATGAATGAAAACAACATCTCACCGACCGACCTAACATCTCACTCACCGGTCAAACATCGATTTTTTTATGCCCGCTCAGCAAAACATAAGAAATGGTAGGCTTTTTTGGTTAGCTTTGTACATATAGGAACAAATTCTTAAAGGTATAACAAATGTAGATATTATTACAAGGATAATAAAGCCTTGTAAGTCGATCCATGATCTATCGACTTCAAAGAAAGCACATCAAACACACAGGAATGACCAAATGAAAGGACATTTGTTATATATACATGTTACATGTAATATCTTATTTGAGATAAATAAGAGACAGTCCTCTATGTTTCAATTATATTCACCTTGAATGTTGAAACATTTTTTTGTATTTCCCCAGAAGGTTGAGTAATTCAGTACAGAAAACATATAATTTAAAATAGCATCTGACGTAGAGAAAAACATCCAAATTGTTGAAAAACAAAATAAATTTAACAAAACACATCGCAAATATGAATCTGAAAATGTAGAAAAGGGGATGCACCTGTATGGTAGATAAATATTCCATGCATTTTCAAAGTTACACATAGGAAGGAATCCGGCAATATAGAAGCAAAGGGAAATTACTATATATATTATAAGCTACTTTGATTTAAACCTTCATTTTCAATCCATTTTTGTAACGTAAGCATTAAATTTTCTTCAAAAAATCCCTTCCTACCTACCGAACAAATATTGAAAAAAAAATATAAACCCCTGAATCTTCGATTACGGGTGCAAAAAATTTATCTTGACATTTTAAAGATGGCCTTAAAGAAACATACGGAGATAGATGGGGTACATACTGATGGACTGAGGCACAAAAACCAAACTCTATCACGTAGTAAGGCACGTGTATGGATATAAATAACAACTTTACACGTGAGTTTTATTAATAAATTAATTATCAGTTTAATCGTATCGCCCAATTATAATCAACAAACAGCATAATTTTGCTAACACGACAACATCCACCTATTATGAAAATACCGACTTCCAATTGGTCGAAACCAACCCCAAACTCCCCCGTTTTTTCCTTGTAATAATCTGACTTTCATGAATTCTTCCTTTGATCTACTTCACAATCATAATCTACAAAAGCCCATTGGGCTCATTTTCGTAGGTTAAAAAAATAAAATCATCGCGTTAAAATGCGAAACTTTCGCTATATAAAACGAAACTTTCGCGATATAACGCGAAACTTAATAAATTCCTCAGAAATTTCCCCCAGAAGATGTCCTGGAGAAATGATGCGAGAATAGAATAGATTAGTCATCACAATTTTTTTTTCAAAACCCTACCAATTAATAAAGTGAATTTTACTTTCTTGTTCAAGTATTTCAGTTGTTAAATTAAAAAAAATTCTTTAGACTGATTATTTTATTGAAGGAAAATCTGTACTTGTCACTTTCTCAAGCTGATTTTTCTCATCAGTAACATTCACTACATCTGTACCCTAAGTAAATTTAGCAATCCGTCATTTTAAACTAGAAATTATATCCTGTAGAAACATAGCTTAAAAGTGAGTGAACAATGTGTCATTTCAAGAGCTTAACGTGCCATATGATGTTTTTTTAAAAGTAATAACTGGTATTGTTAATTACAAATTGATCGAGAAAGGGGGGTCTACTTTTCTTAATTTTTCTTCAATATTTATATATCTGAAGGGTTATTGTAAAGTTCGTGGACTAGCGCCATAAATCAAAACTATTAAGGAATACAGGAAAGAGATTTTACACTTTGTATTACCGGTAATTGTCAAATAAAAATTAATGTTTTCGTAAGCAATGGAATGACCACGTGGCGCAACCTCAAAATACGATGTATTTCTACAGTGAATCTAACAAAGACAAATGAAAATTTGCCATCCAATTTTTACCCATGTAGTGGGACACAATTGACAAATTTACCTATTTTGTCAATTTTCTGAAATCTTAATCTAATTCTTAACTATTTTATTTCAAATTCTCTTAAGAGTGTATAAAATAGACATCTGAAAGGGTCGATTTTTTCCCGAAATTCATAATCATAAAGTTTAACTTTTGAAAAACTCGCATTAACTTTGAATGGTTTGAACAGCGTTGAGAAAGACAAAATGTGACTGTAATATGGATTAAACAGCAATAAAACTTAAAATTGTAGTTGTGATGGTCCAAGATCAAAATGACCTTTTTTGCTTTTCTTTGTGATGAATAAACTAGATCACAAAATCAAAATAAAGTTAAGACATATGCAAATGTCTTGATTAAACAGCAAAAGTTTCGTGTTATAACGCGTAAGTTACGCTTTATATCGTGAGAGCTTTGGGTCATATCGCGGAACTTTTGCTGTTTAATTAAATAAATAATTTTTTCGCGTTATATCGCGAATGTTACCCGTTTATTTGCGAAAGTTTTGCGTTATAACGCGAAAAAATTATTTTTTTAACCTATGAAAATGAGCTCAATAGGCTTTCGTAATAATCTAAGCAATCGATTTTATAGGTTATTTTAGCGAGATTTAAAGCTAGGGTCGAGTATGTTTTTCTCTTAGACAAAACCCCCATTACCCAGTGTTTTTGGCTCACCTGAGCCGAAGGATCAAGTTACTATAAAAACTTTTCTTTATCAAAATATGTACCTTGTCTGTCTTCGTCGTCGTAAACTTTTCACATTTTCATCTTATAAAGAGCAACCGGCAGACGGACAGACAGACGGACGCCAGACAAAATGTGATCAGAAAAGCTCACTTGAGCCTTTGGCTCAGGTGAGCTAAAAATCAAAACTGCTCAGTTTAGGTTGAAAATGGAGTATTTATCACTTGAACTGTTGGTGACCACATATCTATTGCACATGACGTAAGTTTCCTCTAGTCAATGTATTATGACGTCAAAAAATGCGTCATTTTTCCAATATCCTGTAAATTCCTTTGAAAATGTCTTAAGGTAAGTCACTCCTGAAATTTGTTATATCAACGATTTTTTGAGAAGTATATTTTGGATAAGTATAAAGTGTAACTCAAAATCGCAAAGAAAATAGGGGGTATTTCATACATTTAACTTGACCTTTTTGCACTTAAATTTCATCTCTTTAGTTAATTACTTAAACCCTTATCATATTTTATCAGATGTAAGCATGGCAATAAATATAATGTTATTTTACGTAAAATAGTCTGAATAATATTTATCATTAAACAAATCTTGCAAATTAATGCGCGTAAATTATTGTGTGACCTTTTTGCACTAAAAAATAAATATTTGGGGTATTAAAAAACTTAATAGGCAATAAAAAATTTTCTTATATCAAACTTTTTACGACTGAAGTGCTGATCAGTCACAAGTATTGAGTAGTTTAAGATAATGAAAGAAAAAGATGGGGTCAGTGATGTTAATTTTGAAATATTTGTCAAAATATGTGATTTTCAGGCGAAAAATGGTGTAAATTTGATCTTGACTTCTTTAATACATTTTCATTTTTTGGAAAAGTTTGTTGAGGGAATCATCCAAAAATATAAATTAAGACCTATATTAAATATTTTTAGCAATATCAAAACAGAAAATACGAGTAAAATTATGTGAGGCTAAATTTTTACATTAAATTTTATAAATGTGCAGATTTGCAGAAGTTTCTGCTAAATATCCTTCCACCAAAAAAAATAGTCCCTCATAAATTTTGCTTCTTTGTAGATTTTTGAGCAGTTTTTTCGTTGAATGTTAAAAAATTTACATTGTTGAATTCAAATATGTTATAAAAATCGAATTTTAATAAGTAGTTTTGAATTAAATGCTTCTGCGTAAACTTTTATAAAAAGCTGACGAGTGACATACCTTAAGTTGAAGTATTTCTTCAATATTTCATATAGAGCACAGCCTCTGATCCAAAATATGCAATTTCATACTGAAAGATCTGTTTCTGAAGATTAAAAAACATGTACCCCAGTATTAATTTTTGGATCCTGGGCTGTGCTCATCTTTTAATCATTTGCTGAAGGTAGTCAAATACATGTGTTTTCTGCAATATTCAAGAACATTGCATTTTCTAAAAGCTTGTTTTCCAATACTCAGATTCTCAAAAAGTAAACTTATTACAGGAAATAAAAGCACTAAGTCTCTTCTTTATTTTGATAAATGAAATAGGAAAGAGGGTGATAGATTAATTGATTCAAGGACAAGGCCATTTTTGCATAAACTGAACCAAGCTCTTTAAAAAGCTGTTATTTTTCATTTTAACAATGTACTTGCTAAAATATGGGAAAAGAATTTTTGAAGATTTTTATGCATTTTCACTAACTGCTCAATACAGCCCCACCCTAACACCAGAGCCCCAGAAAACTCACAAACAAACAAAATGCCCTGCTTCCTGGAGGTTCATTATATAGCAGTGCAATAAATCACGTCGTCATGAATTTCAAAGTATAATTAACAACTATACTAATTTATTAAATATTTACAATCTGTTATTTGATATATTATAAATGCTTTCTGCAGTCTTTCATAGTACATGCACTCCGAATCTTGTAAAAATAGTCAAGAATATTGCACTTTTGGCCCCACTTCAAACAACTGCTGTTAGAATGGATTTAAATGTACAGGTGAACACTTCTCCATCACAGAATCAAGTAATGAAGTACCAGTTATTATTTTAGAAGTGGCTATCACATAGTCTGTACCTCCTGAAATAAATAAAAAAAAGATATAAAAATTGTATTGCAATAAGTTACAAAGGGCAATAACTCCAAAGATTTTGTTGAAAAATCAATATTTCCTTTTCTATTTTTTTCTGTGTGATAACATTTCTTATTGTTTTCTCTGTGATTACTAGTATTCTTTGAAAGTAGGGGGTATTGATTTCTTGATAATTCAACTGGAATGTAAATGAGTTATGGAGGCCTAATACTTGGTATTCATGTTAATCTCCTGCAGCTGTGTCCGACATCAGTGGGCATCTATTGAAATTACCAGGTAACATGGGAGGCCTCATGTAATTTCAATCTATTTGATGATATCATTTTAAAATTTAAATTTACAATTTTATTTCACAATGAAATATAAATACAAGGAATCACTGTCTACAGGGTTACACAGGGTTATTGCGAATTCACGGATATAGCAAAGTTATCTGGAATCTCCAGTGAATTCCTTATACGGATATAACGAATTACAGATATAGCAAAGTAATTTCATAGGTTGCAGTGACTTTGTTATAACCGAGTTTTACTGCAGACAATAATATGTACTTGTTACTTTTCTTGTGATTACTTACTTCCGGGGGGTGGGGTGGAGAAGCAAGGTTTGGTGTAATATATATAACAAGGGTCATGCTTTCTGCTAGGGCTGGTACAATACACAATACAATACAATACAATAATTTCTATAGCGCATTATAATAATGACACTCTAGTGCGCTTCACATTAAAATAGATATAAGCTTACAAACTGGCGAACAAATTACTTTAAAAAATACATGATACATATTTGTGCATAAAAATAGGATATCTAAAAGACTTTATGTGTACTAAAAGGCCATAAAAAATTACGTTGCGTGGGAGTCACTCTAAAAAAATTACAACTTATGAAACATTTTAAAAAATAATAATAATAAATATTAAAGGAACCTGTACTCGATCTACGAAATAAAAAATATTAAAAACTTTAAGATCAGTTCAGTGTCCTTTTACATTAGGTATATATATATATCACTATAAAAACAATATTTACATTCCCTTTACATATTTACAATATCCCAGTTTTTTTGTGATGCACACTGTCACAATGTCAGGGGTCCTGAGTCCATGGACATGGGGTCTACAACCATGAGTGGACTCAGGACACCTGACATTGTGAGGATTTTCAATATGAGTTTTATCTTTATTGATATATTAGGTCCTGGCATCAGAATATGAAACAAACTTTAGACTGCTTTTATTCCTGGAAATAAAACTCTAAATTAATTATAAAGAGATATCTTGCCAGCCATTTTATTTTACTGATTTTGCACCAATAGATAAATCTTTAAACATTTCAGAGAATAACATCCACATTCAGACATTACTTCCTATAGCATAAAAAAATTTTAAAAGATGAACATTCTTTAAAATTATTTTTCCTAAATTGTTTGATATAAATTCTGAGTTCTTTTCTCATAAAAGCTGAATAAAAATACACATATGCATCACTTTCACTCTATTACTGATTTGCTTTTTAGATATTATTGCAGAATATTGTCTAAGCCCTTATATTGTGGTGCAGGTTATGCCACAATGCTGTTGATAAGATGAGAAGTGTGTGATGAAGAGTGGCATGTAATGGTGATCAGGGTCAATGAAATGTTTTACCAGACATGCAGTTTGATATTGAGTCACAGTTAAGGAAAAGCTTCCATCAAGGAGTTCACTAATGATGTTCCAGTGATTATTTTTGTGGCATAAACAAGATATTCACATCCTGCTGCAATTCAAAGTGGATCTTCCTTTAAGAACTGTTTATCACGTAATACATGTACATGTACTTTTAACATTATCGGGATTTCTGTAAACCAGCTATTATTTAAGAAAACTGTTATTTGTACATTGACAGTAACTCATTTGTCAAACTGAAATTAAATTTTAATTTTCACATCTGGACAGGAAATTTACAGTCCTACCTATATTTGCTTGCAATAATAATTATTTGTTAAATAAATTAGGATGAACAACTGAGGGAAATTCCTAAAAACAAAAATTGGTTAACAGTTTGTGCAATTAATCATCAATAGTAATCTTATCACAACAAAATACTTACTTTTTGAAAATCAGAAAAAATATTAATCAGAATCAGAGAAAATATATATCACACGTTAAAGCTGATCGAGGCATAAGAAAAATGATAATGTTATTCTTCAGATATCAGTGATATGCTTTTGAGATCGGTGTAAAGAGTTTACACACACGCATCCAAGTTTCATAATCTTCTGTCAATGACTTTTGGTCAGGATCATACCCCCCGAGATGAATTTGTGTGTTTCAATATTTAAAAACAAGTTTATAGCAAATAACATCAAACTTTCGTTAATGGTTTTAATATGTTTTCACCTTGAACCAAGAAATATTGGAAAATTGACTAGATACAGAGAGCAACTGATACCTATTGTATAACAATTTCAGTCAACCCTGTTGATTTGTTGAGCCAGGTTTTCATTAACTTTCATCCCTGATCATAAGTTATAACCACATTTTACTTCTCTGAATTCTTTAGAAAAAAACTTTTCTGCCATTATGTTTAAATTAAGAATATGAAAAACATTCACATTTATAAATGTAACCTTTATGGCATTATAACGTTCTTGTGATTTTTTAACAACAAAGTTATATGAAATGCACAGGAAATGTATAAATTCACTAAGTCAAGTATTAGATACTACTACAGTGTATCGCTATGTACTTGTAAAATTACCAACAATTTATCAATTCAGACATCTTAATATCTTACATCTGTAACTTACCATCATCCTGCTGAGCCAGAAACCTAAGAGCAGCAATTTCTGCAAAGGTGACCCCTCCCAGGAATACCACTAAAGTCACCTTCTGGTCCATCACACTGGAATGTGAGGAAGTAATGGAGGAACCTAAAAGTAGTCAGATAGTTTATGTGAGGAAGTAGTCGAGGGACCTAAAAGTAGTCATGTGAGGAATTAATGGAGAAACCTAAAAGTAGTCAGATAGTTTATGTGAGGAAGTAGTCGAGGGACCTAAAAGTAGTCATGTGAGGAATTAATGGAGAAACCTAAAAGTAGTCGGACAATTTATGTGAGGAAGTAGAGGAGGGACCTAAAAGTAGTCATGTGAGGAAATAATGGAGGAACCTAAACATAGTCGGACAATTTATGTCAGGAAGTAAAGGAGGAGCCTAAAGTAGTCAGACAATTTATGTGAAGAAGTAATGGAGGTACCTAAAGTAGTCAGTCAATTTATGTCAGGAAGTAATAGAGGAGCCTAAAGTAGTCAGACAATTTATGTGAGGAAGTAATAGAGGAGCCTAAAGTAGTCAGACAATTTATGTGAGGAAGTAATAGAGGAGCCTAAAGTAGTCAGACAATTTATGTGAAGAAGTAATAGAGGAGCCTAAAGTAGTCAGACAATTTATGTGAGGAAGTAATAGAGGAGCCTAAAGTAGTCAGACAATTTATGTGAAGAAGTAATAGAGGAGCCTAAAGTAGTCAGACAATTTATGTGAGGAAGTAATAGAGGAGCCTAAAGTAGTCAGACAATTTATGTGAAGAAGTAATAGAGGAGCCTAAAGTAGTCAGTCAATTTATGTCAGGAAGTAATGGAGGAACCTAAAGTAGTCAGACAATTTATGTCAGGAAGTAATGGAGGAACCTAAAGTAGTCAGACAATTTATGTCAGGAAGTAATGGAGGTACCTGTAAGTAGTCAGTCAATTTATGTCAGGAAGTAATAGAGGAGCCTAAAGTAGTCAGACAATTTATGTGAAGAAGTAATAGAGGAGCCTAAAGTAGTCAGTCAATTTATGTGAGGAAGTAATAGAGGAGCCTAAAGTAGTCAGACAATTTATGTGAGGAAGTAATAGAGGAGCCTAAAGTAGTCAGACAATTTATGTGAAGAAGTAATAGAGGAGCCTAAAGTAGTCAGACAATTTATGTGAGGAAGTAATAGAGGAGCCTAAAGTAGTCAGACAATTTATGTGAGGAAGTAATAGAGGAACCTAAAGTAGTCAGTCAATTTATGTCAGGAAGTAATGGAGGTACCTGTAAGTAGTCAGTCAATTTATGTCAGGAAGTAATGGAGGTACCTGTAAGTAGTCAGTCAATTTATGTCAGGAAGTAATGGAGGTACCTAAAGCACTATAATAATAAAGATTCTATGTTAAATTGTACATCAATTGGACACTCTTTATGTACATTTATTAATGATGTTAACATGTATGCCAATAACAAGTACAGTCTAACCTCCAGTCTTGATGAGGCCAATGAAAGACTACCAGATAATCCAAGATTCAAAATAACAAGTGTTAAATACTTTATATAATAAGTGATGGCACATCAATATTACTTCAACATATCCAAGGCATGATGGAAGTGTGAGAAAACTGAGAGATATCTGAGAATTTGAGATATTGAGTGTATTATACTTAAAGAACATTTGGTTGGGACTTTCAAATCACGTTGACCTATCCATAGCATTCAAAATATTGGTGTTTGAGAAAATCAAGAGTAAATGTATATGTAATGCAAGATATTGGTGTTTGGAATACTCAAGTGTAACTGTATATGTAATGCAAGATATTGGTGTTTGGTATACTCAAGTGTAACTGTATATGTATTAATAAATGCAAGATATTGGTGTTTGAGAAAATCAAGAGTAACTGTATATGTAATGCAATATATTGGTGTTTGGAATACTCAAGTGTAACTGTATATGTAATGCAAGATATTGGTGTTTGGAATACTCAAGTGTAACTGTATATGTAATGCAAGATACTGGTGTTTGGTATACTCAAGTGAAACTGTATATGTAATGCAAGATATTGGTGTTTGGTATACTCAAGTGTAACTGTATATGTAATGCAAGATACTGGTGTTTGGTATACTCAAGTGAAACTGTATATGTAATGCAATATATTGGTGTTTGGTATACTCAAGTGTAACTGTATATGTAATGCAAGATATTGGTGTTTGGTATACTCAAGTGTAACTGTATATGTAATGCAAGATACTGGTGTTTGGTATACTCAAGTGAAACTGTATATGTAATGCAATATATTGGTGTTTGGTATACTCAAGTGTAACTGTATATGTAATGCAAGATATTGGTGTTTGGTATACTCAAGTGTAACTGTATATGTAATGCAAGATACTGGTGTTTGGTATACTCAAGTGTAACTGTATATGTAATGCAAGATATTGGTGTTTGGTATACTCAAGTGTAACTGTATATGTAATGCAAGATACTGGTGTTTGGTATACTCAAGTGTAACTGTATATGTAATGCAATATATTGGTGTTTGGTATACTCAAGTGTAACTGTATATGTAATGCAAGATATTGGTGTTTGGTATACTCAAGTGTAACTGTATATGTAATGAACTAACGTCTCTTTCTGAGGGCTACAGGGATTTGCTGGATTTCCTCGATAGTGGGGCCGGGCAGAAGATTAAGGACCTCTGTGATACTCCTCCAGCCCGGGCGGGCATTGTACTGGGCCAGCCTGATAGACAGGGGGGCGTAACCACTGTACACATAGGATATATCATTAGGGTTCTACAATAAAGAAAATTGGATTAAATATGAACAGACAAATTTTTATCATATAAAAATGAATCTTTCAATTTTCATCATGTAGGATTTTACTTTTTTATAATTAAAATTATATATGTTGTTATATAAATTATATATGTTGTTATATAAATTATATATTTAATAATTATATAATCATTGACTAAGCAAAAACAACATAAAATACAATTTATATAATTTTACCTGTTCATTGACCTCCTCTACAATCAGTCTCAGAGATTTACGTATGGTAGGGTAATTTCTCTGTCCATGTTGCCGCAGGAGGCCGACTTTCTCTAGGTTCATAAGAGTTACAAAATGCTCAAATCCATAAGTCTACAAAAAAAGAAACCACAAGTCTTAAATTATCCTTAAAATCCATTAGTCTGCATAAAAATAATCTAAATGTCTACAGAAACTGAGGACTTAATTAAGTCCAAATTAAATATTAAAATAGAACTGACCTGTATAATTTCTCGTTTGTAATAATCTAGAACTTTAGGTTTTAAACCATTATTGCAGTAGGACTGGATGCACATCAACCTCAAAACCTAAAGCAGTAAATCACAGTTATTTTTCTGAGAACACTTAATACATCTTTGAAATTCATACCGTAAATCTGGAAATTTTTGCTGTATATATATTTTTAGCAAATTTGCAAGTTCATTTCATTCGCAAAAATATTTTTCTTAAAAATAAATTACCAATGAGAAATGTAAACAAAGCAGTGGTAAATCGCAAAATTTTGAAACGTAAAAATTAATCAACCCCATTTTGACCCGAATTCGCAAAATAAAATCGACGTAAAAATTTCCAGATTTACGGTATTATCTTTCAGAGGAGGATCTTTCTTTCAATTCATTTTATGACAGAGTCTGTTTCAATGATTTATTCTACAAAGTGATACTTCATCATTTGAATTTGACTCTGCATGATTACATTCAATAAAATCCCACCTTATCTAAAGGTTCCATTTTCCCGATACAGTCCTCCACATAGGGATGGGCCTTGTCTGTCTCCAGTCCATTGATAAACTCTGTAATTAATGGAGTTAAATCGGGTTATATTATCACTACATAAATTAATAATGGGCCCACTGTCTTAATTACTTAGATCTAACACCAGCTCAGAGAAAGTGAAAAATTTTCATGACAACCATAACTGGATGACAGTCTGCCAGGGTTGCATAATTACAACTTATTAGAACTAAAGTGAATACAAATAGATATGATTACTAAGAAAAGGTTTTGAAGACAGGTAGAGTTACCCCCATCTCTTACAATAAAGAAAAACAAACTAAGAGCTTTGATTCTTGAGTTGCAAAAGAGTTGACTTTACATGGAGGGTATCGGTATCATTTTGAAACCTAAAGCTTTAAATATATGCTTTTTACATCATGAAAAAACTAAAATATTGACAAAATGACTGACATAAAGCAGAAAACTGTTTTGAGTGTCCCTTTTCAATTTTGTAGAAAGCTGTGTTTTACTGTACATTCCGTTTTAAAACTTTTACATATTAAATGTACATGTACTGATGGAAGATACAAGTATAAAGATGAAAGGCTGAAATGATTAAGAGTTATCTAACCTTGTTGACACCTGAGAGAATCCATAAACTCTTCTGTGTCTGTGTGTTCTTTAATCAGTTCAGCTATGGATGTATCTGAAGAGAGACAAATCAGTGGGCAACTGAGGAATTGTCAGAGAATAAAACCCAGATAGTCAGGAGACTTCACTAGAAAATAAAAGCTAAGCACAATGCTTTATTACAATGAAATGTTGCTGTCAATATAAGTGATAACAATCCTACATTAAAATTGATATATATATATAACAATCAACTAACATGATTACAATTCATTATTTGACTGACTACTTACGTATGGACAGTGACTGTCTGATCTGTTGAAGGTGGGGAAGTTTGGAAACAAAATGCTTCATCTCACTCACTGTTTTGGCAGCATGCCTTTCCTGAAAAACAACAAACATGTACAGTAAAACTCGGCTATAACGAAGTCACTGGGTCCTATGAAATGACTTCGCTATATCCGTAATTCGTTATATCCGTAAAAGAAATTTGTTAAATTTATAAAACTGGGGATCCAAGATAACTTCGCTATATCCGTGAATTCGCAATATCTGTGTTCGTACTAACTGAGTTTTAGTACAATATCTCGAAGTAGATATCATTTGGGTTTTTTATAAAAGTTTATTATCTCTGACCTCATACATAAAAATTAAATCCTTATTAAATACGTGCAATTCATAATACCTCATATGGCAAAATTTGACAGACATAGCCTTATACTTGACAATTTTATAAATGTGTAATAGTACCGGTAAGTCATTTATTGAAGTAATAGTCATTTTTCTCAGTTAGAGTTACCTCTCTTATCAGAGGGTCTAAGTACCTTAACTAAAAAACAAGACAGACAAAAGTACAATAAATCCTACATCAAACTCTGCAGTGATGGTTTTGGCTTTCTTGCTGACTAGGCTCCCTACAGCATTGAAGTTTTTATCTCGGAGTTCTCCATATAGCTCGTCCGAGGAGTTCAGAATGATCTTTTTCTTCTCCGTGGGGGCTTCCTCTGGGGCCTGACTGCTGGACATAAACTTCTCGGGGGGTAACTTGACACTAGCTACAAAACAGAAAGAAAACAATAAATATAGGCAGAATAGAAACTGTCTTTTTAATAAGATAAAAAAAACTTAATTTACTGTGGAACCATTCTATTTTTTAGGATACTCTATTATCAAATTTTATATTCAGTATCTATATCTTGCACAGCAAAATCATCTTACACAAAAATACATCCCCATGAATCAATCCATGTTTAGAAATGTCTGATTTTTTTTAATTGAAACCACGGCAGAGCAGAGGGCATACTTAGTTTTTGTGTGGAGCTAAGAAGAAATGTTCAGAAAAAGGACCATTTGAAACAAGCACAATGCAGGAAAAATGTTTTTAAGCATAAACAGGTGAATTTTTTCTGACATATTATTTATATACATGTATAGTGAAAGAAGCTTGATGAACATCAGTTAAAACAGACAAATTAATGTCATCAGTCTTCAAGTTGATACTGTGTGAAGCACATTTCACAATAAAATATATGTCATGGATATTTGGCACTGACATCAGGAAACCCAGGATGTTTGCAAGACTAAAGTCACAGAAAAAAAGTTATACAATTCCAGATTTTTTTCACATGTGAAGTAATGTTAAAATGAAGCTGTTATTTAACTCTGTTAAGTTCTTCAGGTCAATGGACATGTGCAAAGTAGAAATTTCACTGGGCCTTATGTAATGGTGCTATTAACCTGAAATTTTGCATATACATGTATGTATTATTTGTGCTTGATGAATTTCAGGTGTACTTTCATGAATTGACCTCTATCTTTTTGGGCTTTTAAAGTCTCAATAATTTCCAAATAGTTCTCAAACATTTCCAAAATCTTTACTTTTTAAGATTAAAACATGATGATGCTTTCTCTATGTATATTTTATTATTGTAGAAAAAATACTTGCTATACTGACAAACTAAGTTAATTTATTACTGATTGGTACCTATGACATTGATTTCTTTTTTACTTTGACCTTGATTAATTGACCTTACATGTATATATCAAGGTGACCTACTTTAACAACTCCAACATGAAGGCACTAGTTAAAGAGATTGTCAATTAATACAAGAGGCCCATTGGCCACATCGCTCACCTGAGTAATTTGGGTGATGCAGTTCTTACCAGATTCCCCCTCTTGCTATACATATCGTGCCCCACTACCCCCTTCCCTTTAATGATTCTTTAGAATCTACACTACCCCAAGATGCTTCTACATATGATAAGTTTCAGCTTTCCTGGCCCAGTGGTTCTTGAGAAGAAGATTTTTAAAGATTTGTTCTATATATTTCTATGTAAAACTTGGATTCCCTATTGTGGCCCCACCCTACCCCCGGGGGTCATGATGTTAAAACTTTAGAATCTACACTACCTAAGGATGCTTCCACATAAGTTTCAGCTTTCCTGGCCCAGTGGTTCTTGAGAAGAAAATTTTTAAAGATTTGTTCTATATATTTCTATGTAAAACTTGGATTCCCTTTTGTGGCTCTGCCCTATCCCCGGGGGTCATGAATTTAACAATTTAATATCTACACTACCCAAGGATGCTTCCACATAAGTTTCAGCTTTCCTGGCCCAGTGGTTCTGATTTTTAAAGATTTGATCTATATATTTCTATGTAAAACTTGGATTCCCTATTGTGGCCCCGCCCTACCCCCTGGGGTCATGATTTTAAAAATTTAATATCTACACTACCCAAGGATGCTTCCACATAAGTTTCAGCTTTCCTGGCATAGCGGTTCTTGAAAAGAAGATTTTTTAATGACCCCACCCTATTTTTGTCTTTTCTTGATTATCTCCCCTTTCAAGGGGACTTGGCCCTTCATTTTAGCAATTTAAACTCCTCTTCACCCAAGTATGCTTTGTACCAAGTTTGGTTAAAATTGGCCCATTGGTTCTTGAGAAGAAGTCGAAAATGTGAAAAGTTTACAGACGGACAGACGGACGGACGGGCGGACGACGGACAAAATGTGATCAGAAAAGCTCACTTGAGCCTTCGGCTCAGGTGAGCTAACAATTAAAAGACTTTTTAAATAAAATTAACTTTGACGTTGACCTTTAATCTAGAGATCCACAAATGTTGAGATTTTTATATTCCATCTATGTGGTAAATATGAAGTCAAAAAGATTAAAAGTACAACTGTACATACCAGTAGTTATGTGTTGTACATGTATAAAAGTACTCACATACTGAGAAATGGGTGGGTACTGAGGTTTCCAGGAAGCACCTGCATCGAAGATGCTGGGTCCTTAATATTATATTGTCAAGTACTTGAAGAAAAAGCATTCAAAGCATATACTGTATTAATTAATTTCCGCGTAATTTCGGGAGAAGCATCACTCGCGAAAAAATATTACTCGCTTTTATTTTAATGGAGCTTAAATCTATGTAAATTCTGTTAATCAACCGTCCATTTGCGAAATATAGTTCTCGCGATTTGACGTTAAAGAGTCAGTTCGCGATAAAAAGTACTAGCGAAAAATAAGGAATCTACAGTAACCCTCAATCTTAATTCATTAAATTGAATAAAGGTCTTGCTTCATTTTTTTTCAGTTTCATATCAAAACTGGGATTCCTTGACATTTGAGTCAATTTTAACTTTTGATTTGTGTTCTTACATGGAAATGTCAAAATTTCAAACATGTAGGCATCCCTCAATTAAACTGTACCAGATTCTGACCTTCTGCAAATGTCCCCTAAAACAATCTGTGATTACTACTCCATATATGGAACTACTGAGATACCTTTTGTCTCCTTATATGTGCATACCAGTATAAGTGTAGGCTATTGTAAATGATGATAAACCATTCCGAACAATATGTAGTAAGTAACCAAAGGAGCTTCCTGTCTGATGTCATATTCACGCAAAACAGATAAAGTGCTTGTGTTGAAATTATATAACAATAAAATCGATAACATAAAGATAAACAAAAGGTCACCTTAAAAGTTCTTGGTTATCACAGGAAAAAGAGACTAATGTTATGATAAAAGGTTACTGAAGATTCATCATGTTGAGCTCAGCATTATACTGCCAAAAGGGGTAAAAATGGATTTGAGTGATATTAAAATGAAAAAATTAAAATCTTTCAAGATTTCTTAGCTGTAATGCTCACTATTATTGATTCCAAATATTTCATCAATCAATCCATCATAGGTCAGCTGGGATAGGAGTGGGGTCAAGAGGTCAACATTTCGGTCCAGTATCAGGAGGTTGTCTATTTGGGGGGTTATCTGAGGTTCCCTGCCCCCCAGCTCGCGCCGCATTCTCAGCATCATGTCAACCACACTCTGAAAATAAAATCCACACTAGATACAGTCAAACACTTAACAACTATATTGAAAATTATCTACATAAACAAAGCATTATCAAGCCCCTGTATTTACCAATTTCAAGATAAAAGACAATGGTCAATTTCAAAGAGGGTATGAAACATCTCTTACAGAAAAAAGAGGCTCATGAGCCATGTAATATCTATTGTGACCCCACCCTACCACCAAGAGTCATGATTTGGACAATCTTTGGCCCAGTGGTTCTTTAGAAGAACATATTTAAAGATTTTTCCTACATATTTCAATGTAAAATTGGATTCTATATTGTGGCACTGCCCTAACCCTGGGGATCATGATTTGAACAATTTAGAATCTACACTATCATAGGCTGCTTCCAATCTTAGTTTCAGCTTTTCTGACACAGTGGTTTTTAAGGAAAAGATTTTTTGAAGAACTTCCCTATATAATTCAATGTAAAGCTTGGATTCCCTATTGTGGCCCTGCCCTTAGGTGCTCTACCCAATGGGGTCATGATCTGAACAATTTAGAATCAACTCTATCCCATGATGCTTCAACATAAGTTTCAGATTTTTAGAAGAAATTTTTAAAAGATTTTTCCTATATATTTCAATATAGAAAAGAATTCCTTCTTGCGGCACAGCCCTACCTCCAGGGATCATGATTTGAACAATTTAGAATGTACACTACCCAAAGATGCTTCTACATAGTTTCAATTCAGTTTTTCTGGCTCAGTGGTTTTTGAGAAGATTTTTAAAGGGGGCATCAGGCAATTCTTTAAATAAAAAGATACGTATAGATCATCCATAAAAAGCATAATATATTACAGTCCATGTTAAATTCAAAAGGTGGTAATGAAAAAATCTCATCATGAAATTTGAAGTTGATAAGCAGATTAGGACAACTATAGTAGTGAAAATAAAATAACTGGAAATAGAAGCTTCCCACACTGCTACAGTCCCTGAAATGTTCTACTTTCCCACCTGAACAGTGAGCTAACGCTGAACAAACGGTGAACGAACGGTGAGCGAACGGAAAAATGGGAAAGTAGAACGTTTCAGGGACTGTAACCAATCTCTCATATAACGCCACCCTCAGCAGTAATTCTAATGTAACATTGGTTAAAGGACTTATAGATCTGATTAACATCCCCTAATTAATGTAGCATTTAAAGTTATTCACTGTTAATAAGATTATCACTCATGCAAGGTCTCAGTAAGACTGATTTACATTTAGAATTAACTTTATCTAACCTCTTCATCACTTATCAGGTATACATGAGGAATCTGCAGCACACAAAACATGTTTATTAGTAAGATGCATTCCTTTGTGGTGTTATTGTTGAATTTTTTGCTTAATAATACAATAAAACTTTTCTTATCTGTACCCCACTGGTACCAGAGAAAATAAATTTTGCAAAATTAGACAACATTATGGATTTGACAACATTTAAAACAAATGAATGTACTAAAATGGACTAAACTTTAAGATCTTAGACAAAATTTCAGAATACTGTAAACAAACTTTTATTCGTGTGTTAGAAATTTTCGCGAGCCTGCATGTTTATCACGAATATTTCTCACAACAAATTCTTGCCGCAAACCAATCCTTAAGGTCACTGCGTATATAAACAACTGATCCAAAAAAGAGCTTGATCGCAAAAATTAATTGCCACGAACTAGTTTGACATTGGTAATAGAGAATAAAAGTTGGTTTACAGTACACAACAACCAGATTAGACAGGTTTCACTGCGGTAAATACCTCGAAAACTTCAAATTCATTGAAAGACCCAGTGAATTTGAGAGCATCCTAAATGTTTTAACTTTTTGTTCAGAATTACAGTAAATTCTCAAAATATCGCCATGTGATTCATCCCCATTTTCGCAATGCTGCCATGATTTTCTATGAACGTTTTTCTTGCTATATAAAATTCTCAATGCCAAATTTGCATACCGCCAGCTGCCACCCTGTTTTCATAACAAATGTCCACCTCTAAGTGTCAATTATCTTGATATACCGCCACAGGTGCATGTGGTCAACGGCTAATTGGTTGATGCTATCACTGTTGTAAACCATGCAAAGCTAGACAAGGTACATGCAATTCAATAAATAAGTAATAATTAAATAAACAATAATTTTAACACAAACTATTATTAAAATTTTGTTTTCTGTTTGAAAAATGATTTAGTCATGGATTTGCCACAAAAGGGGTTGTTGTTAAAGATCGCCAATAAGGATATCATTTTGATGATCTCTGCTTTAAACAATGCTTTTTAAAGTATACTTAAAAAATAATTATACAATATAAATTGTGAACGATATATTAACAATGAATCCATAAACAATGAATTTATTTACCCAACTATCAGCAATATATCACAACAATCGACCCAACATGTTTTTTTTTTTATATCAAATGTGCAGATTTACATACATACACATGTACTTGTCTTTATTTCATAACTGCACATTTTGTTTTAACGAAATTGAGTATAAAAAAATTACTTGGGAGTATTTTTCAGTTTGGAAAAATGTTTTTATATACATGTAATAATAAGAATAGAAACGCTAAATGTATTTTCTAGAACGGTAACTCTACTTCTTGTTTCCCGAAAAAAGGGAAATTCATTTCATCGCCAAATTCGTTATACCGCCATGATTTCTAAATTACAAAAGGCGGCGGTTTATTGAGAATTAACTGTAGTTTAATTTGAATTTTCACTTAATAAAGAAGATTTCATTAAGCTTTGTAATTTCAGAATTTGTGGTTCTTGAGAAGATTTTCATACAATCTGAAACTTTTCAGCTATTTCTTTATTTCTGGTATCTTGGTTTGAAAAAGGGCATTTTTTTCACTTGAAAAAAAAACCTGAATATCCAAGAACCAAGGATGCTTTGATCTACAGTGAAACCTGTAAAGATCTGACATGCAAAGGGAGACAAAATTTGAGTCAAAATAGATATGATGTCAGACTGTAGTGTAAAAAACATGGAATAAAGAACAAGAGGCCCATGGGCCACAACACTCACCTGAGTATTTATGGACCTTCTGTTCTCCATAAGATTACTTGAACAAGGAATCTAAAGTTCCTGCAGATGCTTCCATATAAATATTACTATACATATTATTAATCATGACTTTGCTGTTCTTGACAAGGAGATTTTTTTTTTGTTATTTATTTACATGTTCTCCTAGGTAAAACTTTCATCCCCTATTGTGGCGGGGTAGGGCTATATAAAACTGATTCCCTATTGTGACCTCGCCCTACATGTACCACTATGGTCATTATTTGATCAAAATGAACTCTACACTACCTGGCGATGCTTCCAAATCAATATGACTAGACAGGGCTTTGCTGTTCTTGAGTTTTTTTTCAGTCCATTCCTTTGTAAAACTTTGATCCCCTACTGTGTCCTCAACCCACCTCATGGGGTCATAATTTAAATGAACTTAAAAGCACACTATATAAAGAAAGATTCATGGAAGTTTCAACTTTTTTGGCCCAGTTGTTCTTGAGAAGATTTTAAATGATATCACCTAATTTTCACTTTCTTAATTATCTCCCTTTTTACAAGTTGTGGCCCTTCATCTGAACAAATTTGAATTCCCTTTACCAAAGAATGCTTTATGGCAAGTTAAGTAAAACTGTTCTTGTGAAGAAGTTGGAAAATATTAAAAGATTATAATTACAGTAGGATGGAGAGCAAAACAAAATGTGATCAGAAAAGCTCACTCCAGCTTTGAGATCAGGTGAGCTAAAAATTGAAAATATAAAAAGATTATTCAGAATGACAGACCGAGATGGATATGAAAAGGTCGTCTGAGCAACTAAATTGATCTAAAAGAATCGTGAAAAATAATTTATAATAGATTAAAACTAGCCTTATTTAAATTATTTGAAATAATTTTTGTACTTCTTAGTAAAATCACCATGTCAACAAACGTCATTTCAATCAACACTTGTTTTAATTTAAATAAACACACTTAAAATTAATTTCATCCTCATGTAATGAGAATAAAAGTTCATTAAACCTTTTGTAGACAGTGTCAGTAAGTCTAATGTACTCATGTTCTCTATCAGGAACGTGATCTGAAGATTGCAGTAGATTTAAGGCCAGTACTACAGAATGATATTGTGTGATTTAATACATTGTTCCTTAAAATTTCTACTAAGCTATCTGTGAAATTGATTTGAATACCATTTCCATATATACTCACGCGTAGAAATATACACATAGAATTTTGCACACATCACAATGAGGCTACAGCAACGTAAGTAAAAAAGCAACGATATAGAGAAGCGAGAAATTTAAATATTGAGTATATTTTTGGTGCTTTCAAACATGTAAAATGTAAATATAAGGAAGGTTTTCAAGTTAAGTGTGAATTATTGGTGTGTAAATCACACAGACTTGCACGCAGACACGTTTTTCATTAAGCGCTTTCACACTTCATGAAATATGCCTACATGACAAGTCTGTGTGATTTACACACCAAGAACTCACACAAAACTTAAAAACATTCTTTAAGTAGTTAACTGCAAAGGATGTATTTGCTTTTGACAAAAGAATTGACCTATAGGAGAGAACAATTTCCCGGAAAAAGTGACATTGAATAATTAATCTTTATTTGTTGTTTTCTACCGTATATATGTCTAAATTTTTCAAATTTGTATTTTATACCTAAAATTTATTATTTACAACTTTACAATTAACCTCCAAAGTTGGCCTAAACACCATTTTGTCCGATAAAGCGTTGATTTTTGCATGAATTTTGGCCTAGAAGTCCTTCAGGGCAGGCGTGCCCCTAAATAAAATTGTGATATTTTGATAGGTTTGGATGTAAGGATTAAT